TTCACGATCTCCTTTCCCTCTCACCTCCACCGCTCTTCCTCCCCCCTCCCCTCCCCTTTCCTGCTCTTGAACTCCCTCCTCCTCCTCTCCTCTCCTCTCCTCTCCTCTCCTCTCCTCTCCTCTCCTCTCCTCCTACCTTCCTCCTCCTTGTCCAGCAGCGCATGCAGATAGGCGTCGTCCACCACTCGCCCTGCCATGAAGCAACAGTGCAGCAAGGGACTGAACGGACCTGAGGCGGGCGTGAATTTTTGGGAAGTCGATCGCCATGGCTAGCAAGGCAGAGAAGGAGGCGTTTTACCATGGTGATGTGAGCGATATGGCAGAACACCAGCATCCTCATACTCATACTCATACTTGTATTCATACTCGTCTTGTTCCTCATACTCGTACTCATACTCGTCTTTTTCCTCATACTGATACTCATACTCGTCTTGTTCCTCATACTCATACTCATACTCATACTCATACTCATACTAATCATCATAATCATCTCCATCATCTGCATCGTCCTTGTCGTCGTTGTCGCCGTCATTATCACAACCAACAAGAACAACAAATCTTCCCGACTAGACGCTCAAGATTTCACTTTGGTAATCTTGTCTTTCAGGCCATGACGGCGGCACATCATTGGAAATCTTTCTCATCACGTCCATCGCTCCGATCTCTGTCTTCGCTCAGCAGGTACCCACCAACATAACCTCACAGCGCCTCGACCGCATTCCTCCATCGCAACATTAACAGTATCTGCAGTGCATTGAGCTCGGCCTTCTGGGTTCGCAGCATTCTCCAGTATCTTTCTTCCGTGTGATCATGGTGGAGATGAACGACCTGCAGGCGCTCTACTTCTTGCTCAACGTCATCGTCATCGTTCTTCCCCTCTACACCTCCTTCGTACTCCCTCAACATGCGATCAGTAAGAGACCTTGACATCGAGCAGGGTCTTCATCGCTGACATTGCTCCAGCCCTGCAACTCATCCTCCTCTCCATTCCTTGCCTCCTTGTCGTGCTCGGAAGGCTTTCTATCCGAAGTATGCCGATGTGGAGGGGCGAGTCTGAATCTGACGGCTGAGCCAGACGCCTCGGAGTCTGTCAAGGATCTCCAAGTTTCACTTCGGGAGGTGCGCGCCATGATTCGGGCCTCCTCCTACTGAAAGATCCTCTCAGCCCCGTAAGGCCTACGTGACCAGCTACAGGTGCGTCGTTACCATGATCTTGCCCTCCCGTCACCAGCTGCCTTCCCCTGCTCTCTCTTGCTCTCACCCCCTCTCCCTCTCTCTCCCCCTCCTCCTCCCCATCCCCCTTTCTCTCACTCTCTCTCCCCATCTCCACCCCTCTTCCTCTCCCCCTCCCCCTCCCCTCCCCTCCCTCTCCCCTCCCCCTTCCCCTCCCTCTTCCCCTCTTCTGGTGCTTGACTCATCCGCTTGCTCTTCGTTGACCGCAGAGGAACCATGATGCTTGCTACCTGCATCGCCATCCTTGCTGGTTGTCCTGCCCTGCATTCACTTGGCTTCGAATGATACGGCATGAAGTTGACTTCCCGAGCTTTCCGAGGAGGTTTGCCAAGACAGAGACGTTCGGCGTGTCTCTCATGGACGCGGGTGTGGGTTCAGTTCTTCTTACGCAGGTAGATGGATGTGACCTGTTTCCTCCTCCTCACCGCAAGGACAACAGGCGATGGTCTCTCCTCTCGCAAGGAAACCCACCATGAGCGCCGTTAAGCGTCTGGTACTTAGGATGGAAAGTGAGGATGGGAGGTGACGTTGGGGCAGCGAGCTGCTCTCCTCTCAGCTTCTCCTCTCCTGGGCATCGGCTGTGTGCGATTGCTGGCGTGCCGAGCTTCAGACTACCATGAGCATGTCGACGAGCGACGTGGGTGGCTGAGCTGATGGAGGAGCAGGTCAGCGAGTACGGAGTTCACTGGAACTTTTTCTTCACTCTCGCCTTCATCTCGATCTTTGGGAGTCTCGTGCCCGTGGATGAGACGGTACAGGAGAGACTGTGGGGCTCTTGCGATCTCACCGACACTTCCAGCTCTCGGCCATCTCTGTACTGGCGATCAGCTCGGGGTACGAACTCCTCCTTCACAGGAGCGGACTGCAGAGTTACATCCTCGAAGTCTTCCACAAACGCCCTGTCCCCATCTGAGCCCTCACGAGCTTGCAGGCTCCTCGCACGAGCATCTTCAGCGCGAACAGGGAAGGGATCATGGGATGCGTGAGTTGGTCCCCCGCTAGCAGCGCTGGCGTGATCGGGCATGGCAGGTGGGCTACACGTCGCTCTTCCTCGCGGGGGTGGTGAGCTGGGGTTGAGGTGGAGGAGGCGAGGAGCTGACTGCCCACTGGCAGGCCATGGGGAAGCGAATCTTCGCGGAGCAGGTACAGTAGCTGAACATGAGGCCATACGTGATGGCGCCTCGTAGAGGAAGGAGCAGAGTTGGCAGGGCCTGTGGGCGAGTCTCTCTGCTGGCTCGATGGCCTTCGCTATGCTCGTTGAGGTCCTTGAGGTGACTGGCCACAAGGGGAGGAGGAGGAGGAGCTGACGGTGTTCCTGTTAGCTGGGGATGGGTCTACAGACCAGCAGGCGCCTTGTCAACCTGAGCTACGTGTGCTGGACGATCGCGTACAATGTGACGCGTCAGTTGGGAAATGATAAGCCTTGCTGATGTTGGCGACAGGGCCTGATGCTGTGTCAGTTTCTGACCGTCGAGGTTCATCCTCCCACCACCTCCCTCCTTCTTCCTCTCCTCCTTCCTCCCTCCTCTCCTCTTTCCTCCCTTCTCCCTTCTCTTCCCTTTGATCACCTGATGTGCAGATACTGGTCCACTTTCTGCAGGGACCGAAGGACGGAACCATCCTCAAGCAGAGGAGGATGGAGAAGATTTCTTGCCAGGTTCCCAACAACACACACCCAATCACACACACCAACATGCTGTGTTGGCTCCTCTCAAACTTTCTCAGCTGCTCTGCGATGCTCTGAACAGAAACCTGCTCGCCATCTTCTTGCTGTCAAACTTGCTGACAGGCAGGATCCTCTTGCTTCAGGTCCCTTGGCTGACATCTGTCATCAGGGGCTGTAAACCTTCTCCTTCCCACTCTCCATGCCTCCTGGTTGTTCGGCTTCTCTGTCGTCTCGAGCTATTCTTTCATCATCTCCTCTGTGGCTATTCAGCTGCATATGAGCAACCTCACAATAAAGTTTTGGTGACAGCCATGAATGGTGCTGTGATAGAACGAGAGGGAATATCCTCCTCTCCAAAAACGGTGCCACGGATATATGAATCCAACAGGTTCACAAGTTCAAGATAGTCCTGGTTGATTCCGATAAGCTGTTTGTCGAGATCGATGACTTCACATAGTACATCACATCTATCGCTCTAGTGAGTGGTCCAGTCACTGAGTCATGGGCCGGGCCCAGGTCGCATGCCAGCCGTGCCAGTCAGATAGCCCCGAGTTAAAAAAACTCTCCTGCAAACCAAGACGACCCTTACGCGTTTCAAGGCGGCAATGTAGTACGGTGACGAACAGGAGATCTTCCTACTCGTCTTACTACGGTCTTCTCATGCCTGGATGCTTGCAAGTTGGGTATCACATCCAAGCATACAGTCTATCTATCATGTCATGCGGCTCCTCAATTCTGTTTTTCGTGTGCATTAAACTCGGTCTTGAGAGCGAAAACTGTCTTGTTACAACTGAGGTCGATTTTACTCAAAGTCGATATGATGTCTGCATGGCTTTGGCACAGTACAAGTCTAACAAACTTGTGCTCCGTCACCAGTCTCAACAGGGCCGGGCCGGGCCGAGCCCGGCGGGCCAGCCGGGTCTCTAAAAGGCTAACTAAAAAAGGTTAGACGTTTTTCTTTTTTTGATATTTCCGTTGAGGCTGGTGGATTTTGGCGATGCTGGACATGCGGTTAGAGCTTCGCGATGCCGAGGCATACGAGAAGAAGAAGAACGCGACGGCACGAGACGGCCATGCATGGGGGGGAGGGAGAGGAGGAGATTCTGGTGACGCCCGTAAGGTAGGCCGAGTGGACGAAGGACAGGGAGGAGGAGGATCAACCTGCTCAGAAGCAGGAAGAATCCGAGGGGAAGTTGTGGAGGAAGCGAGGAAGAGCCTGCTCCTGGTGCGTGAGCTGTTGCATCCTCCCAGGCCCTCACTCTCCTGCAGACGTTGAATGCGACCAATGGCGCGCTCGGTCGATGTAGGGAGGGAGAAGTCGCGACGATGCTGGTGGACGCACGTCGACATTGTCGAGATTTGGAGCGATGCCTTGTCTTGCTGCAGGTGACAAGCGGATCGTGGAGAGACGCGAGTGATACCTTGGCAGAACGAGGAGAGAAACAAGCAGGAGCAAGCAACTCGCATCTCCAACTACTGGGAGAGGAAGCATGATCAAGAGCGGCGACTGAGTTTGAAATCCACAGTGTTCTCGAGATGGCGAGTCAACGCCAAGGTCAACATGCACCGACCCTCCTCCTCCTCTTCTCAGTGCTTGCAGGACACGATCATCCTGAGACTTCGCCGTGAGCTGGAGCAAGGTGAGGCTGTGAGGGAAGGAGATGCCTTTCCTGAAACTTGTTGCGCTCAGCGTCTAAGAAGGAGAAGGAGCACCAGGTGAGGGGATCTGCTCCCCCTGTCATTGATCCTCTGCTCCTCAGCATTCCTCACTTCTCGTCTTCCTTCTTCAGCTCTCCCTCCCTCCCTCCCTCCCTCCCTCCCTCCCTTCTCCTCTTCATTGTGTACACTCGTGACATTTGCACAGGCAGCGAAGATCCATGCTGATGCTCTCCTTGAGACCAGCAGGCGTCGCATCCGCTCCCTAGAGCTCTTGGTGTCCGACGCGCAAGCCCAGGGAGTGAAGATGGCAGCAGGAGCGCATGCAGATGTGCAGGTACAAGAGGACGTTTGTCGTTCCCGAGCTCCTCATCGCTCGTCTAGGCTCACGTACAAGCTATCCGTAGGGAAGAGAGGAAGGCGTCGGAGAAGAGGTTTCCTCTCGCACTGCTATCTCCGCTATCTTCATCTCCTCTACACCTCCATCTCCTCTACCACCTCCATCTCCTTTTCTGCCTGTCATCTTTCAGCGCATAAGTTCGTCGCAGGCTTGCAGAGATGAAAGCGCAGATGATGGAGGAGGTCTGGCAAGTGGAGGAGGAAAGAATCCTGCAGGTTTCCCTCCATCATCATCACCAACGTCACCCTCCTCCTCTTCTTCCCCATACATCATTATCGACATCTTCTTCTTCTTCCCCTTTCCGAGGCTCGTCGCCCTCACTCCTGTTTCTTTGAAGGTGCAGGATCTGCAGAAGGAGCTGGAGCTGGAAAGGAGAGCACACGAGATCATCCTCAGAAAGGTGAAGGTTGCTGATCGAACAAGCGTATCTCATCAATTGCAAGGTCTCACAACCGCTGGGGGAAGAGGAGATTCGAATAGCTTTAAAGAGGGCTTCATCCTGCCTCTCCCTCCTCCTGCCCCCCCCTCCTCCCGCCCCTCCCTCCTCCCATATTTTCGGCCCCACCTCTCGCTACTCGCCCTCAGTCGCCTCAGTCGCTGTCCAGAAGCAGCTTCTCATCCACGTCTCTCATCCTTGGAGTGCGCGGCGTCAATTTACCGCCGTGCCCGGTGTGGAAATTGTCCCTCCTAGCACGAGAGCGGTCATTTCGTTTCTTCTCCTCTACATCATCATCATTAGCAGCATCGGCATCATCATCACCAACAACATCACCACCACCACCACCCCTATCTTCTAGATCATCATTATCACCACCACCACCACTCCTATCGTTATCATCATCATCGTCGCTATCGTCATCGCCAAGTCAACCTCATATGGATGATCTCAGGCGTGACCTCTCGGAGGCTGAACTTTGGAGGAATCGCGTTCTGCTCAACCTCATCCCCCACGTACGTCAAGTTCCCAGTGATCTGACGAAAAGACCGATCAGAGCCCAGCTGAGACTTCACCTCCAGCCCAGCTGAGACTTCACCTCCAGCCCTCCCTCTCATCACCATCCTCTGTGCATGTTCTACTGGCTCACCTGGGAGGTCTTGTCTTTCTCAGCCATCGACGCTGCCTTGGCATCCCACGTGTGCAGCGGCCGATAGTTTAGCGGAGGATCGCTTCTGCCCCTAGGGGAAGTAGGAGACGTCCGATCCTCCGCCGACTGCGAGGGAGGAAGGGATTAGTCTAAGGAGTCTCCTTGCTCCCTCCTGGCTTACTCGTCTCTTCCCCGAGTAGTTGATTTCCTGCAACCCAGCAATGCTTCTCGTCCCGTCGGAGTACCTCGGCGTCGGCTCGATGGGTCGAGATCCAGGACGAGAGCGCGGAGTGGCCTGTGCCGGGTCGGAGGATCGGACCCTCTGAAGGTCCAGCCTCGGGAACAAGTTGCTGCCTGTAAGGGTGGGAGAGTCGTTCTTGGAGGAGAAGGCATGTGACATTGATCGACTCCTCTCCGTTAGCTGCCCTCTCTTCCGCTCGTCGTCTGAGCGTCGCTGGGGAAGGCCTGCGGAGAGATGAGAAGGCAGTGGCGGAGGAAGGCAAGGGCCTTACGGAAAGCAGAGGAGGACGAGTCTGAAGTACCCGAGGACGTTCGTTTCTCCTTCTTTTTGTCCGACAACTTGGCAAGCCCACAGAAGGCCATGAAGTCATTGACAGAGATCCTGAAAGTTGATTGAGATGCGCGAAGAAGAAGCAGGGATAGTACCCATCCCCATTCTTATCAGTGAACATGCATGTGATGTCTCCAAGCCTCTTCTTCAGTTCGGGGATCGCAATTAATCCTTGCTCCACCTGATCCTTGGTCAAGCGCTGGGGCAAATGTCAGCTCCTTATGAGATCGTACGATCATCCTCTCACTCCATGCTTGTACGCATCCAGCTGGTTGAAAATCGCGACACATTCTTCTTCGGAGATCTCATACCCAGTCAGCGTGATCCCAACTCCCTCCCTCCTTATCGTCACTGTAGCGAGTGAGTCAGAGGTAGCTTTTACCGCATGCAGCTTCTCCACCTGGCTCCTTGTCGTTCTTGCGAGATGGCTTTTCAAGGCTATCGAAGGAAGGAACAAGAGCCTCGAACTTCTCAAGGGTGCTCTTGTACGAAGAGGAAGAAGCTTTTCGCTCCAACCACTGTGTGTTGTCCTGCACATGAACCTCCGATACCTTTGGCTGCATGTCCTTCAGTGAGGACTTACAATCATCGCAATCGCAATCTCACATGGAGATCAGTCTCCTTGTCCCTCGTTTCCATCATCATATTCCTCAACTCCGTCATCTGTGCCCTGATCTCTGAGACTGACTCGCGGTTTTCCTCCTGCAGTTGATGTTTCAATGGAACAGGAACATCAGCAAGAATCGTCCAATCACTTTGATGTCTTGGAATAGAAATTTCATCTCGTGGAAGATCGACAGACAGTCCTTGCACGTCGTGCACCTTGACAAGGGACTTTGATGCTCGACAGAGCTCATCTCCTCCCTTGATTTCTTAGTTTGGACCTGCTTCTCTCGTTCCTTCTCTTTCATTTTGTGCCTCTGCTAGGAAGAATCAAACCAACACCTTGCTCCGGAAGTCTTACCGTGTCTGAGTGAGGGAATATCCACTGGTGGTCGATCATGAGATTAGATGCTTTCTTTAGGTCCAAAAGCAGTGCTGACTGGTGCTCATTGAGCTGCTTTTGGGTTAGAATTCGCCTCCCCCCTGATGTTATCAATTTTCCTCGGCTGACTCTGCAAAGAAGATGTAAGAATTCCACTTCAAAGAGATCATGGAACAAAGGAATGCTCGTCCTTCCACGTTGCAATATGGAGACTTTCACCAGCAAACATTGGAAGGTGCACTTGCCTGTATCGAAACTGAAGCACTCGAGCCGCAGCTGTCCTCAGAGCCGTCTTCATCATCTCCGCATCGATTCTCTTCTTCACCCGCTGCTCTTGCTCGGTCTTCCCCAAGAACCCCAAGGGGAATTGAATGCAATAAAGAAGAAGAAGCGGCCCGATCATCATCAGAATGGCACAAATCAACCTGCAGAGGGCAAGGATCAGCAGGGAAGGACCTTCTGCACGGGACTGCCTGCCTACCTTCCATAATGCGTGATGGGAGCAAGGTCGCCGTAGTATGAGGTAGTCATTGCAAGAAGGGCGAGCCAGAAATTGTTCCATGCGTACGCTGCATGAGCCAGGCTGGCAGCAACCTCGGCAATGCGAATGAGGTAGCCTCCACAGAAGATTGCAACGAAAAGGAACGAAGTAAGGTATAGCTCAGGGTTCTGCGCCGCGTTCTCCTTGAACATGAACAAGCCGGGGTGGATGGAGGGATCGTGCAAGAGGAGGAAAACCATCCCCTTGTTCTCACACGTTTCTGTAAGGTACCTCTTGTACGTCGAATACTGTAGCCAATATGAGAGGAGACGCAGGAAATGAAAAAGCCGGATGAACATAACCGAGACGCAAACAGCTTCGAACCTGTAGTATACCACTCTCCCCATCATTTCATTCCTGTAATCTCTTGATATCCCGGAAATGGGATGAATCATGCATGCCACAAACTCAAAAACGAAAGATATGAGGAGCCTCCAATGTAGACCGCAGAAGTTCAAAAGCCTGTTCATCGTCGTCACTCTTTCTTCCCTATCACTTGTCTCGCGGTTGAAGCGAATCGACTCCCCTTGAGCGTGCATTGACTGGGCGCTATGTTTCAACTTCGAGATGACCAGCCGATATCGGAATTGCCAAACCATGCATATGAGAAGAAAAACTGTGAAAATCGTACAACCAGTCTTGACGAGATACACATCTTGGCACTCAGAACCTAAAGGATCCTTGCTGAACGGATCAGGGTAGCCGTCCGCGATCTCCTCCTCTGTCGGTTGATATCCCCTGGTGCAGAGCTCGTTGGCACGGATGCCGAAGATAAGGCCAACGATAGCGAAGATGACGTTGAGACTTTGGAAACCTGTCAGAGTCCTGAAGAGGCTGATGATTTTCTGGATGGACAGTCAATGGATACACCTCATCAACGACCAGCAGCATATTGGAGGAAGAGCAACAACATCAATGAAGGGATGATAAGGACTAGCAGCAGCAGCAGCAGCAGCAGCAAAAGGAAGTACAAGGAGCGGTATAGAACGAAGAAGGTGATGGTACAGCATTACTGTACCTTGACTTCAGCATCAACTCCACTCTTCAAGAATCCACGAGCAGCCGCTCTGGTGCGTAATGACAGTCTGCTGAAAACGGGAAAGAATTCAGTTTCGATGATTGTGATAAAATTCTTTAGGATCATTCTCGAGCTACGATCGTATCACAGAACCTATCTTTCAACCTTCTCCCTCAATCGCTTCTACATAGTAGATCTCGAAGTACAAATCGAGCAATTCATTCCAGAGTCTCAAAAATGTATAGCAACAACTTCAGTTCTCACTTTGAGACCACTCAATCATTCTGTTTCTGGAGCTAGAAGGGAACGACACACAGCGTAAACATTTTTCTCAACAGCTTTCTGACTATTCAGTGACATGGCTCCCAATTAAGACCCATCTCGCGTTCCACTTGAGCTGATTGCATCATCTTCTGTGCATCGTTCGTTCTGTCTAACCATCCCTTCACATCTTCTTCGTTCACTGTCTTGATCCTCTGCCTCTCCATCGTCCCCTCCCGCCTTCCTCTCCCTTACCTTGACCCCTTCATTCTTCGTTGCTGCCATTCAACTTTGAGGTCCCTAGTCTTCACTCACGCTCTACCCCACCCATCCTCCTTGTTCAGCATTCAAATACCCACCCCTACCCAATCTTTCAAGCGTCACACCCCTGCTGTTTGTCGAAATGTTGCTATGAAGAATACCCCTACTCTGACTACCCCATGTTACTCTTTCTTCACCCACCCCTGACAAGTCCTAGTTTTGGTGGTCCACCGGCCAGCCCCACCCCACCCCTCCTCCGATCAACTTTGATTTTACCCCTACCCACTTAGATGATACCAGAATCACCCCTACTTCAGAGTGGTTGACCCCACCATTTCGATACGACCTACTCCATCCATTGTAAGTTTCAGATTGGATGACAGAAACATTTTGAAAATTACTCTGAAAATTCCAAAATTACTGAAGAATATCTTCATCGCATGGAACAGTTTTGCGAGGAGGGATCACTAAATGGACAATCGGGCAAGTTTTGAGTTAGGGTACAAAATAATGAGTTTGAAACAATCTCAAATTTTCCACCGGAGGCTCGGGCGAGGCCGGGCACACGAGCTAGCCTTTCCTGCCAGTTTCCCGCCATCCACTCCTCAACAGACCATGGCCGAGTCGTCCGACGACGAGCCGCTGGTCGACGTGGAGAAGCGCAGGAGAGGGGGAGACGAGAAGAAGATCGTGTATAACCTTGATAGCGACGAGAGCAACGAGGAGGAGGAGACCCCCTCGAACAGAAAACGAGTCACGCCCACCAAGGAAAAGTCGCCAGGCACGGTGAAGGCAAGTCCCAAGAAAGTGAAGGACGACTCCCCAGAAGAAGAAGATGATGAAGAGCGCTTCTTGATGATGATGCAGAAACACGCGAGTCCTGAATTCAAGAAGATGATGCTCAAGACTGAATCATCGCCAGCCAAGAAAAGTCCAGCAAAGGCAGCCTCGTCTCTGCAAAACAAGATTGTTGCAGAGGAAGCAGACGAGAAAACGAGTGACGTCAAGACCGGTACAGCTAAGATTGAAACCTCGAAGATCAGATTCAGCAAATCTGTGCCTGTTCTTGTACCAAACATCAAAAGGGTTTGCAAGAATATGTTCGTGGTTCAGTGCGAGGACCAAAACTTGGATTTCGAGGGTGATTCTGGAGTCATTGGAACCATCAAGACTGGGGAAAGAAGCATGGAACTTGATCTGAAAGGGCAGGTGCACATTGCTTTGTGTATTATGAACACATCTGAGGCTTCTATCAGCTCTATGAAGGATCCATCCTCCCCTGCTGTACGATGATGGTCATGGATATGGGCGCTACCGAAGTCAAAATCGAGTCGGTAACATGCCATGATGTGAATACGATGCATGCTCATGATTCTTGGCACTCTTAGGTGATGAACGATTTCGTGAAGGTACCAGTTTGCACCTCCCACTTTCCTTGATGTCGCAGAACTTGATTGCTGTGTGCAGGTCCATCCCATCGCGAACCCACATGACGACAACATCGACCTTGAGCTTTCCGATGAGGATGACAACGAATTTGACGACGATGAAGTGAAGCCGAAGGTCTCTCTTTCTTCAGTAGCAAACAAAGGTCACAACAAAACTTACTTGTCTGTAGGGAAAGAAAGCAAAATCAGAGGCAGCAGGAAAGGAGAAGAAGCCCAAGCAAAAGTCTAAGCCAAAACCCAAAGGAAGCTCAGCAAAAAAAGGAGCAGCGAAAAAGCCAACAGCCAAGAAAACTCCAGCCAAAAAGAAATGATGAAGATCTGGCTGTGTACATGTCATCTTCAATAAACCCCCCCGAAACTCATGTTGTTTGTGAAACATTTAATTCACTGTACGAGTATTTCTTTCTGTCAATTGTGAATTGGTTATTGACGGTATCAGGACCTCGTCAGCTACAGTGTGGATATTTAAAGGGGTCAATAGGGAAACACTGAGCGAAGTTTTCGAGTGAGATGCATTCGCAAAATATGATGGTAATTGGAAAAACTTTCCTTGGTATGGGTTTCGCAGACAACTTCTCTCCTAAGTTCAAGGCTTGATCATATGCCGCTAGCTTAATGGCTCCAACACGCGGCACGCAGCTCCTGTCTCGGCAACCAGAAGACCTGCCTTCTCATTCGTGTAGAATCGTTTCATGTATCGCAGCAAGCCGCGTCCTTGCTCGAGCTGCCGGGCTCTCGTCCTACATCATCAGTGCGAGCGGCACCTCGTCCTTGCCTCCACAGGCAGCCTCAGCTTGCTCAGCTCCTGCACCATATCAGCTCTCCCCCGCTACCGCCAGTCGCAAGGCTCTTCACCTGTGGATTGGTTGTTTCCGAAGTTGGACGCCGCGAGCGGCTCGACGCTCTCACTCGCTGCGTTCTTGGCCTCTCCCCAATATCGCTTGCTGAGAAGCTCGATGAACATTCTCTCCGGGCACAAGAAACAAGAGCACAATAAACATAAGAAGCGGTCGGAGCAGGCGAGGATTCCTACAGCCGAGTCGATTTTCTGACATTGACATTCATCGGTGCCATAGCAGCACAGACACTTTCCATTGTTCTTCCAGCAGATCTGGTCGTCGTCCAAGGGAAACTCCAGCCTGCATTCGCTCTGATATCGTGCGCAGCAGCACTTTCCCGCAGAGCCTTGCCCGACCTCCCCGCGCTCTTTCCTCAAGAAACAGGTACGATCGTCGATGCAATACGATCCGTCGTCTGCACAGAGTTTCTCGCAGTAGCATGCGCCTTCACTTGTTGTACAACAGAACTTCCCCAGGTTCTTGCAGCAGAGCCCACCATCTCCCAAGAATGGCCCCAACGCCCAAGTGTTGTATCTTACACAGCAGCAATACGGGCATTGCCTATCTTGACAGTTCCAGCATGCAACAGAGTTATCCTCTCCCTTCTCCCATGAGTCGTAAGGTACGTATGCGCATCCATCGCACAGCAAGTAGCAAAGCCAGTCGGTCTTCCAGTCCGCAGGGTTCTTGAGAACGGAAAAGCTCTGCCAAGGTCTTCACATCAGTTGAGGAATGGTACATCTACAGGTCATGGAGTAGGTCTGATCTATGCTCAAAGAAAGAGTGATGCAGCGTTCGTCGAGCTCTTCCTTGTACTGCCTTGGTGCAATCAACACCCAAGCGTTCTCTTGCTTTCTCGGTCTTACTCTCCTCGCTTTCTCGTTTTTGCTGTACTGTTCTCTAGGCGTCTACACGCACTCACTCTCCTCCTGGGCTCTCTCATATCTGGGGATCACGATCTCTCTCGTCGCTTCGCTGCTTCATCCTGCTCTCATCCCCGCGCTCTTTCCTTCCTCTCATGCCCTCACCGTGTTCGCCTTGGCCATCCGGAGGTTCCGATCCAGCTCGCTCCCACTACCCCCACCCCCCTTGTGTCAGAAAGTAGCACGCTCCGCGTTGTAGCCATGTAACCCACCCCTCTAATTAATGCAATCAGATAACCCCTACCCCTCTATCCCCTTCCGCCATTAGGCCTTTACCACCCCTACTTCATCCGATTTCAGACATCGAGGTGCTGAAAGTGAATTACGACCTACTTACAGGTATTGTTCCCGCTTGGCCACCCCTACCACCCGCTGAAATCGGTACCCACCCCTTTCGTGAAAGTAAACAATACCCACCCCTTTGCCCAGCTGACTCCTCGAGCCAATTTAAAATCCACTGAGTACCCGTCATTCCTCAAGTAAGTGAGGAGGTTGGGGGTCTTATTTCGAACCAAAAAAAAAAGGTCAAGAAGCGAATTTCTGGGGTGGGGTGCTGATGAAATGGGGGGTAGGGTGATCGCAGATCCAGCTGGTTTTTTTGGAGCCATGGCGGTAAGTAAGAGGTGAATGTGCGAATGGAAGGAAAAGACAAGGGAAGAGGGAAAGAAAGAACAGAGTGACGATGTGACTATCTTGTGATCGTACCATACATGCATGAAGAACCAGGAAATTTGAAGCAAATTGTCGAAAGAAAGTAGAGGAAGGAATCGGAGAAGATTGGGAGGCTGGTGGAAGGAATGGAAGGCGCTTTGAACGAGAGTTTCCTTTGGCATGTTGCATGCCATCATCCTGATGACCTGCTATCAAAACAGGAGCAAGACCACAAAGAAATCGCGGATTGGGATGTCTGGTGGCTGTGTCATACGTTCTTAGCAGGGATCGCGGTTTCCCCATATGACTCTTGGGAGCAATCGCACGAGCTGCAGGAGGCCAAGCAGTACGCCACGTCGATCGAGAAGTGTCTTTGCCTCAAGCGTGCAGGATACTGCGAGCTAGGACATGCTATGAAAAAGGATGGACTGTTCTGCAATGCGAGATCCAAATGCTGTTGTCGCCATGGACAGAATCAGTGTTTCCTTGAAGACGCGTTTGACACAGACGGCGTGTGTTGGTTGGACGGGCGGAGGGCCTTCTTGCGTATGAAAGAAAAGGAGGCAGGGTGCAACTCCACGTGTAAGTGCTGCTGCTTGAGGTACAAGTTCGAGGACCGTCTCGAGAAGCCTTGTGAAGAGGGGAAAGTTTTCTGCTTGAACTCGTTCAGGTTCTTTCCTTTGATCTGTGAAGACAAGACTGAGCTTGAGGGGATGTCCGGGGAGCATGGCTTCGTATCGTGTATCGAGCGATCTCTTTGCATTCTTGGCACTTGCAGTCTTGTTCCGAAGAAGTTTTTTGTCGAGTGCTGCGGATCTCGCGTGATGGGATCGCCGAAAGAGGCTCAAGCGCTCCCTCAGAACGAACCTCAGCCTGAGGCTCAGCCTGAGGCCAACGCCACAGTGACTTTTGGCGGGGCGTCATTCGGACATGCTGGCAATCGCGCCATGGAAGGTGAGATCTGACTCGGCCCGGATGTTCCACGACTAACTGACAGAACGTCGGCTGGCTGACTGAGTCTCGCTGTGACAGGAGGAAGAGCCTGTGGGCAAGACCTGGAGGAGGACGAGGATACACCGGCACGAACAACGCATGGGCGAGAGGCGATCCCAACAGCCTTGACGATGTAATAGACTGCTTTGCTGGGATTGCTTTCGATAGCAAGAATTAGATCTATTCTTACTCATGGACTGCGGCTGATTCATTTAGACGTTGAAACTTGCAATTTTTATGATTTACAACTGCTGAAACTTTGACACAATGCGCAACTCATCCATATCCTAAGAGCAGATAATACCCTACGATCCTGTGGTAGTTAGTCACGGCAATGAAGAACTCCAGATCCGTAGGCTTCTCGGAAAGCTCTCTGGCATTTTTCCTGACAAGCCCTTCAACTGTGGGTACCCAATTTGAACACCATTCAGCCTGCAGACAGGAACCCCCAGATTGACTTCGAGCTGTCCTCGCAGAGGAGGTGCTGGGTAACATGGGAGGTTACTCCACCAGCCGCGACGATCGAATCCAGACGTCGATGTCCTGCTGCAGTGTTGACATAAGATCAGCGAGAGCGCTAAGCCTGGCATACCCGAGCAAATGTGTGTAAATCTCTTCACTGCACTCAATCAATTGAGCCTCCTCCAGCAGCCCCCCTGGGACGTCCCAGTGATGACATACAAGTCCATGCTGGGAGCATGTCTCCATGGCAGCGATGTTGCCGGCTGACCTCGTGCATTCTTGCACCCTTGTGCCGCTGCGATGTGATTTGGGCGTCGCAGCGTGGGGAAAGACAGACCATGGGACCCTGAATGGTATCAGTTCGTGCGAGGAGGATGAGATAGTAAGTCTGGGACGTCCCAGTCGAACAGACTTGCTTGCTCCTTCGGCCTCAGCTTCCCTCATGTCGCCCTGTCTACATCGCACTTGCTGCAGCCATGTCGGGTGTTCCCCTCGTAGGAAATTGGTGCCCCACCTCACGTAGGATACCAACAAAGTCATTGTAGCCTAAAATGGACCTGCCCCTTCCCTTGCGCTAGTAGAACTTCTGAGGTCAACTTGCATTGTGGTCACAGGGACATCACTGAAGGCCGCGGCGGCTGCCGCGCGGCCGGGCCCGGCAGGACCGTCGGACGATACCGAGTCCGAGTCCAGGCCGAGTCCGAGTCCGGGCCGAGTCCGAGTCCGAGTCCGAGTCCGAGAACATTTACATCGTCAAGGCTGTTGGGATCGCCTCTAGGATCGCCTCTCGCCCATGCGTTGTTCGTGCCGGTGTATCCTCGTCCTCCTCCAGGTCTTGCCCACAGGCTCTTCCTCCTGTCACAGCGAGACTCAGTCCGGTCAGCCAGCCGACGTCACTGTCAGTTAGTCGTGGAACATCCGGGCCGAGTCAGATCTCACCTTCCATGGCGCGATTGCCAGCATGTCCGAATGACGCCCCGCTGAAGGCAACGGTAGCATGCGCCTCATGCTGAGGGAGCGCTTGAGCCTCTTTCGGCGATCCCATCACGCGAGATCCGCAGCACTCGACAAAAAACTTCTTCGGAACAAGACTGCAAGATCCTCCCAGGAAAAATATTCGCTCGATGCACGATACGAAGCCATGCTCCCCGGACATCCCCTCAAGCTCAGTCTTGTCTTCACAGATCAAAGGAAAGAACCTGCACGAGTTCAAGCAGAAAACTTTCCCCTCTTCACAAGGCTTCTCGAGACGGTCCTCGAACTTGTACCTCAAGCAGCAGCACTTACACGTGGAGTTGCACCCTGCCTCCTTTTCTTTCATACGCAAGAAGGCCCTCCGCCCGTCCAACCAACACACGCCGTCTGTGTCAAACGCGTCTTCAAGGAAACACTGATTCTGTCCATGGCGACAACAGCATTTGGATCTCGCATTGCAGAACAGTCCATCCTTTTTCATAGCATGTCCTAGCTCGCAGTATCCTGCACGCTTGAGGCAAAGACACTTCTCGATCGACGTGGCGTACTGCTTGGCCTCCTGCAGCTCGTGCGATTGCTCCCAAGAGTCATATGGGGAAACCGCGATCCCTGCTAAGAACGTATGACACAGCCACCAGACATCCCAATCCGCGATTTCTTTGTGGTCTTGCTCCTGTTTTGATAGCAGGTCATCAGGATGATGGCATGCAACATGCCAAAGGAAACTCTCTTCGACTACGTCCAACTTCTCTCTCACCCTCCCAATCTTCTCTTTGCCCCCCTTTCCAAAGAAACAGAAACGCTTTTCTCGCTCTTTCTCTGTGCATGGTAACGATCACAACATACATTGCACATCCACAACATACATTGCACATCATCAGACTCTGCCCGCTCCTAAACAAAGCATTTTCTCTTTCTTTCCTGTCTTCACGGCTGCCCCTACCCATCCCTCCCGATCTATACTCCCACTTACCGCCATTGTCGCAACCTCAACCCTCTCACCCCAGACTACCCCCACCCCCTACTCCGACCCCGAATATCCATTAAAGACCAGGGGTGGAGTCAGGGGGGGGCCAAAGGGCCGCTGGCCAAGATAAGTTACTACTGGGAATCATGTGACAGGTTGGGTGGGGAGGGTGGGGGTAGTGGGAGCGAGCTGGATCGGAACATCCGGATGGCCAAGGCGAACACGGTGAGGGCATGAGAGGAAGGAAAGAGCGCGGGGATGAGAGCAGGATGAAGCAGCGAAGCGACGAGAGAGATCGTGATCCCCAGATATGAGAGAGCCCAGGAGGAGAGTGAGTGCATGTAGACGCCTAGAGAACAGTACAGCTGCGACATTAGCAACGAGAAAGCGAGGAGAGTAAGACCGAGAAAGCAAGAGAACGCTTGGGTGTTGATTGCACCAAGGCAGTACAAGGAAGAGCTCGACGAACGCTGCATCACTCTTTCTTTGAGCATAGATCAGACCTACTCCATGACCTGTAGATCTACCATTCCTCAACTGAAGTGAAGACCTTGGCAGAGCTTTTCCGTTCTCAAGAACCCTGCGGACTGGAAGACCGACTGGCTTTGCTACTTGCTGTGCGATGGATGCGCATACGTACCTTACGACTCATGGGAGAAGGGAGAGGATAACTCTGTTGCATGCTGGAACTGTCAAGATAGGCAATGCCCGTATTGCTGCTGTGTAAGATACAACACTTGGGCGTTGGGGCCATTCTTGGGAGATGGTGGGCTCTGCTGCAAGAACCTTGGGAAGTTCTGTTGTACAACAAGTGAAGGCGCATGCTACTGCGAGAAACTCTGTGCAGACGACGGATCGTATTGCATCGACGATCGTACCTGTTTCTTGAGGAAAGAGCGCGGGGAGGTCGGGCAAGGCTCTGCGGGAAAGTGCTGCTGCGCACGATATCAGAGCGAATGCAGGCTGGAGTTTCCCTTGGACGACGACCAGATCTGCTGGAAGAACAATGGAAAGTGTCTGTGCTGCTATGGCACCGATGAATGTCAATGTCAGAAAATCGACTCGGCTGTAGGAATCCTCGCCTGCTCCGACCGCTTCTTATGTTTATTGTGCTCTTGTTTCTTGTGCCCGGAGAGAATGTTCATCGAGCTTCTCAGCAAGCGATATTGGGGAGAGGCCAAGAACGCAGCGAGTGAGAGCGTCGAGCCGCTCGCGGCGTCCAACTTCGGAAACAACCAATCCACAGGTGAAGAGCCTTGCGACTGGCGGTAGCGGGGGAGAGCTGATATGGTGCAGGAGCTGAGCAAGCTGAGGCTGCCTGTGGAGGCAAGGACGAGGTGCCGCTCGCACTGATGATGTAGGACGAGAGCCCGGCAGCTCGAGCAAGGACGCGGCTTGCTGCGATACATGAAATGATGCTACACGAATGAGAAGGCAGGTCTTCTGGTTGCCGAGACAGGAGCTGCGTGCCGCGTGTTGGAGCCATTAAGCTAGCGGCATATGATCAAGCCTTGTAGCTAGACTGCGTTGGAGGTTTACCTTCTAGCTACAACAGAAATGGCTGGGGCCAACAGGATTGTTCCCCTTCCAATTCTCTCAGTCTCAGATGTTTTCGTGCAGTTGCTACACTCTTCTTTCATAAAGTACCAGTCTTGTACGCCTCCCTCCTCCCTCCTCCCTCCTCCCTCCTCTCCTCTCCTCTCCTCTCCTCTCCTCTCCTCTCCCCTTCGCTTCCCTTCTCTCGCTGCCCGCTTGCCTTGTGCCTGCCTTCACTTTGTTCTGGTCAATTTTTCTTGTCAGAACTTGACTAGGTTGACTTTCCGTTGAACACTTCGCTTGCGATGCAGGCGCTTCGGCTGCTTGGGAAGGGCCTTGCGGAGAAGAAGGCGGAGAAGGAGGTCGAGAGTATGATCAAGGAGGAGCAGGACATGCTCAAGGTGGGGATTGGAGGAGCCTGAGACGGAAGGGACTGATCTCGTTCTTACAGGAGGCCGCCAGGCGCCTATCTGCAGCAAGCTATCGCAATTGGGGGTTTTCGTGCTCCCGTGAGACAAAGTTCGGGGAGGAGAGGGCACTGGTCAACCTGGTCCACACGTGTGGGGCCGCCATGCAGGCTTGCGCTCTCCCTCCCCCTCTTCCTCGCGCTGACTCGTCATGGGCAGTTTAAAGAGGAAGGGGAGCTTCCGATCCTGCGCGTCCAGATGGTACAGGAGGAAGATCTCTGCTCCTCGGCTCATGGGCTCTGCAGGGAGATGGGAGGATGGAGTGGATCATGCTGTCGGGAGAGGATGGGGCGGCAAGAGGCATGTTCAGCGAGGGGCCGGTCGAGCTCCTGAGGTGGAGGAGAGGAGAGGCGACGACGGTTGCTGCTGAGAGATAAAGCAGGCACTCGTTGATAGCGCAGAACCTGAGGGAGCGAGAGGAGCAAGACTTCGAGGAGGAGAACAGGAGGAGGGGGAGGAGGCAGGTCACACTGCCGGACTACATCGCCGACTTCCGGAAGTCCCTCGACTTCTGGGGGGCAGCGGAGGGAGGGCGTCCGGAGCTCGCGCAGGGGGAGGGAGCAGTGAAGCTCTCCGAGGAGACGAAGCTCCTTGCTGAGGTCCAGGTGTCGCTCATCACCATGGAGAACAGCATGAAGATCGCAAGGGAGAAGCTGCTCGAGCAGCTGGGGGTAGAGCAAGACCTCGTCCGGTTCCACGAGCTTGAAAGGTGGGGGCTCCTTGCAGTCTTGCCGCCCTGCTGACTTGCTACTGCCCACAGCTGCCAGGAGCTCGGCATGTGGAGGCTACAATGGCTCTGTCCTCGTCGTGAGTACGGAGGCCAGAAGGAGGAAGAAGGTAAGGAGAGGAGAGGATGAGGGAGGGAGTGAGAGGAGAGGAGGAAGGAGGGAGGGGGAGGTGAGGAGGAAGGAGGGAGGGGGAGGAAGGGAAGAAAGAGGTAAGGGCCCCACGTATCCTACTCATGCCGATGAACAGACGTACAGCGCTGCTGCTGCGCTTCAAGGAGGACGATGATGATGTGCTTGTCTCACATGAGTGAGGAGCACAACAGGATGTGGCTGCTACCTGACGGCTCCTTCGTTCTCATCAACGATCGCGGAAGCTGCTTGCGAACGTTCGGAGCTGGTACGAGGAGAGCAGGAAGAGCAGGGAGAGGAGGGGAGAGGAGAGGAGAGAAGAGAAGAGGAGAGGAGAGGAGAGGAGAGGAGAGGAGAGGAGAGGAGAGGAGAGGAGAGGAGAGGAGAGGAGAGGAGAGTTCAGTATACAACCATTCTGAGTGTATATCTCCTCTTGCAGGCAAGCCGAGGATCAAGCTGGAAAGGGATGATTTGATTCTGCACCTGCTTGCTCGGCATGTGGCGGAAACCAAGACCTGAGACGTCACGAGCACGAACCTGCGATGCAACTCTCCTTGCTCATCTTCTCTTCTTGTTCCTCTCCGTTTATATCTCCCTCTTTCCCCTGCTATCTTTCCCTTCTCCCTCTCTCCAGCCTCCCTCCTCCCGTCCATACCCCGCTACATTCTTCTCCTCCAGTTCCCCACTCCTCTTTCCTCCTAGAATTTCCCCCTTGCCGTTACTCTCATTCTCATCAAGTTGCCTCTTCTCCTCCACCTCCGTGCTTTCTACACATTTTCACTGCAGCCTATCCCGAGATCCCTCTCGGTCATGTTTCTCAGCTGTTGCAGTCTTGTACTTTTCCAATCGAAGAATTAATAAAGTCAGCAGCACTTGTTAGATTGATTGAAGTTCATGCTTCCGACCTCTGCAATGTTATTCATGTTGGTCGCAGGGATGTTAATGGCAGATCCTATGAACAGCTCCCAAAATCTTGTGATCTTGTTCATGTTGGATTTCTACTCTCACTTGCTTCTCACATTCGACGGGAGGAACAAGGAGGCGAATGCTCGGGGCAAGACCAGGAAGAAAGACCAGGAGGGTAGGAAGTGCGGAAGGAGGAGGGACAGGGAAAGTAGAGAAGTGGGAAGGAGGAGGGGGAGGCAGGGAGGCAAGGGGAAAGGGATATTCGAGGACAATTATGACTCTCTACAGCAAGTGAAAGCATTTCATTCTCTACAGCAAGTGAAGCATTTCATTCTCTACAGCAAGTGAAAGCATTTCATTCTCTACAGCAAGTGAAAGCATTTCATTGGTTTTAAAGACATTTAGATTGAAATGAATAAAATATCCTTCGACATGTACAGCTTTACATTTCCCTTGGACGGGCGTCCCTTTCCTCCTCTCAGCTCAGCGGCTTTGGCTTCCTCTCTCCCTTCTCCTCCCCCCATCCTGGCTCTTGACGTCTTGGAGGAGGAGGAGGAACCCCAGCCTCACCGGCTCGAGGAAGCGCGCGATTGGCGCCGAGTGTAATGGCCCTGACTTCTCCCCGTGCAGGAGCAGCAGGAGCAGCTTCTGTGCTTTGACTCTGCGCAACTTGAGGGGTCAGAGACGCCATGGCGCGAACGCCTCCCTGCGGCTTCGGACGGATAACGCCCAGCCTGGCGGCGAGGTTGGGGGCGACTATGGGCCTGCCATGGCGCTTGAAGGCGGGCTCGGAAGGAGGGGCTGGCTTGAGCGAGGACTCACTAGACTTGACCGAGTCGCTGGAGCTCGTGTTAGAGTCTCTCAGCTTCGACTCCTCCGACGGGGACGCATGGCCGGAGCTGGTGGGCTCCTGCTGGTGCAAGCTCCATCGTTCTCCTGCCTTCCAGTTCTTTGCCTCTTTCGCCTCTTCCTGCTGGACCTTCCTCGTGCTGCCGTTGCCGTCTGGCGTCTTCTTGGCAGCTGCTTGCTCGAGGATGTCGTCGATTCGGATCCCCTGCTGAGCTTCCCAATCCGCCGAGCTCGCAGCTGAGGACAAGGAGGAGGAGGTCGGAGGCCTGCTGACGTCTTCAAGATCGATCTGGTCGGCACCCACCAAGGAACTTCTGCTCGATCCCCTCGACTTGATGGAGGGCCTTGCAGACCCTCGCCGAGCCTGTTCCGGGGGAGTCGGGCCGCGGCTGTACACTTCACGTGCAGTCCTTCTGTTCCTGTAGAGGTCGTCGACTGCCGACCCACTGGACGACATGGAGGCTGGAGTGCTCCTACCGCTTGTTCCCTGGAAGATAAGTTTCCCTCCCGACGTCCCGCTCTTGAAGTGGTGTTCCGCCCCTGGCTTCACATCGAGCACTCCGGCCTTCCCTCCCGGCGCGGACTCGTCGACTTCTTCCTCGCTCTCGTCGAGATCGTACTCATCATATCTCCTCCAGTCCTTGATTTCTGGCTTCTGCCGGATCTTTCCATCATCGCTCCTTGTCGCTTCAGGGTTCACTGTATCCTCCGGGAGTACCGGGGGATAGACACCCGCGGCTTCCTTCACGTTCTTGGAGAAGGCTGTATCTTCTTCCTCTTCATATGAAGGAGACAAGGGCAGCCCACCTGCCTCGCCTGTCTTCAATCTTTCATCTTCGAAGGTGGTTCCTTTTTCATCTCTCTTTCGTCTCAACCGTCGAAGAAACACGATTAGTAGGACCACTAGAGCCAAACTCAAAACTCCGACTCCGATCAGGGTTGCAATGAAGGTAGTCTGGGAGGTGGTGGAGGCTTGCACGTACGCATTGTACTTGGGCATCACATCCTTGCAGTAAGGTATGTTGCTATATGCGATTTCGGTGGCGGTTACTTTTCGGAAGTTCAAACATTTCGCCGAACTGTCTGTGGCTTCTATGGAGCCCACTGTGATGCCATAACTGCAGTTCCTCTGCCCCAGCATTCCTTCCTTCCGCTTCACTTTGATGTAAAATTCTGCACTCCTGCCGCATCAAATTGATCAGTTGAACCTTGCAACCAGCAATCACAGCCTACCTCCTAAGGTAAATCTTCACTTGCTTCGAGACCGAGTTCGACACGTCCTGCATCTCTGAGATGTAGTTGAGGTCTGGGATACATCCCTCAGAGACAAAGACATCGTAGACTCCCCCTAGAGCAGGAGTGCAACGTCCCTGGTCAAGATATTTCAGGATAAACTCGCTGCGCAAGTGTAAGCATTTACCAGACTGCAGGAGACGTTCCAGGGGCTTCGAAGGTTGAAGAACATCTCTGCCTTAGTGTTTGTCCCAGGATCTCCTGTGACATGGTAGATTTGCTCCTCAGAGCAATCCTCTCCTCTTGCCCATCGATCGCAGACTCCGTCTACCCGCTTCGCGTCACAGACGTCGGTTTGACAGAGGCTGAGGAACGATGAGACAGAAGTCTGCAAGAGGCTCCTCCTGCTGGTGAGGTAATCACCCACTACAGAGATAGGTCCTGATTGCGAGATGGGGAAGAGTCCGTAAAGGAACAGGAGCCGCAAAGTCCCTCGAATGAATGTTCCCAGGGGTGGCATGTCTGAGGTCTAGCAAGGAATATCAAGTTCAAGGCTGGGTCATAGCGAATCTATCAGGATCAAGAGCATGAGAGTAAGCTGCCTTGGCAAGGTTTACGTTGGAAGAGTTCGTTGCGTGATCAAAAGGCAGGCGATGACCGCGAATCACCATGAAATTTTCGGAACATTATGAAATCAACACTGAATCAAGGTAGGAGGACGAAGAGCCTGCAGAGGCGATTGAACAGAGGGGAAGGATCACGCAAGTACAAGCAGATGGGCGTGAAGCGATGGAGGGAAGTGTGAAGGAGAAGGCCGAGGGAGTGCAGAGCGCATGGTAACGGCTGCAGCCAGGCAAGCCGCCTGCATGGTCGGTTGGGGGTAAGACAACGGAACCAGGGGGGTAGGGTTCAATGTCAGGGATAGGGGATGGTTGGGGGTGATCAATGGGTAAAGTGGGTAGGGTAGTATGTGAACTCTTCACTGACGGGGTGAGTTAACAGGAATTTGATGGGTAGGGGTGAAGTATTGATGCAGGGTGGGTTGCTCATGTGGACAATAGAGGGTGGGGGTACTTTGACTAGTGATTGATGTAATCGCCACTCGGTAGGGGGTCATGGTTAGATTTTTTGAAAGAGGGGGTTGTGTGACTAGAAAGTAGGGGTACTTGAGATATTGGGTCGGCTATGGGTAGGAGGGGTGGGGTAGTTGACTGAGGACAGCAAAACCGTTGGCGTTCAAGAGAAATTGGGCAGATTCCCACCCCCCCTTTTGAGTATGTAACCACCCGGTACCAAGGGTTCTCACCCCACCCCTTGGGGTTTTCACACACCCGTTCGTTTCTGGTGTCAAGTACCGGTTACCAAAGAATTTCAAATCCCTCCACCCCTCATCCGGTAGATCAAGCCGTTACACAAGTAGTTTCACATGTACGGTATGAGGGGTGTAAGCTTTACAACGAACCGGTGTTATCCACGGAAAAAAAGTAGGTAGGGGCTTATACTTTCTGTTAGGTCCCTGCCTGTGTCGTGAGAAATAACATCTAGAAAGACGGGGTTCAAAGAGGGAAATACAGGGGTATATTTCATACAAGTGGGGTGGGGGTATGTTCTGTAGGGGTAGTCACGCGGGCAATGGCGGCAAAGGAAGTTGGCAGATAGGAGGAGGAGGGAGGAGAGGACAAGAGGGAAGGAAGAGGAAGAAGCAAGAAGGAAATGCAGAGGAAATGAGAGAGCTGGGGCCAGGGGAGGAAGACGAGGACAGAATTCTCGAGCTACTGGGCGGAGGAAACGAGAAAGTCAAGAAAAAGCGTGCGATGGGATTATTAGGATGTAGATGGATCATGAATTAGTAAGAGGAGAAGGGGATCTGACGAGATGTGAGGGAAGCTACATGTTGCAGGAAAAGAAGAAACTCTTGGGAATCCAAAGACGTTTCGAGGCACCACGTGCAGGAACTGACCAGGTTGTTGGCAGGTGTCTTTATGGAGGTTGCCAACGGTGAAGAGTCCCCCGAGCGCGTCCGCTTCCTCGTTGAGCTTGAGTTCGTCCAGTGTCTGGCCAGCCCTCACTATCTCGATTGGCTTGCCAACCAGGGGTACCTGAGAGACCCGAAGTTCATCCGATACCTCGACTACCTGCAGTACTGGAAACAGCCGCAGTACTCCAAGTAAGAACTTTCTGCCCTCCTCCTCGTTAGCCTTGAGGAAGTCTCTCCTGTTTCGATCTGACTGCTTCAACTCTCCTTTCACATTCCCCGCACCCCCTCCTTCCCCTGGGATGTCTTGCGAGCGATGCAGCATGGGTGCCCCCCCACCCCCCCCCCCCTTCCCTCTCCTTGTATTCGATGAGCATTGACTTGAAGGGCTCAGGTTTCTGGTGTACCCTCACTGTTTGAGGTTTCTGGACCTTCTCCAGCACGAGGAAGTAAGGACGGTCTTGACAAACGATCGTTCCATCTGCCTCAAGATCACCGACCAGCAGTTCTATCACTGGCTGTACCGTCGCAGGCACATCGTTGAGCCTGAGGCTACAGAGGCCGAGATAGCAGAAGCGGTAGGTGGAGGCGCCGCTGAAGCTGCGCCAGCTGAGAAGGCTTGAGAGGCTCGGACGGCCTGTACGGCAGTGGCTTCCCGTGAAGTGAAATCTGGGCAGCAAATTCTTAAATAGAAAAACAAACAAAAGATAGAAGCGGAGGCGGAGGGGGTGGCGTTTGTGAAAGTGACGAAAGAGTTTTAGAGAGACAAAACTCAATCCAAGTGAAAATCGCAGCGTTATGGCCGATCACTTGGGGCTGATTGATGATTGGCATAATTTTTTCAATGGGAAGGCTGAGGAGATCTCAGGAAATCTAGCCGAGCCGGTGGCTGCTGATCAAGCAAGTGCTTCCTGTGTGAAGTCTGTGCTAGAGGGCTGTGTATCGCTCTTCGAAGAATCATTCAGGAGGATGGAGGATGAGTTGGAGTTGCTGAGGCGAATCATCTACAGGCACAAGAGTCAGATGAGGAACAGCCTGCACCTTCGCAACCTAAGTCAGATGAGGAAGGCTTGTGAACGGCTCATTTCAGGGGGTCTCCGGCAGTTGCTCAATCAAGCGATCGACGTGGTGTCGCTGGATGCTCCTTGCAAGTCCCCGTCAACGGAGCTGATCGAGTACATGATGGCTAGAAGCGTGTCGAACGGCGTCTTGAGTCTACGGTTGGTGGCGCGCGCAGAGATGTCATTCTTGTCCTGCGAGGAGCTCATCAAGAATGCTCTCTTCATGCCTTTCGCCATCGCATGCTACGCCATCTCTGCTCGCATCCGCTACCTGGCAAAGGATATCAGGTGATTCCTTCTCACGACTTGATCGTAGCATGACCCCATCTGACAGCTCGAACCTTGTCGAGGCTCATCTTCGTCTAAGTGTATTGACAAGTCGCGTCCGCAAACACCCGAAGTTCAGTGGGAAGACTGTGAATGAGATTATGGAGGCTCTTGGTGGATCGAGGTGGCCCACCAAGTATGAGGACCAGCTCAACCAGCTGCTGGAGCTCCTGAATGAACGCCAGGTACTCAACTTGTAACTTGGCAAAGTTGACGCCTTGCTTGTCAGGTTCGGGATGTCAAAGTTCTGTCCGAGGCGAACGAGAAAGATATTCTGGCGGCTGGTGAGAGCAAGGGTAGAGAAGGATCGGTGGAAGAGATGTCGGACAACGACGAGGGAGTCGCTATTGAATTCAGCGCAGCTGTAGAACATACCACAGCGAAAGGGAAAGAAAGCAAGCCGAAGCCAGATAAGGTAGCGACTTCGAAGGATGTTGCGTCGGATATGAAGAAAAAGAGGAAGAGAGAGATGGAACAGCCCAAAATCACACCTGAGAGTGTCGGGAAGAAAGCAAAGGCGAAAGATTTTGGTGGGGAACAAAAGAAGCGAGAGCCGCTTGAATCGCAAAAGAAGAATCAGCCTGCTGAGAAGAAGAATATGTTGGATTCTTTGATGCCTGTTCGTGACACGGACGAGGCGCCGACGGAGGGGAAATGTAATCGTGATTCTCCAGCTAAAGGAAAATCTGCAGAAAAATCGTCAGTGCAGGGAAAGCTCAAAGAAAAACCGCAAGACAAAGTAAAGACTGGAAGCAGCGGAACGAGCAAGAAGGTCGTGAGCGCCTCAAGCGCATGGCAGCTGATGAAACAAAATTCTTCTGTTGCCACTCTGACTAAGATCAACAAGGTTGAAGGAGGCAAGAGCAAGGTTGCAGAGAAGGTCGAGAAACCAAAAGGTTTCAAGTCTCCCTCGCAAGCAGATGTCGCCAAATCTGCTCAAGCCAAGAAGCCCAAAGGGGGTGGAGGTGGAATCTTTGATTCTCTCATGCCAAAGTCAGAATGGGAGTGAGAGAAGGGGTAAGAGAGCATATGGAATGCAATGCTTGTAAGTGATTTAAGGAGAAACAACAAGAATATTGTATCCAAACGTCCAAATTTCGACACGAAGAAATCATTTTGTGAGAGGTGAACTGCGACCGATTAAGTCAAGGAATCGAGCAGCGGCCGATAGCTGGCAATTCAAAAACCAGTCGTCTCACCTGACTGTGTGAATCCCGCACTCTGTCTTGTCCGATCCATCGGGATTCTGCATATTCTGAAACCTTCCAGCCCGTTCCATTCCTTTTCTCTCAATCAGAATTTTCCAACCCTATCTCCTCCTCCTCCTCCTCTCACCGTACAAGAACCACTTCTCCTTCTCCACGCGCAGTGTGCTGTGCATGTCTCCTGCACATGGATCAGCCTCTATCGCGTCCTGTAAGCATCGCATGCGACGCTGGGACGTCACCTAAGGAAGGGTAGCCATCATCATGGAGGGGATGGTAGGGGACCTTGTGTTGCTCGATGTATTTCCAGCAGTCCTGACAAGCACTCACTCCAAGGCCATCGAAACAGCCAGCAGGCTCGCGACACACCTCAAAGGTCCAGAAAGCGATTGGGTTCATCTTCTCCTTCTCCCAGACCTCGAGCGCTGCTCGTTCGAAGCCTTGATCTCGTCTCCGCCCTGCAGGACATGAGCTCTCGGTAGCTTCCGCAGCCTCCTCACCGTTGATCCAGAGTTTGGTCTTACTCTCTCGCAGAGCCCGAAGGAGAGGCTCGACCTTCGCTACCCTGCAAGAAATCAGCCTCACATTGATCGGAGCGACGACACGACTTGTCGTAGGTCTCGATGTCTTCAATGAAGATATCGTCCCCGTACTGAGCCAGAGTGAGCGCTTCATCAGCGTGATAGGACTTGGGGCTTGCCTTCTCATCAAACTCCTCGCGGGTTTCGCATCCTTCGGCCTTGTAGATCACAGCCTGTCAAGCGTCATCATGCCGTACACAAGTATCAAGACTGTCAAAACCTTGAATCCGTAAAACTTCTCAACCTGGAAGAATACACGTGTGAGTACTAATGTTCTGACATGAGGGTTTCACAACCTTCTCAAGAAATTCGAGCGTCTCAGGAAAGAGATGCAACGTGTCGATGAAGACAATCTGTTTCATGGTGCTCAACATTGGAACGGAGTCACAACAAGCAGAGCAACAAATAACCTTCACTTTCGGAAGCAGACCAGACTTTGATGCAACAACTTCAGTGCCCTGCACGACGCATTCGCAGGTTGAACTACCTTGTGCAAGATGTGCAAGATGACGTCGTCCCCCGCAATCAACGCGGTCGTGAACACGGGATTCTCGTACTTCGCTACTGCAAGAATGAGATCGTCAATAGCCTGCACCGAGCAAGGTCAGCTTGTTGTGAGCCACAAACATGCGCTGCTGGAAAAACTACTCACTTGCTGCTCGAGATATTTCAGCCGAGACTCGAGGTGCAGTTTGTTGTGCTCCTTCACGAACATATCGAGCTTGTCTTGCATCCTCAAGACAAGCTTCGATGGTCTGGACATGCTGATTGTGTACGTCACACGTGGAGAAACGCAACGGTCAAGGCAAGATCACCTCTCCTGCTTCGTGAGCTTTCCTAGGGAACTCCGGAGAGATTTGAAATGTATGGTGGGAGTTGGACAGTATGCAAAGGTGTTTGCAACTGACAATGAGAGGAGGACCAAAATGATGCAACTTTTTCGCATCTGTGAATAAGCAGTCATTTGACAGAGGATAATTTCTGAAGATATCATAGTAGCAAAACAATTCCAACATAGATATCCTACACCAGAAAGATCCAGATTCCGTCTCAAGTTTTCACTCCATGACATACACTTGTCCTGAATTACTCTTCGTTTCCTTGACTCAGTTCATATTATCGCCATGTTCTGCGCGAGAATATTTTTCTCCACATTCAGCCTGGGTAGCAGCACCACTGCTCTTGTTTGTTTTGATTCTGCCAACGGTGCTTTGTGTTCTTTCTCCTCCTGCTCTCCTCTGCTCTCCTCCATCCCTCCATCCCTCCTCCTACTTCTTTCTCTTCCATCCTCCTTCCATGCTCCTCTCCCCACCTCTTCCCACCTCCTCTCTCTCCTTCCTCTCCTCGCATCTTGTCACTTCCATTGCCACTGGTAATCAATCTAATCACAAGGCGCATCGACCTACCAGTCTCAACACTCTCCCACCCCCCTTGGCGTCAGCAGCGAAACATTTGATCCAAATGTATATATTCTGTTTTGAAATTTTTAAACTTTTAAAAATAATTTCGACGAAGATACCATATATTTTTGTTTCACCTGAAATATACTCACCCCCCCTACCCCTGTACCACTTACACTGCTGTACACCCCAACACGTCAGTCCGGCCACTAGTCGCCGACGCTAGTGTGCTTGCAGTAGTAGTTTTTACTGCCTTTTGTTTCTCCTAGTTTTCTGTTGAGGCGGATTTGTTAGTATACCCCGGAGTCACTCAGTCTATGAGTCTCGGAGGACTCCGGGAGGCCCTGCCAAGGGCCCGCCGGCTCACTGTCAGCACTGTCAGTCACTGTGGTGCCGGTGTGGTAGTATGGTGCTCACATGGCTTTATACTTTTGTGTCTAGGTTACAGAACTGCACTTAGTGACTTGCGAGGCCTCTAGAGCGACAGCAGGTTGGGATACTCGAGGATGACGTCATCCGCCGTGAGCGACTCCCATGGCTCCTCCGGCACCCAGAGCAGCTGCCGCGGGAGAAGTCAGCAACCTCGTCATGTAGGTAGCAGTGGGCGGAGGAGGACGAGGAGGAGGAGAAAAGGGAGACCGAGGAGGAGATGAATAGAGCAGAGGCGGGGGGCGACAAGACGAAACTTCGGCACATCGGCAGGAATAAGGGGGCAGGGAGGATAACCTCAGCAGCAACGAGCGAGTCCTCATTCAGAGCTTCTGTTCCCAGCGACATGAGAGCCTGCGGTGCTGGGGGTGAGGAGGAGGAGGAAGGAACGCAGGAGGACAAGGCATGCTCACCTCCTTGAGACTCTTACTGTCCCGGATCTCGGGAAGCTTCTTACCCTCCATGGCGACAACCTGAATCAAGCTCTCAGCCGAACCGTAGCTACGGAACAGCAGACTGCTCTCACCATGGTGATCACAGCCATGGTGCTCTTGCCGATGTCCTCGAGCTAGGGAGAAGGTGTCATCACCAGCAGGAGCATGACAAAAAGGACAAGCAATGGAGAGCTGGGGACAAAACAAGCAAGAGGAGTAACCTTTGTCTCCGAGCTCCTTGCTTCCGACTTGTCCTTCCCCGCAACCCTGCAGGAGAAACATTATGCGAGGGAGACCGAAGGCTCATCGAAAGTCTGGAGGGAGGTAAACAGATCCTTACAGGTTGAAAGTCTCCCTCTCCACCTTTGCACGCTCCGTGAAGGACATCTGAGACGCCAGTTTAAACACAAACCCACGGATCGGGGAGAACCAAGACTACCTGCGAGAAGATGTTCTCTCCCTCAGTGATATCCTTGACGGTTTTCCTGACACGATCGCAAGCCCGTCAGGCAATGACTTCATCAGACCATCTCAGCTCACGTCTCAACGGCTGCTGACACCCAATCGACTTCTCGCCGGAGGAGCGCGAGCGACACATCAGACACAAGGCTCGCCATGCTCCTCTGACGCCCATGGTCAGCACCCGAAGGCTAAGGAGACTCCTCTGAGGCAAACCTGCGATCTGCTGTCGCAATCTCGAGCCAGCCTTGCTACTGTACCCAGGAGAGAATTTGGCCCTCTATTGTCACAGCACACCTGGGCCGCAACGTCACGATCAGCCCTGCACGGGGCAGGCATCGGCTTCTCGTACCGCCACTTGGACCTTGGCGATGTTGATACCCGACGTCCTCCCTTGCCGCGCATTCTCAAACATGTTGTACGCCATCGCACCGGCGTAGGCGACCCCTCCGATGACAACGACGTCGGTGAGAAGGGGGCCGTAGAAGAACGGCCTCACGCCAAAGGGAGATAGACCTGCGCCAGAGTTACAAGTTGAAGATGCCGGGAGCCTCCAGCCGAGTTTCAACACCTAGGGGGGAATATCCAAGAGGAGACAGGGGAGGAGGAGCCACTATCACGCCACCTCCTGCCATGAGCAAAGGTCATGATGCTGCTGCATCACAAGGAAACGGGGACGACTCAAGGAGGTGACGTACCTATCTGTCTCTGCGCAGAAGACTTCATCGAAGACCTCACTGACGCCTTCATTGAGCTTCTTGCCGCTGCTCCTGCGCGGAAACCCGATCCTGCTACTCTCCCTCCGCTCTTGGCTGCGAAGGCATCCCCAGGTGAAAGAAGAAGCGCTACCGTAGCAAGTGCTATCACGGCAACGCGCTTGAAACTGAATCTCGATTAGCATCGCAAAGCAGCAAACAAGGGAGTTCCAACCTGTCGACTACACCCCCAGACATGTTTGTCTGCACTAAAGAACTTCTTGAGTTTCTTCTTGAAGATGCAGCTTTTAGATCAACGTATCGAGGTGACTTTGTTGAACATCTCCTCAAGCATTTGTCCAAGTAGACAGGGGACGGAGATTTCGCTGTTTGTAACAAGAAAGCTGAAGACAATACAAGCAAGGACATTCCTAGGATAGGCTTCAGCCAAAAAGAGAAATGCTTCATCTGCAACGTAGAGTCAACAAAGTAAATCGGCTTTCAAGACATGTCCAATATGAAGTTATCATTCCCACACTCAGAAAACAACTCCTTCTTGCACACAGGAAACCACTGTCTTGTTATGTGGAGGAACACAACCCCTTGTTGCATGCAGTTCGTTCACTCCCTAATCCTCAACCTCCAAGTTTGTCATGCTATACCCAACTTGTTGCTCCATGCAGCTCACCCATGCATACTTCCTGGATTCTGTAAATTATGTTGGCCCTATGGTACCTTCCTCGTTCGCCTTCCTTGTAGTGCTGCTAGCTCCTGCTCCTCCTGTTCCTGCTCCTCCTGCTCCTCCTGCTCCTCCTGCCCCCCTTCCACTTCCTCTTTCCCCTCCACCCTGTCCTGATCCACCATTCCCTTTAAAACTGTTCTATCCTTTAATACTGTTATATGGGGTGGGTCATGGGGGACTAGTTACGTCCCACTCAAATGGTAGAGAAAACCTTATAAAATGGGGGGTGGGGGTGTCGTGAGTACCCCACTAGGAATGCCCCGGTTTAAAACAGAGAATGGGGAATAAAACTATTTAGAAACACGAAAACGATTGAAATGAGAACGGAAAGCAGCAGTACTGACCGACATTGCTGCCTCTCAATTCCCACTATACGAATACCTGAGGCGGATTTTTCCCCATCCATACATTTTTTTATCAATTATCGTGGTTGGAGTGCCGGTTTTCGCTGCCTCCTTCGTTTCCTAGTATTTTATTGAGGCGGGTTTGTTGGCTCTATCCTCCCCCTCCTTTGTTTGCTCCGGTTCGTCCTTCTTTTTCAGTCAATAAAGATCTTTTGGACAATTTATTCTGTTCTGTACACGAACACCCACTGGAAATCTACAATTTCTCACTGAGTATCAGGCTCGGAGACTCGGAGAATCGACCACTGCTCTGCTGAGCTCTGATATATAAACTGCGGACAGTGAAGCCTTTGCAGCCGCCTCGACCTTCATCTCGCAAATACTCCATTCAAACTTTGAAAACACCAACGTTGAATTTCATGAGATACAACTCGGAGTTTCACTGGGCCGAGGCAAGCAGCCGATTGATTCTTTCCCTGGCTTCCTTGTGGTCTATCGCCTCAACCAGCTGCGAACATCTGCAGCGGGAAAGTGTCAGGAATCAGTATTAAGCGAAATTCGGTAGCAAACCTGGCAAGATGTTTATGTGCATTGTCGTTGTCTCCCTCCTCAAGATAGAATCGTGCCAAGCTCTATCACCAACTCTCAAGTCAATATTCTGCGGTCTCTTGTGTATCCTCATGTTACCTCGCATGCGTTCAACTCGCAAATCCTGTCTCCAGCAAGAACTGCTGTTTTTACAGCAGTGTGCATCAAACCCAGACCAATTGCACATTTTTCACAGTCGCCAGATGCCTCCTTTGAGCCAGCAGCAGCTATTCGCTTGCACTCGTGAAATTTTGTAGAGCATTGCAACAGCCCTAATTGCAGTTCTGCGAAAGCACGGCAATGTGCATCTCCCGCCAAAAATTCAGCTATGAAATTGCCCATCTTAATGAATCCAGCCGCTACGATCATACGGTCATTCAGATCCGGTTCTTCGCATAGATGGCGGTAGCAGAGCCAGCAATCCCCTTTGTTCAATTCATCCACAAATTCAAGGAGCTCGGACAATTTTACGGGATACAACGAAACGAGTTGACCCAGTGCCACCACCAGATATGATTTGCTCCCAACAAAATCGAAATTCTTGCAATAAGTGAGACAAGATTTGAAGAATTCGAATGCCTTCAGATAATCTCCTTGCATCATGGACGAGTATCCGCACAGATATGCTCCTTTGCACGCACTTCTCTTATGTGAATCCGCAGCAAGAGCGATCTCGCCATAGGAATATGCTTTTCCCCAGTTCTCTAATCGAAGCTCAACATCGCCTGACAGGGACAGCAGGGTAAGATCCTTTGAAAACTCTGATAAAAGACTTACCCAGACAAGTGATAAGGGCTAGGCCACTTGCGTTGAATGCAACTTTCGACACTTGAAGTTCGGAATTCGATCCGAGATATCTGTCTCTGTAAGCCTTCAGGAATGTTTCTGTGATCTCTTCGTATGCATTCCTATCCTCAGGGAATTTACCAAGGAACGGATCTTTGGGCAAGACGTGCTCCTTGATACAAGTTTCGCGTTCTTCTACAGGAAGGGCTGGCATCGAAGTCAGTCGACATAGAATGTAGCTTGTACTATTCACATACAAATGTAGTATTCAGACAAGTTAGACAGTGGTATGCATCTGATTCAAGTCAATAAGCGATTTCATCTTACTAAGGGACGCACCCTTGGTATATTGCCTTCGCTTGGTGGACATCACCCACGGCAAGGTAAATGTCGGCTATTGTCCCTAATGCAACCAGTCGATTTGTTATGGCCCAATCTCCCGCTACCCACTGTTCTGGGCTCCCTACCCACAAGTGATTTCAAATTACACATCGCACATTCGATCGTACCATTCGCGATGATTTGACTTGAAAGATGGAAAGACAGTCTCAAGCTCTCTCTTGCATCATCTATGCGACACATGCGGAACAAGGCTTGCGCCTGGATAAGGTTTTGGAATTTGACAAGAAAGAACGAAAATGCACAGTCATTACCCGGTTACTCAAAATATCTGATTCCATATGCATGTAGCCATTTTTGTGATTCGAAACATATCCCTCAATGGTCAGCGCAGATTGATGTTGTGTTGTGAGCTCAAGAAAGATTTTCATAATATATTCGTCGTTGAAATTCCAGTTGTACTTGCGTCCCAATGGAGGACGGGAGTCCAAAAAAAACCTCATGTTTTCTGCTCTCTCTCTGGGATAAATTAGATCTCATGGAATGGTGAATTTAAGGCACGGACCTGAGTTTTTTCATTGGAACCGCTCCGGAAATCAGAAGCATGCACACTTCAATTGCGATCGCAGCTTCAGAATAGAAATTTTCTTTGAGATAGCAATCGCCGATGGTTTCTAACATTTTGTAAACTGTCGTCGGCTCCGAAGGGTCGAACATATCGTCTTCACCCACATCTAAATGCATGCCCTGTGCACAAAGGAGGAAGCATCATATACCTTCTGAAGCAAATCTAGCTTACCTGTACTCGCACAGCATGTGTGAGCATGATGTAGAAAGACTTCAAAGCCTACATAGACTCCATTAATCACAAACATCGAAGAACGAGTTTCTGATAAACAACTTTGGTATATTTTTCCACACTTATCAGAGCACAGGCGTGAGTTTCTCGAAGATTGAATGCTGGAAATGAGATAAGTACAGTGGTCCTTCATGCGATTAGCAGCACCTTGCATGCATAGAGGATCTTCTTGGTCTATCTCGTCCAACCTACTTTCAAGCTCCTAATATCATAATTTGTCAACCGAATTTATCAATGAAAATCAGCATTACCTTTATCCAAACATCTGGTTGTTTCGGATGGATGACCTTGATTACTTGGAATCTGAAATCGGCTACCTTATAGAACTGAAGCATCGATAGGATTATTCCAATAATTCTTGTCAGAGACGCAAAATACCTTCTTTTTGAGCTCCTCGTCTATTTGATTGCTTTTTCTTAGATGGTCCCAATAGTTCAAAAACCTGCAAGTTTGAGACCAAACACTTCAAAATGTCAGGGATTTCACCGGGAAGTAGTTTGCATGAAATCTTGGAACAACTCCATGTCGTACTCTCTCATTGATCTTCGATACAAGTCACCTAAAGTTCAAGCATCAAAGGTGTACCTCATGTACGTCATGAATGCCAGATCTGTCAGGTCAGAAAATATTTCTTCGGCCCTCGAACAACAATCTTGCAGAGTTTATGTCAGGTGTAATATGCTTGAAGCAACATTACTCACAGATGGTATCTCTGTCTCTGCCAAAATGCATACAAACATAGGCCAGGTCTCCCCACAGATGTCCCTCGCATTCAGGAGCCATGATTAGGAGGATTGGCTCCAATGCTCGGACGCGAGTGCACATCTTGAATACTTCATTTTGTTTCTGTCCGGTTTTGATCAGCTTGGCGGCATACCTTGCCACATCGATCATATCAAAGAAGCATTCGAAGTAGATCATGGGAAGCTCATCCCAATCCAGAGCTGTGTATTTGTTTGGATCGAAGTGCGGTCCTTGAAAATCTAGGATTGCCTTCCTGCTGTGCATCATACAAGTAGCCCTTCCACTCAACCTATGAACCGACCAAACAGGAAATAGCACATGTCAGACCCAACAAAGATAAATGGCTGAGCATCACTCACAGATTAGAGAACATTGCTTCATGCTCCGCACCCAATTGAAGCAGCAGCAGTTGACACTGCTGGTATTCAGTTGCTGATACTCCACCTTGTTTTTGAGCCATTGATTCTTCTACATTGGGAAAGAAATCACGATCCAAGTATTTTGCATGTCCCCTGAGAATCTTCGACAAACTGACAACAGCCAGGAATTCGGCGAGCGAACAAATCTCTGTTGTGCACGCCCTACTGCATTTAGTCCAAGTTTCCTTCCTCTTGATGTGCCCACAGATCCATGATGTGACATAATCTGTCAGATAGATTGCCCTTTGGATATCTCTTATAACTGTATTAAGAGAGACGTTAAGTTGAGATGTCTCGAGCACAGGCATTGCGCACCAAACGCGTTCAGGCAGGATAGCAGGAGCCAGCACTGTCCATCTTCTGCTCGCGTGATCATCGCCTGACAAACATGTGTATGTCATGCAAAAGGTCTCGGTAGGAACAGCTTACCATCGATAACATGATATCTGCAAAAACCGCTTGATTCAGGCACAGAAATTTGTCGTACAGCAAAGTCATGTCAATGTATTGCCGCGGCAAAGCTCTCAAGTAGCTATAATATGCTATACAGAGACTTTTCCAGTTCTTGTACGGCTTCAACCATTCTAAGAGGAAGACGTCAAGATAGGAACGAGTGCACACAGACTCCTCCTTACCGCGGTTCAACGTATCCTCTATTGGCTGAACCTTGGTCGCCATCCAAAAGGCCGGCATGAAGCTCTTCCAGATGCTGTCGCGATCAGCAAAGGACGAGAGGTTTTTGCAGCACATGCCTAGCCGAGCAAAGGAAGGGCCGTCGAGCTTCTGAGCAATGATAACCATGATGTCCTCCCGCCCTTCGATCACTCCCCATTTCTCTCGCGCCATTTTTGCTGGGTGCCCCTCTAGTTCGCGGAAACTTCAAAAAACGAAATAGTTGATGTATTTTATGAATATTTCTTCTAAATTTGAAAAATTGATGAAAAGGAAGTTTGTTACTATGAAATTTAATTTCACTTAACTGGAAGTCACTGTAATAGAGTGGGACAGGAAATGGACTTAGAGAGTGGGACAGGAAATGGACAGAAGGAGGGGTGATAAAAGACGGTCATGAAGGGGTGGTTGTCTGAGGGGGTAGTAGAACTGACACTATTGTTGAGTAAAGAATAAGTTTAACCGTTTGTAACCACTGCTTTCAGTCGGATTGGGCTAAGACGCTATGGCAGAGACTCATTCAGTGGGCAGGAGCGGGAGCAGGGGAGTGAGAGCGGGAGCGGGAGCGGGAGCGGGAGCAGGAGCAGGGGACTAGAACATTGTTGATGGTATCTAAGATACCTGAAGAGACTCGGAGTTCTCATGAACGATGAACACACTAGGTTAGAGTCATCTCATGAATGATTTGAAGCGTGATTCGGAAATGGAACTTGTTGTCCTAATCATGGCTCTAAGATTCAAGCTCTCACAGAATGCGCAATGGGCGCATAACAAGGTTGGTTCACCGTTGACGTAAGATCGATTCCTCCTCCTCTTCTGGGCTATAGCTGCCCATGACTGAGTCGCAATCCTCAAAAGGGGATGACAAGGTACCGTAGCATCTCCCGCTGAACTTCCATCTCATGCTCTGCCACAGTTGTTGGTGTCGATCTCGGGGAACTGGAAGATATGGCAGAACATACATGAGCAGGTGAGACAATTGTAACTAATCTTCCATGGTGATCGGTTCTTTTCAGTTTTTACAGAACGACTATCTACCCTTTGGCGGATTCTTGTGGAAATTCAACCAGCAGGTTGTGTTGAACGTCGAGAGCGACCGATCTCCCAGACTGAAGCATTAGGATGCACAGGAGAAAGAAGAAACTCTTAATATCAACAAGCTGCAGGTGACTTAGTCAGCTTAGTACTATCTCGGAAAGGATTTACACTCTGATACCCAAGGCTGAATTCCTGGAAGAAAATTCCCCGCTCTTTGATCCTTTGGCTGAAGCGTTGAATTGGTAACTAGATTCGCGAGAGAGGAAATGGGGAATCATTCAGCGTTCCAGGTGGAGGAAGCCCTTCCTGTACATATTCGTCTTCGAGTACGATGTACATGTGCGAGAAGAAGCTTGCTGAGGCCGGTGAGGTTGACGGGCCTGCACAGAAAGACAGCCAACACGATCTGATCAACAGATTGAGGCAGTGGATAAACCGAAGGTTGAAGATCACAGTGGTTTCAATTTTGTGCTGATCGCAGGAGCAGGTCGGCAGTATCCGGGGAGTGCCTCCTGCTGTGCGTGAACAGGGAGGAGCTGAATGGCTCCAAGGGAAGTGGAAGTGTTGGGTTGAGATTCATGTCGCCTACCTCCGCAAGCTCCGTGATTTGCATCTGTCATCCTCTCCCCTTTAATGCAGATTCAGGGTGCCCGCAAGTTTGTTGAGAAGCTGAGGACAGAGCTAAAGGTGTTTGTTGCGAGCGTATCGGTGGACTGTGTTTATGATTTCAGCAGTTGGGAAATCGGCTTGTGCAAATTTCTTCTGGCACTGTAGTGAAAGAACCTTGTGCCTTGAATCTTCTTACCTCAAATGGTGCAGGGCCTCTTAGATCAGAGCAGCGACGACCTGCAATCTGCTTTCCACAAGATAAGGGACACGCTGTTGAGCTCTGCCGTCTCTAGGTGATTGAACCGCATTCGTAGATGTATGTTGACCCGTCTATTCTGCAGGATCCAGGATTATCAGCAGCTGATGCAGTCGCAGCATTCGAATGACATCTATCGTGACAGCAGCACCATGTCCTAGTCTTCCACTGATGGCCCGGCGCAGGTCAGCTAGTGATCAGAGAGTCTATCGCTCTCATCTACCTAGCCATGGGCGTGCGCGAAGAAGCTCTCAAACAGTAAGTGATACCTTTCACATGTGCCTCCGACCGTTGAACTCTTGATTTTGACGTGTGGCTGCGCCAGGTATCAGGAGTGCGAGGGTTGTCTTGGACTGAACTCGTCGGACGGAGACGAACATGTGCCGTCTGCTCTGCGGGTCTACAAGTACGATTTTGAAGGATCGGACCTCGAGAACCCCCTCGACAGGAGTCATGTTGTCATCGAGTTCTTCCTGTCCAGATCTGACTTGACTGTCCATTAGCGGCCATATCGCCTCTTGATCTCTCAGGGAGACATTTCCTTGCACTCACTCCAGCTCTATTTCCTTGGGAGAGACGTCGAGCTGAACCTCGCCATGTCCCAACCGGTTCAGGCAGGTCTGCCCTCGACAAGACATGATGTTGTGCTGGAGAGTTGACGGCTCCCAGGTGAAAGAGGAGTCAAGCTTGTCAAGAGGATTCTCGAAAGATGTCTCTCTCCATGGATCGAGCCGGGAGCAGCTCGAGACAGACTCAAGGTGCTTTCGAGGAAGACTGGATGGTGGAGATGTGAAGAATTGACGCAGGAGAGTCACTTGTCTCCTCTTTTCATCGCTTCTCTTGCCATCAATGTCTGTCTCCACATGGCATCGACCTTCCTCGCTATACAGGCCGATGGGGCTGTCAATGTTTCTTATCACAGCAGGGAGAAAGCACTGAATTGCATCATCTCTGAATTCCTGCTCATCGCAAGACGCTACTCTATGGTAGCGGCCCCCTCCTGCCCTCTCGCCTGACTTCCTTGCTCTAGGGCATCTTGGGGACCTTACAAGACCTTGAATTCGATGGGACTCTGAATGCAGACGAGGAGGAGGAGGAAGCAAGCTCGTCGCGGGATAGCCCACTCCTCGACGACTTTCCACAGATCTTTGCGGTACGGGCGAATTTTTGGTGGAAGGGGGAGAGGTTTTGTTGCTGCTGCTGTAACTGATCTTGCAGTCCTCCCGAACTCCTTCTGATTGTGAGGAGGAGAAGCAGACGTTTCCCAGGAGGGAAGGAGGGGTGGAGAGAATTGCCGCGCAAGAGGGAGAGGCCTCCACCAGATCCCCGAAAAGCTCGTCAATGCAGTTTCTAAACCGATTGCATTTCTCTTCCAAGGTTGTATTTTCTGATACCTGAATCTATTCTTCGCCCCTCCTGAAACCCCTTCCCCCCTTCAGGTGAGCAGGAACGGATATTTCACCAGGGGAAGCTCCCTGCTAAACACCCTCCATCCTTCCCTGCGCCGCCGGACACCCAAGACCTCAAGTCCTCTGCACCTGGAGGGGAAGGAGCGGAACAACGAGGGCATGGTGTCCCCGCAACACCAAGTTGACACGGTTGAGGTCGAGACTTCGATCTTCGAGGACGTCTTCAAGCTCTCCCTCTCTCTTGACGACTTCCTTGCCATGCTGAACCCCAAGGACTCGAGGAGGAGGATCTCCGGGAGACTCCTCGCTGCGCTCAGCAGGAGGGGAGGAGTTGCTGATCTCTGCCATGATCTGACAGTCGCGTCCTGCGCCTTCCTCGAGCGAGCGGCACGATTGCGCATGTGCACTATCCTGCAGTACGAGACAGCGCTAGCGATGAGGAGGAGCAGGAAGTTGGAGGTGGCGAGCTCTCTTCTCCGTCGCTGCCTGCTCTTCCTCCTTGTGGACAACTGGAATATCCTGCTTCCTCCCGTCTACCACGAGCTGGGTGAGTGTCTGGAGCAGCTGCAGATGGTTCGACTGCGGGCAAGCTTGAGTCTGGTCCTGCTCGGAGCGAAGGGGATCACCAGGAAGGACAGGAAGAGGGCCGAGGAGCATCTGAAAGGGCTCTCCCGCGAGCCAGCGATGCTGAGGGATGTTGCTTTCAGCTCCGACTCGCTCCTCTCAGCTCAGCTGGTGCATGTGGAGAACTGCCGGTCCTCTTCGCTGTCAGACACTCCTGATCTAATGCCGCAGTCGTCAAGTCAGCGCGAGGAGCTGAACGACGTCGTCACGCTGGACTTGGGGGATGGGCTGATAGTGACGAGCAAGAGGGTGAGGGAGGAGGAGGCGGAGGAGGAACGTGGTCATCGGTTTGGTGAGACAACGAGGGAGGAGAGTGAGAAGTCGGTGTTGTTCGAAGTGGCACTGGGACAAGAGTTCAACCTGGACGTCGAGGTTACCAGCTCTGCGATCGACCCGCTCGCGATCGACGAGATGTACGCGGTGATGGACGTGATACAAGATGAGCATCATCCGGACGGGGAGGGCACTCAACTTCGCGACCCTCCTTCCTCCTCCTCCTCTACACCTCTTTCCTCCTCCTCTCTGCTCCTTCCAGACATCAACAGACCAGCGAGCATGCTGTTCGAAGACTTGGACGGCTCGAACGTAATTCTCCCCAGCGGCTCCATGGTGTTCCCGATGCTCAGCAGGAGCAGGGAGGCTAATGCCTCGTGTTTCCGCAGCAACGGAGCAGTAACTCTCAAGGGAGGCAAGAACCGAGTGATGCTGACTGGGAGCTTCCAAAGTGAAGGATGCTACAGGATCTCTTGCTTCGTCTTCCTGCTCGGCCACCTCCGGCTTGCGCACAAGTCTGCGAGCAACGAGATCTTCTTCGTCCGTCTCTTCCCTCCTCCTGCCGAGCTCAGCGTCTGGAGCTCCGGCAGCATCACCAAGGGACATGAACCGATCGTGCGCATTCAGATTGCCGCCAAGAAGATGGAGGTTGCCCGTTCCCAGCTGACTGTTCAGCTGCCGGACCAGCTGTCCCTCGGCCCTCTCTGCCTCCTCTCCGTCTTCGACGAGGCCCCGGAGGAGGAGCAGGTCAACTCTCGGAGGTTCAATGAGCTGTGTGCGAAGCGGGGGGAGGAGGTGCGATGGTCTTCGAGTCGTGCCATTGAGATCCCGACACTTGGAGCTGGGCAAGCAGCTTTCGTCCTCTTCGGGCTGAAGGTGGGAGAGGGTGGACAAGTCGGGTCCTCCTCCTCCTCCTCCTCCCCTTCCCCCTCCTCCTCCTCCGGGAGCAGCAGGACTGTCACCGTCCGCCTCGCTTCTTCCGTGGAAAGGAATCGATTCTTCCGCGTCGAACGGGAGCTGAGGCTGGAGGAGGAGGAGGCCTTTACCGTCAACAGCAGGCTGCAGTGGAGATCTGAGGAGGAGAAGATTCTGCTGCTCCTCCTGACATGCAACATCCCCATCCACTCCTGCTGCCTCCTCTCGCACCATCTCGCAGTGCCGTCAGGCCTGCAAGCCTCTCCCGCCTCTCGCCATGTCACTCAGCCTACCTGCATGGCCCGTGGAGACGTGGTTTCCCTTGTCTACTCTATCACTCGGAGCAGCGCAGAACAAGATGCTGGAGAGGAAGCGGAGGCACGTCTGGAGATCAACTTTGACGTGGAGCACGAGCACGAGCACGAGCACGAGCAGGTCCAGGAGCAGGAGCAGGAGGGGATCTACAAGAGACTTCACGGCAAGCAAGAGCGCAGCAGACTCACCTGGCAGGCGATGGTGAGGATGGGCGCATGGGACCGCCCGAGCCTCCGATACTCCTTCGCGGCTGGGCAGACTTGCGTCTTCGGCGAGCCCCACGAGGTGGAGCTGCAGCTAGAGGTGTGCTGGGGGCGGCACGAGCTGGGGCGTGAGCTGCTGTGTGAGCTGGTGGCTCGGGACGGCAGCTGGTTCCTCGTCGGTAGGACCAAGTTCAGAGTCGCCGTACCTGTGAGGAGGGAGGGAGATTCTTCTCCTCCTCCCCCGACGCGCTTCAGGTTCCGCCTCCTCCCCCTCTACTGCGGCAACCTCTCCCTCCCCGCCCTTGTCATCTCCAACGTGCCAGCGGCTGCCCTGCACAACGCTAGCGCGTCTTCCTCCATTCACGTGCTGCCCCGTGACGGGACTCGGGTGATGTGCGAGCTCTTTCCTGTTCCCAGCGAAGCGGCAGACGGAGGGAAGTTACAGCTGAGGAGGAAGGAGGTGGGGCAGAAAGGGGGGCGATGAGAGGACGTGGATGTTTGTAAGTAGCTCAGGACAGTTCGAAGAAATAAATATCAAGGTTCTTTCGGGTTTCTTGCAATTGACTTTCACTTCTTCTGCCTCTGGCCACCTTCCCTATCTTCGTGTACAACTTTCTCCCGATTTCAACTTTCCCCTTACCCACTTTCGTCCCTCGCTCTCTTCTTCTCTGCCCTTCTCTGCCCTCGGTCCTCCCTCGCGCCCTCCTTCACTCCCTCCCTCCTCGCTGCCCTCTTTGCTGCCCTCACCCCATTCACTGCCATAGAGAAACCTGCTGGACTGTGAGCTGGAGCAGGTTCGCACAAACTCTGACCGTCCCATCCACCGACGCGGACAGCAGGTAAGTATCCGACGGATGGTATGCGAGCGAGCAAACCTGCATGTCTCGTCAGACAACGTATCATACCATATCATATCAGATCAGATCAGATCAGATCAGATCAGATCAGATCCCTCGAGGAGGCACAGACAACAACTTGACACATCAACATATCTCGGCACTTTGAAACATCACACTATCACACCTTCTCACACCTCAACTCTCTCAACATTCCACATGCAAAACGTCTTCAGATCTTCATGGAACTTACAACGTTGCTGTGCCCTGACAACTTGTGCACTTCCTTGCCACTCACAAGATCCCAGAAGAAGATGTCCCCTGCACCTTTTGTCACGGAACAGCACCCTCCTGACCTCCTCACCTTTCTCCGAACCGCAGACGACATGGGAATCTCCTCTTGTCATACAAGCCTCCACCTGTACACGTGTGACTGTGGCTCTCACCACAACAACTGGTTGTTCAGCATGCTTGCGCTTCAAACTCTCAGACGTCAAGGAACAAAAACTTCCAACCATGTCAACGCGTACACATCTCACCTTGTACGAATCATTCTTGTGCCCAGTGTAAGTGTTGAGCAATTCCCCGTTCGACTTGTCGAAGAGACGAACCTGGAGCGAGGAGTGGTGAGGGGAGGGGCTGGATAGTAGCGACAACTATCACCTTGTTGTCCATACAAGTACACAGAACACAATTCCCATCGTAGGTGAACCTGCAGACAAGTCAACACGGAGGGCCATCAACTACACCTCAACGTATCGTCTTCTCTCCACGAGCTCACCTCACGCACGTCACCGCCTCCCCCACACAGTCCGAGATCATCTCCCCATGACCTGCCGGCAGTCACAGAGTTGCAGACCCGCTGCTGCTCCTCGCTCACGAATGTCGTAGATCCTGATCCATCCATCGACGCACCCCGTGCATATCTCAACTTTCTTTCAGAGTCGAGCGGGGCAGGGCTCCTGACGTACCTCATGCTCCCGCACAGCAAGCGATGTCACACTGTCCGTGAAGTCCGACATAGTCTGAATCGCATCCAGGGATCGAGATCTGCCATGAGAATTACGCTCAGAGAGGAAACGCCGGAGCTTCCGGACGTGCCTGCAATCGTAAATCCTCACTGTCTTGTCGTAACTCGCTGAGATCAACACAGAGGATTCTTCGCCTGTTGAGGAGAAAATGGTGAGATTCAGCGAATACATTCAGACATTGTGCACAGTCACCCGCAAACGAGACTGCATTCACTTTCAGCTCATGTCCTCGGAACTTTCGGATGATGTTTCCACTTGCTACATCCTTGTATCTTTGTCAAAACAACCAACCGCAGGATCTTGATTCACACACCCAATAGAACACCATCTTGTCGCCACCGCAGGAAGCCAATCGACTGCGAACCATCTCAGCATGATGAGGATCCTCCCTCCCTCCCTCCCTCTCCCTCTCCCTCTCCCTCTCCCTCTCCCTCTCCCTCTCCCTCTCTGTATCTCGCTCTCTCTCTCTCACCTGTTGTCATCGGCTACTGCAACGTCGTACACCTGCATGCATCTTCAGCCTCTACATCCCAGTCGTCCGACCGGCCACCTCATGCCCGTGCCCGAGGTATGACTTGATGCACGCTTCCTTATAAGGATTCCAGAGCTTAAGGACGCGATCTTGACCACACGTCAAGCAATACGCGCCATCCTTGTTGAAGCGAACGGCCAACACCTACAGCACGAGTAAGAACAAAACCTGCATGCCCGCATGATCGGCCGCGCTTGAATCTCTTCCATCACAGTGAGCAGCATGGACTTGAGATACGATATGGAATTATCTCTCTCGCTCCTTATCCTCTCCCTCACCCCTCCAACGTGCGCCTTCATCGTCGCTTTCCTTCCCGCCGGCAGCTCCGCCATGACGATTACTAGCTGTCGAGCCGAGCGCTGCCCGTAAATCCTTTGATGTAACGGAGTGTGTAACCGTCCTCACTTGCGAAGAGGCGACAAGATGCCGAGAAAAATGCAGAGGTGAGAGAGATAAAGGAGAGAAGGAGAAGATGAAGGTGAAGGTGAAGGAGAGAAGGAGAAGATGAAGGAGAAGGTGAAGGAGAGAAGGGGGAGAGGGAGAGGAGGGGGAGAGGGATGAGGGAGGACGAGGAAGAGAAAGGGGGAGGAGGATGGAGGTCAGGGTGGGAGAAGGGAAGTTGAGAGGATGGGGGGCAGGGGGAGAAGGGAAGTTTCCCCTGGTTGTGACATCACTTTACTCTTCTTTTGAATTCTCAACAAGTGAGGGCAATGATAACAACCCTGACGTGATTGCTGCAGTATGCATGTATTCGCTGCTTGTGTTATCGGCTTGATGTGTACTAGTTTGTACTTGATACACAGACATTTGCCAAGGCACTCTGGTAGAACTTGATCTTCAAAGAACAATCTTGAAATTGACTTGAATGTTTGCAGAATTCCTTCAGCAAGTCCAGCCCCACCTTCATTTCACTCTGCAGGTGCTGTGCATGTTCATGATGTTTGACCATCGCGCCCATCTTACATGGAGCAATCTTTGAGCAGAACCAGGCGATGATGCTAGGAAGTCAAGACTTCAATCCCATCATGTCGATCCCAACCCAGGGGCTCTTCCTCGCGCCCAGAGCGCGGTCGCTTGCCATGGGAAAGGTGCAAGAGATCAGGAGGGAAGGGTCTGTACTCAACGTTTATGCCAGGTCTGCCTCGACAGCTGCTATGATCAGTTCTTGGTATGCACGAGTGGTCTTGGGTACAGAGCCAGCCGGTACCACGGCAATCCGATCAATGGCAATACGGTAAAGGGAGTAGTGCTGTGAGGAGTGGGTAGGTGATGCTTGACTCCAGGCGGATGTGATTCGTGAGAAGTTCCCATACTGCCAGCACATTTATCAAGACTACTGTAAACCACAATGTTAATGCTGTACATCATGTCGAGGAGAGAGGTGGGAATGTTGCAAGGTTTCTCAGGAAAGTGTTTAACCTGGCTTGCGAATTGTTTATCTAAGACGAGAGCCGTATAGTCATGTTGGTACATTTTATGAAGTATCTTCCTATTATGACAAGTGAGTCGCACCCCCTGACTTGCGGACTTCCTGTCCCTCAGTTGTGAGGAGGAGAAATCGAAGAGCTACAACAGAATGCATGGAGCAGAATAGATTGAGAAACATGAGCGATTTCTGACATGTCTCTTTTAATTATTCGGTGAGATTTTGTACACGGCTGGATTGAACTTTGAGCTGGAATTTCGAGATTATACCCAAAAGTCTTGCAGTCTGCGAGATGCATCAGCAGAGTAGCAACGGGAAGGCAGATCGATGGTTTAGACAGTGAACAGAGGTGAGGAGGTAGAAAAGAAGTGACTTGCATCCTTACATCTTCGGCTTCTTCCTCCACCTCTCGTACAGATGCAACGAGGTGATTCTCATGCAACTTGAGCTGTTTCTCTGCGTCCTGCCGATCAATCTAGTCAGAACTACAAGAACCAGGCATGAAAACTTGTTACTGCTAGCTGCTGCCTAGCCTCGTTCAGAGAGTTCAGCAAGTTCACGTTCTCTCTCCTGCATTCCTACACATCCTCCTCGTCAGAGAGCATATCGCTCAGAACAGCCTGACCGTGAGCTGGAGGTTCAAGTTTTCATTTGCCTCCTTCGCTCGCTGTATTTCGGACTCCAATACGAGAATTCTTTGCTGACAAGTTGTCAGGTCCGCCTTCAAACTTCTAACTTGCAGGTCGTTGCTTTGGAGGATCTAACAGAGTCGTTACACATCTAGCAAGAACAGAAGGTGGGAATCCCACAGTTTCTATTTCTTTTCTTTTCATTGAGAGTTCTTGGTCCTTGGAAACATTCAAATCTTCTGCATATTCCGCTCTGCGTACTTTAGTGACAGAAGGCCATTGCTGTTGCGTACCGTCGCATCAGGTCGAGATTCTCATGATGCAATCTTTCTTTCATGTTCTCCAATTCCGCGTTCAGCTTGTCAATACTCTACTCAAAAATAATCACACAACTTGACAGATTCCTTCGCAGCACCTTCTTCTGAAATTCGATTGTTGCTTGGCGAACTTGCAGCTCCGAGTTGAGATCTTGCACGTTGGACATCAACTCTTTGATCTTCTCATTCGACTTGCTCTCTTGCTGCAAACAGCACATGATCATCACAAGTTTGACGCCTCGAAACAAGCAGGTCATTTCACCTCCTTCAGCTCGGCCACCCGCAGTTGCGATCCCGCAACAGCCTCTGAGAAAGTCTCTTCAATCTCTCTCAGTTGTTTCGCCCTCAGGCTGCTTGATTTCTCGATCTCATCGGTATAAAGATTCTTGCGTTTGAAAATCACCACAACATACTCCACCTCTTCCGATGCTCACCTGTAATCGCTTTATCTCCACTTGATTCTCTCGGTTCCTTTCATCAGCAGCTTGCTTCTCTAGCGTGAGTCGTTCGAGCTCTTGTTTCAACCTCGTCATCTCATTCATGATGTTCTCGGATGGCCCCATATTCTTCTTCCTCTCCTTCTCTATGATATCCTGCAACTCCTTGTTGGTCTTCATGGCACTTGCGACTGAGAACAGATCGTCACATGGCCTCGTCTGCAACATGTAACTTGCATGCGCAGCGCTCACCTTCATTCCTTAATGTCAGGCATTCCTTCTCCAGTCCCGTGCAGGCTAACTCGATCTCTTCCTGCAATTTCTCCCTTTCGTCCTTCTGCTGCTCGATGTCCTCCTCAAGTCTCTTGATGTACTGCAAGATCCTGCTCTACGTCAGATCCTTCTTTTACACAGGAACTCCTCCCACCTTCGTTGATCGACCTCCTCCAATCTTCTTCCAACCTGTCATACCAATCCTGTGATCCTGAGTTTGCAACTCGAACTAACCTGAAGGGCCGAAAGAACAAAGTTCTTGGACGAGGCGAAGGAAGTGATCTCATTGGGGATCGGCTTCCTTGCAACATTCAGCTTCTGAGTGCTCTCTTCAACATTCCGAAGATCTAAGATACCTACGGCATTCTTGTTCAAACTTTGAGCCGCCAAAGGGAGCGAGCCTCTTGCAGATCAGGTAGCTTGAACATGTCCTCCTCCTCCTCCTCCTCCTCCTCCTCCTCCTCCTCCTCCTCACCTTCATGTCTTCTGAGCTCCGATGCTGCGTTCCGAGCCATGATGATGAGCACTGGAGCACTGACCCTTGTACCTACCCGTGACTTCCATTCAAATGCATAAACATACCCCTCCAAATTCCTGTTGATAGCACCGGTACTTTGAACATCCCCACCCCCTTGTGTAACTTTTCAAAATGGGATCATTTGACGGCTCAACCGTTTGCCGCAGGCCGGCCCGCCCCCGCAATCACTGATCATCCGAGTCGGATTGAATGCCACGGTCACGCCGGTAGTACTCAGCCGCCGGCCCGGCCGGCCGCGGCCGCGGCAGACTCGGCGGCCCGGTTGAGCTGAGAGGCAAGTTTCATTGAATGTGCTGCACGGGCCCATTGAGTGGCAATCCGATGATGGCCGCGGGCAGTTCAAAGAGTCACTGCCGCGGAACGCCCGGTCACCCGGGTTACCAGGCCCGGTCACTGATCCGATTGACTTGGGCTGGGGAGGTCTGGGGCGGGTTTCCTACACACGGTTTGCCAGCCTCAGTTGCCAGTCTGTTGCCCTTTACTCAAAGTTAAGTTAAAAATCAGTACGAGGACAATCAGGAGCACTCTTCACTGTATTCCTGAGGCCGGCTCGGTTTCGTCTGACCCGGAATGCCATGCCGGTAGCGACGAGGGGTACGGGAGGGAGGACATGGCGAGGAGCCGCAGGAGGAGTCGCTGGGTGGACGATCATGGCATCGATGACATTGGGGGCAACAGGAGGTGAAAGATCAACTCTACCACCACTGCCTCCTCCAGTCCTACTCGTCTTCCTGCCCTCGTCATTAGTCCTCGTCCTCGTCCTTGCAACCAATCGTCGAGTTCATGCTAATGTCCTTTCCCCAAAGGTTACGCCGACTGGTGGCTGCGTGTTGTCGTGATACCTCAGTTGAAGATGCGTGAGGCAAGGTAGCGATGCTTTCAGCTGAGATCGGATGCCTTCCTGTTTGTCTTCTCTCGCGTGATCGGCTGATATTCCAGCTGCCTCGTCCTCGGAAGTCTCTTGCAGACTTGGCCAACAAAAGATGAATCGCCAGTTCTATCACAAGCGCAGGTTCGACCTGCTCCCTCCTGACTCGCGACTCACGTTGGGCAACTGCAACCAGATCGACATATACGTCTTCCCTTCATCAGCAGCTTGCCTTGCTCAGTACAGGTGACCCTGAAAGCGCGTTGGTTGAATCTGATTGACCTGTTAGGAACACGAGCGATCATTGCGAGCAGTTCCACGGGAAAGCATACATGACGTTCGAGGGGAACCCTTCGTTCGGTGCGCTCCTCTTCATTTCAAAACAACCCTTTGACAAAGACTGTTGGTTTCTTTAGCGAGCAAGCACAAGTTCTTGCAGCAGTATGCGCATCCGGGCTCTTTCTTCGGGTGTTTCTACTCCGAAGACCGGGAGAGGTTGTGTGACATGTTCCTGCTGGGGAGCAACGAGCTGAGAAGGGTCTTTAGGGTGATCTTCGAGCGGTCCTTCAGCTGGGTGCAGATGATGCTCTTAGGCAAGACGCAAGACCCTCTCAGTGCTTCGTGATGTGAATGTTTTCCAGCTCTTGGCCTGACTGTGGGGATGCTGTGCCTGATAATGGCGGTACGGCAGCTCGTCGTCCTGAGGTTGGAGGCAACGTTGGCATGCTGGATCTGTTGTGAACCTTCCATGAACAGCAAAGTCTTGACGGAGAATCGAGAAAGAGCACCTGAAGGTCCTGACTGCAAGGAGTTTCTCTCTTGCATGTACTTGCTGTTGACACTGTTGTCCTCCTTGTCTCAGATGTCACAGCACACACGCCCCTCCGCTTCGAGATGCTGGCAGGTCAGTCGCAAGGGCTGCCTTGAGTGTGCTGTGATGCTGGGAGCAGAGAAGGAGAGTGGACCCTCCAACCCCTTCATGTTCCAGTCGCCCACGGATGCCCACGATGTCGGATGGAGCGAAGAAAACGAGGAGTGAGTTGAAGGTGTAAGCTGGACGATGTTGAGATTGTGTTGGTGCAGGGGACGAAGGCTGGCGGAACATTACAACGTCGATATCAGACGCGCTCCGCCGCCTCCAACGCTAGTGGACAGACAAAGGGAGGGAGAGGGAGAAGGGTCTGAAACACCGGCCATATAATCTAGTTTGTAATGTAGAAAGTTCACAACTCGGTCGTCTCCCTCACAGGTTCTCCTCACTTCAGGAACTTGGTTGCACCCGTCTGAACTTTGCGCTTCACTTGAGAGGCCTGTTGACACATGTCATCATCAGCTCAGAGTTGTCAGACCTTGAGCTCTTTTCCTGCTTCAGCTTGGTATCTGCCTTGACTCCCTCGAACTTGTACACCTTCGCCTCTGTCAGAGCCCGCAGGTTCCTATCTCTCAACGCCCTCACCTGCATGAGACCGAGGAGGGCAGAGAAGGCGAGGACGAGGACGAGGCCAGGAGTGAGGTAAGGCTCGATGTACTTTGATAAGGCTGAATCCAGCGCTTGCGGGACCTGACAAGGCACTTGGTCAGTCCCAGAACATGAAAGATTGCAACCGCCGACCTGCTGCTTGGTAGCAATGAGATAGGCGTCGACAGCGACGCATAGGCCGCAGAACACCTGTCATACGAACAAGTTAGCGTCCTGTCATCTCCACACAGAGGAAACTCACCCATATGCCTCCGGAGACCAGGACTCCGTTGAGCAAGGTTCGTTCGGCTGCCATCCAGTGAGTTCCCTCAGAGCTCCCTTGAACAACTCACCTGCAAACAGAACCTTTGGATCTACTCTCCTCAGCTGAGGGAAAGTGTTAGATCGAGGAGGTACTCTAACACCTCCCCCTCCTACTTCTTCAGTTCCAGGAAGCGACGCTTGTCGCTGCTGCCCAGCCTTGCGGACTCTTTCCTCCCTGCATCGCACAGTGAACAGCAACAAGCAGCTCCTCGTTCAAGTCTGAAGGATGCACTACTTGCTTCTCAAGGCAGCTTGTCTCATCTCCTCCAACGCCAGAGCCCTGGCGTATGACGGTGAGCAGCGTCGAAACATCCTCCTTGTCCTCACCCTCGGGAAGGAGCTTCTTCAGTGTCCGTGGATGCCGGGGAGGAAGCGATCTGTGCAGATGCCTGGCAGCAACGGAGTCATCACAATCTCTCGCTAGTCAGGGCCCACCGCATCCATCATCTCCTCCCTCGCCATCTTCGTGGGTTTCCCCTTCTTGCCCAACTTTTTCTTGCATGGTAACGTTAAGACGCTGGCAGGAGAGGGAGGGAGGGATCACCATCTGCCGCCTCTGCTCTCTGTTCATCGGAGCAGATCCCTGAGAGAAGCACGAACGAGAGCATGTCAGCCTCCTCCCTGAAGCAGGAGAGTCTGCCTCCTCCCCACCTCGTCTTGCTCGAAGTCATCGTCATCGAGCTGCATCCTAACGGTCAAGCACGTCTCCCTCCTTCGGGACAATCCCATGTGAGCCTGAAGGCGTGCAGGAGCACAGCTGAGAAGAGGTGTCAGGTAGCGAGGGAGAGCGTGAAGGAGAGATGCCTCTGAAGCCGAGCCGGCAGCGATGGCGCGAGGAAGCAGGATACAGTTTCGAGATGCAGGAGGGCTGCAAAGGTCGCGATGAGCAAGAAGAACATTCGAAGCAACCAGCTGATCATGATACGTGACACGAGCAAGCGGACATGTGGCACTACAGAACATGCAAACGACCTGCCATGGCGCAAAGTGGGGCTAACCACGAAGTCGGGGCCCTGGGCCTTGTCGTCAGGACGAGGAAGGCAAGAGCAACTTGCGAGAGGGAGGAAGAAGGAGAAGGGAGACGAGGACGAGGCTGAAAGAGAGCAGGAGAGGTAACAGCAGGAAGGAGGTCCAGGAAAGGTAGAAAGCCATGCTATACCGCTGTTGCCTTGAGCCGGCCGCCATGGAATGTGGTGGACTATTTTACTCAACTATACCGTCGCAATGGTGGTCAAGGGGCGATAAATAGGAGCCGGGGGAGGGAGGGACGAGACGGTGAAGGGCGGAACGAGCGAGGACGAGGAGCGGAAGCAGAGACAGAGAGTGGGAAGGGAGGAAGGAGTGACGGGAGTCAGTGGGGAGGAAGGAGAGGCAGAGATTGGGAAGGGAGGAAAGAAGAGGATGATGAAGAATCCTGCAAGGGTCCAAAGGGCTCGACCAGCCGACGACAACCGGGACAAGGCCGTCCACAATCTGTGGAAAGGATGCTCAACTAGAAAAGATGAGAAGCAAGCCAAGATAGCAGAGACCCGGTGTCATCCTGCGAAGGACAGTGGATATACCCGTGCAGGGAAGGGAGATCCGATATGCGTGTTCTTCGCCCAGGGGAGGTTGACATGTGATCCCTGCAATGCGTATCCTCCTCTAACGTCCTACTCCTGACTGTCAGGTGCGACAAAGGTCCGAATTGTGATTACTGGCACAGGATCCCCAACAAGGAGGATGAGGACATGTTGGGAGCCGCTATGGACGTGTTTGGGAGGGACAGGTTCGCAAGTTCAAGGGAGGACATGGGGGGCGTTGGGTCGTTTTCAAGTACTTTACGACGCCCTATCCTTGGCTCCTGACTTTGCACAGGGGAGAATAGAACGCTCTACGTTGGACGTGTCAACACGAACAGAGAGGATGCGGAGAAAATCGTCCACGCCCAATTCTCAGAGTTTGGTCAGATCGAGAGCGTGAGAGTCCTGGCAGGGCGGAATTGCGCTTTTGTCAAGTACAGGTGAAGGGACCCGTATGCTCCTCCTCGTGATGAAGGACTTCAGGCTGAGAGCAGCGGCGGAGTTCGCGAAGGAAGCCATGGCGTTTCAATCCATATTCCCTGGAGATCCAGCATGCAACTTACGATGGGCCACAGAGGATCCGAACCCAGGAGCAAGACGAGCGGAGATGGACCGTGTCCAGAGACAGGCTGCGGAGCATCTCATGGTCCAGTCAGCGAGCTCAAACTTCAAGTACTTAGAGTGTTGGCAGGACAAGGGCGTCTGCCTTTCCGACGCGCCCTACAACTACCCGAGCAACTACAATCTCCCTATCAAGCGTCCTTACGGTGCTCTGAGTAGCGTCGGTGCATCCAAGAACACTTGTATCGACGAGTATCCAGACACGAATCAGCAGTTTGCTCAGGGAAACAGCAGCGTTGGAGGTGAAGGCGAATGGATTACATACATCACTCCGGACGGAATCCCTTACTATCACAACTCAGTCACCCAGCAAACAAGCTGGCAGGTTATTATGGTCGGTTATTTGATCTGTCAGAACTGATTGTTTTCTTTGTTTCCAGCTTCCTGAGGGTGCAGTTCTTGCTCAAACTTCCGAGGGCCAAGACGGAGGATCCGGTCACGTCGGAGCTTCATCGCTAAATCCAGACGACAAGGCTGAGAAAGAACCCGCGGGGCTAGATCTGTTGTTCTCATACGGGGACGAGAGTGACAAGGAAGAGGAATGAACTTTGAATTCTTGAGAAGAGCAAATTTCTTCTCTATCGTGTATTCTGCTTATTCCGCAAAGTTCTGCGCTCGTCCTCTCATCATGCATTGAACCCCGGGGGTCCTGGGCTGCCCGGAGGTCCGGTGCCTCCTTTCATTCCGGTTGGACCGCGATCGCCCTGTGATTACACACGAGGCTTATCCTAGGGAAACTTTGCCCCTCTCGACTTACCCCGACTCCTGTCGGTCCACGTGGTCCTCGAGCACCTTGCGGCCCCGGCGGTCCCTATCAAGGACAGTGACAAGGCAACAAGGCCAAGACTGCAGGAGCTTCTCACCATCTCTCCTTGAGGACCAGGAGGTCCCGGGAGTCCGTCGAATCCTGGTGGTCCAGGCTGACCGTTGATTCCGTTCCTTCCAGGAGCTCCTGGTCTCCCTGGCGGTCCTCGTGACCCAGGACGTCCAGGCTGCGGGGAATCGAGAGATCAGAGGCAAATCGATCGGAGCATGCAGCATGTTTGAATGAACCTGTCCTCTTTCGCCTTCAGGACCCGGGGGACCCTCAAGTCCGGGGGGTCCAGCCTGTCCCACGTCACCTCGATTGCCCTTTGCCCCTGTCCTGCTTTGTTGATGAGCAAGATAGCAGCGAAACTCTTTGTTACTCGCCTTCCTCTCGGGCCTTGGATCCCATCCTTGCCAGGGTATCCTCTCGGCCCTGGATATCCAGGGAGTCCTACAGGGCCTGTGGGCCCTTTATTTCCCATCTTGCCAGGAGGGCCAGTCGGTCCCCTGTCTCCTCGCGGCATGAGAGCAATGTTCACTTTTCTATGAGCATGCGTCTTGAAGTCCGCTTCGATGTTGTAGAAGTCATGTCGAATGCTCTTCACTTTCTTCAACATCTTGTTCACTGGATTGGACAGGACGAGTGAGCGCGTTGCGAACGAAGTAACAAGAAGCTCACCAGCGCCTTCAAGTGACACTGAGCTGAACTGACCGGGAGAAGAGCTTGTGCCAGCATCATTCATCGATCCCAGGCTTGGAAGTTGCTGCCATGCATAAAATTTCACGCCTCTTTCAAACCTGGCAACCATGAACGCACCTGCGCAGCCTCACTGTCGATGCCATTCAGGAGTTCTGCTCTATCCATTGGCCGCATGGTTACAATCAAGACCCCCACTATCAATCCGCAGGCCATCGCCGCCACCACCCCTCCCATCCCAGCCCGCTCCCTCTGCATGATGGGTGTCTCTTCGCGATCGACAAACCCTTCCCCTATCACCCTTACCCCTCCATTGGACCCCTGGTTTCACCCGCTCACCTTCACCCACCCCATACTTTAATGCTGATTATAGGTTCAAGGGAGGGGTGAAAGAAGGTTCAGGCCAACACTACCGGTTTGGGAAATGGCATGCAGTGGTGAGGGGGAGGGGTTGGGGTACCACAAGAAGCCTGGCCAATAGAGTCTGGTAGCAACATGTCAACACCAAGAAAACAATCAGGTGAAAACCTCACACAAGGATCATGTCATAATGAAGACTCCGAAGAGAAGGAGAATGAGACGGTCTCCGAATGGTGATCGTATGAAAGCACATTACATCTTGACGAGGCATACGGCTGCATCCAAGAAGACAAGGATTGCATCCCAAGGTTTGCGATCACAGGCAGCTGAGCCGTCTCATGTCTTGCTTGCTGGTCAACATATCTTGGTTTGACAAGATGGGTATGATTAAGTTTCTCAGGTAAAAGTCATTTGAAAATAAGCATTTGGTCTCGTAGTTGTCAATACAAATGCCATTGTGCTCAATTCTTTCAGCACCACAAAACACACCAAATGCTTCGGTGACTGGAGGAAAGTCTTTCAAAATCTCGATTTGATTGTCAACAAAAAGATAACTTGTTGAGCAGTCAGAAAAAGTCTGCAATAAGTCAGCATGAGACGAATTGTCCCCAATCATGTTGAACTTTATTCAAAGGGAAATTTGGTTATAAAACAATTTCAGAAACGTGCTGTAAACTGTGTGAATTTGGCCTACAAAAGCCATTAATGTTTCTTCCCCTTTCTCTTGTCTCGCTTTGTTTTCGGCAGCTTCTCCTTTTTGAGATGCCTGCACCGAAATGATCAAATCCATCGTCGAGAAATGTTACAAGAAATAAAAGACACTCACCTCTTCCGCCCTTTTCCTTCCTGCTTCTTCTTCTTTGAGATTGGTTTGTTGTCTTGCATGGGCAATGCAGGAAGACTCGAAGTTGCCACAGACTCGCTATGCAGCTGCTCCAAATCCATCTCCTTCACCTTACCACCAAAGTTTACCCCATCATGTTTCAAATACTAGCAAATTACCTCCACCGTGATTGCGTTTGCCTTTCCACCAAAACCAAACTCATAGTGATTGTTTTCTGCCCTTACCTCCTCCTCTCTATCAGACTCAGATTCACTATCGTCGATATCGTCACTATCATTATCCCCTGAGGAAAAACAAAGGCAAAATCACAAAACACATACGACAAATGTCAGACTGAAACAGTACCCCCGTTCATCATGTTTTTCATTTCATTTGAGCGTCTTTCATATGCATCGAGCATATCGCGCATTTTCTCTCTCTTCTCCTTCCTAAATTACAATCACATGCAAGCAAGAAAAAGATTTGATATACCTTTTCGCGGCCTTTTCTTTGTCAACTATCGATTTTTTCGCTGTCTCTCGCCTTTGCTCCTTTCTCTTGCGAAATCCAGTAACAAAAGTCCTGCAGGACAAAGAGGAACAGTCAGGGAAGCTCCCACCAGACGAGAAAGCTTCCTACTTGCGACTCTGAGGATTGAACACGATCTCCTTCACAGATCCAGGCTTCTGAGACCTTGCCCATGGTATGTAGTGTCCCTTCTGCACTTTGTCTGCTTCTGAGACGAGCTTTCCGAATCTCTTGTTCCCCCTGTTCTTCTCTATCGTCTTCTTAGGGCTCATCATCCTTCCTTGTTCTTTCGCCATGGCACGTGAAGTACGACAGTAATCTATCCGTGAGTATCCGTGAGTATCCGTGAACCCGGCGGCGGATCAGACCTTGGCCCACACTGTGACAGCCACGAGCTTGGGCCCGGGGCCGCCGGGCGCTCCGAGTGACATCGGACTGCTATCGCCGGATCACTGGCACATGGAGTTTCAGTGACCAGGCGACGCGACTGACCCGGCCCGGTGACCCGCTGAGCCGCTCGGAGAGTCACGCGGCGAAGTTCGAAGGCTCCGAGCCATTTACTAGCTAACTAGTTATCTCTAAGATGATCAGAGCAACGGCCTCAACCTAAAGCGAGCAACGTAGTCCGTGACCTGCACACAAGGCTCTCAGCAACGTCGCTTGTTTGCAGTCAGCATGTACCATTCTGCTCAAGAAAGCGTTGCATCCCTCAATCCAGGACTATGAGGAACATAGTCACTACCATGTACAGCAAATTTCATCCCCTACTTCGGTGGATCCTCCATGACAGAGGATCGGTACCGGCCAGTGCGCAGCTTCAACGATCAACCGGTCACCCTGAAAGAACCATTGCCTTGTTATAAAACAGCATCGTTGCACACAAGAAGTGAGTTGCCTGGTTCAATGGTTGCCGCTGTCGGCCATCGAATGATACCCAAGCAGGAGCGCGAGCGACAGCCGTGAGCTGCAGCAGAGTCAGAGGCATCGCTCACTTGAGTCTGCAGGGCACTGGACCTGCAGCTTGAGGACGCTGTTGCTGGGCAAGATGATCGGACGGAACGACAACGAATGAGGATTCAAAGGCTGCGAACGTGCTTGAGCGTTTGAAGGAGGGGGGTCAAATGACCGTGAAGAGGATGCAGGGAACTCCAGGATGCACCATGGCGCCACCAGCGGCCTGCAGTCGCAGCAGCTGGTAAGATGACGGTGAAGTCATAGTCAACCACAGTACCTGATTGTAGGCAGTGGAGCCAGTTGGAGTCGCTATGATGAGACCATCCCCCTTTTCGGCTCACTTCAGGGAGGACGTCAACATGAAGCGGGCTCACCTGGACGAGAGTAATGAGCTTGCCGTTGCAATAGCATTCTACGCTAGTCAAGAACGGAGAGGGGCCCCTGACGTTGTCACGGTCAGGCATCCGCCAGAACAAGGACAGGATGACCTGTCCAAGACCATGTCGTTGAGTGCATAGTAGATGAACTCCTGTTCAACAATCAGTTCCATCCTGCGAGGCCCAAGTCCTCACTTGTTTTCGAGCTGCTATGTACATCGTACACTTGAGCCTGACTCTCAGGCCGAGATGAAGGTTGTCACCCTGCCTTTGGAATCAATGTACGACGATACTCTTATACTCCAATACAGTCAAGATCTTATCCAAGACTTCGATGGCCTCTGAATGAGGAGTTCTCGTGATCATCCCCTGCGTTTGCAGATCGTCCAGTCAACCTAGCTTCACCTTCACAATTTTGCTTCCTACCTGAGCATCGAGCCACAGCGGGAGGACCGGAGGAACCTGACGAGGCGAGAGAGGTCAACATAACATGAGCGACCCATGCACAGGGTCTGGAGAGCTTTTGTTGATTACCGGGCCGTCAAACAGTGCGGAAGTAGCGATCACAGACCCATCGTTTCCTTGGAGCAAGGGTCATGAGTTCATTGCACTTGAGTTCTCCGATCGAGTACCGACAGCAATGCAAAAGTCAACTCGAGATAGCCTCTTCTGCATCTTCTTTCGCTGCTCTTCTTGCTTCTTCTCAACGTTCAATTTGGCCATTCCATCATCATTGTCCACCTGCAGATTGGTCAGATGTGCTCTTTGCAAGTAATGCCAAAGGAGGTATTCACCCCGAAACAAAGGAACACAGCTGACTTACATCTTCTTCATCAAAGTCTTCGTCGCAGGCCATCAAGTAGGACAAGTGAGGCAGTTCTCGCTTTATGCGACCCTGAGTGAAGATCTTAGAGGACACGGAGAAGAGTGGGCTTCGGCACCTCCACAAAGATAGACAACCGGAGCTGCTCAGAGCAGTGTCTGCAAATCCTTTCCAAAGCAAGTACACATTTCTGAGGTTACCAAATTTCAGTGAGTACAAATCACTTCCTTGTGCAGACTACATGATCAAGCCGCTTCACGTTCTCCCCGTCTACAGTTCTCCAAGCTGCTCCACAATATCACAGACATTTAACATGCTCTGAGAATGAGTTTCTCATCACCATCGCTCTTTTCAACAATGAGGACCGTCCGCGGTCTCTCAACCCCTGGTGAAGATGACAGTGTCACCATTTGGCTTCGAAGGGCTTTCAAACAACATTTCATGAGCATGAGATTAATGGTCTCCCGATTCTCGATGGCCTGGGGATCAAATCAACCCCGATCTTTCACGGGAGCTCTCGAACCTTGTTCACCCCGATAAACGTTGTCTCCTCTCCCACTGTGCCGCTCTTACTTGGACCTGATCGCCATCAGCGTTTCTACCTCAACCCCCCCACCACTTTCAACCAGTTCGGAAGTCATCCCGTTCGAACGAGTCAGCCTGCATGACGTTCACCAGTCAAAGGCAGAGGGGATGCAAGAGGAGGCTTCAGGAGCCCGGAGGTCTAAGACCTACCTCTTCATTGAGATCTATTTCTGATGATTCTTTCTGGCGAAGAGAGGAGGAGCTACACGAGAAACTCTTTCAGCCCTTGCAATCCGTCGGAAGGTCCGACACTCACAATTGAAGCTGCTCCATGACACGAAGCAAAGCTTCTCCCGCTGCGCCTCGTTAGCTGCCAGCCCACCATGGGCAGTGCATGCTGGCACCTTCAATCTCCAGTGTCCCCTCGCTGGCTTTCGAAGTTCTTTTGAAGGCCACGCAGCCATCTTTGGAATACTTGGGAAAGCAGGTCAGTCAAACTCTTCGAGTTCCATTGCAGTTACCGAGGTCTGGATACCCTGCTCCGCCGCGATTTCAAAGGGAATTCTCGACATATTCCTGCCAGCTCTCTCTCCCTCTCCTCCCTCTCCTCTCCTCTTCTCTCTCTCCTCTCTCCCTCTCCTCTCTCCCTCTCCTTCCTCTCCTCTCTCCCTCTCCTCTCTCTCCTCTCTCCCTCTCCTCCCTCTCTCCCTCTCCTCACTGGGGCTCTGCGACAAACTGAGCGCTCATTGCCATGTTCTCATCCCCCTTCTTCCAACCTGTACATCCAGGGCACGATCACCGGGTGGGAGCTGACCGGCCGCGCAGTGTCCTGACCGGGTGGGTACCTCTGGTATGAGGGGGATGAGTTCGGTCTCTCAAGAAACCTTGGGCATGTCGACTGCCGGGTGCGGAAGGGAAAGGTCGCACAAAAGGAGGAGGAGGGCGAGCTCAGATGAGGAGGGAGAAGAGCGAGGGGAGGAGAGAGAAAAGGATGAGAGAACGATGGAGGGACGAAAGACGAGGAATCTGTGCGAGCACGGGCGGCTCCGATCGCAATGCAAGGACTGCGGGGGAGGGGGCATATGCGAGCACGGGCGGCTCCGATCGCAATGCAAGGACTGCGGGGGAGGGGGCATATGCGAGCACGGGCGGCTCCGATCGCAATGCAAGGACTGCGGGGGAGGGGGCATATGCGAGCACGGGCGGCGGCGCTCGCAATGCAAGGACTGCGGGGGAAGGAGCATATGCGAGCACGGGAGGCAGCGATCGGGATGCAAGGACTGCGGGGGAGGGGGCATATGCGAGCACGGGCGGCGGCGATCGCAATGCAAGGACTGCGGGGGAGGGAGCATATGCGAGCACGGGCGGCAGCGATTGCAATGCAAGGACTGCGGGGGAGGGAGCATATGCGAGCACGGGCGGCAGCGATCGGGATGCAAGGACTGCGGGGGAAGGAGCATATGCGAGCACGGGCGGCGGCGATCGCAATGCAAGGACTCGTGACTGAGAGCTGTGCTCGATATGCAGGCACTTGAAATCCTTCCGGAAGTGCAAACTTCGGTAGCTACACCGTAGCCAGGAGACCCCCTCCTCTTCCTTGACGCTTACCACCACCCAGAATGACTTCAACAAGCTGATCAGTGACTTGAAGCGTCCTTCTTGGAGCACAACGTTGAGTTCTCCTCACTCTACTGTCAGTGTTCAGTGTCGGCTCGTTCAGACTGCATGTCAGTCACACTGGTAGAGCATTGGCAGCTTGTTGAACATCCCAAGCCCCCCTCCCCACCTCCCCCAAAGTGTCCGAGTTCCGAAAATTTTCAAAAGGGAAATAGTAGTTTAGAATACCCTACAAGAAATGTTTTGTATGCTTGACAGAGCAAAATTACCCTTACAAAAGTGGGGATTTAGGGGGGTCATGGGGGTGTCTAAACTTGGTCGAAAATTTCTCCGTCAGGGGTATAAAATTTGAGAGATTGAATCCAATTCTAAAGGTGGGGTGCTGTTTTACGAAATTTTGCCTCCAAACAGGGTGGGGTCCTTTGTCCACAACGTAATTTCTTGTTATGGCAGAAAAGGTTACGGCAGAGGAGGGAAACAAATGCGAATCCAGGCAGTTGCAGGAGTATGAAATCGGGGAGAAAGATAGAGAGATAGAAAGTTTAGGAGAGATGCTGCAGAAGCTACGGCCTGAAGTGAGATGATAACCTTCTAGCTAGGCACCCGCTGGGTTGCCAATGCAAATCGATCGATGGCGAGCCTTCGTTACGGGCAATGTTCACTCCATGAGTTGAAATCTAACAGCCTGCAGTGTTTGCCTGCTGATATTGCATTTCCTTGGATGTTTGATTTGACTTTACTGGGCGCATTGCCGTCTCGTCCACACAATATCGTAGACTTTCGTGAAAAGTCAAAACATGTCTCCTCATCTCAATATGCTTAAAAGAACATCACACAGTTGGAGAGTGATATCCTCGTTCTGTCGGTGATAGTTTTAAGAGAGTGAGCAGCATCGGATGTGTGACGACCCTATGGAGTTGTGTATCCCTACATACACATCCTATGATACATGATCCTCTCGATGTAAACATGGGACACTCCGATCAGTTTTTGCTTGTAAGCGCAACATGTGCAGGTGAACTGGTCCACATAATTGCATCCGAAAATAGTGAAAGTTTGAAGTGCCCACCTTTGATCTCTAGCTCAGCTAACAATGAGCTTCCCTTGGTTCGACTGCTGCGACTGCCGAACAGGGAAGAAGGGATATCCGCCAGATGGCCTTGGCAACTTAGGTAGGAAGCAGCTGCACTCTGAGCGAAGCTATGAATGATATCTTTCCTTCTCAGGCGCTGACAAGCTTTGCGGAGTTGGGATCACTTTCGTCGAGGACACCAACGGAGCGCTCTACGTGAAGAACCTTGTTCCCGACGGATCTGCAGCACGATCAGGACAGATTCAGGTAGAGACTGATTGAACATGGAATTGTGTACTTGCGAAGTATCACTGACTTGATAACAATCAGATAGGAGATGTTCTGTTCGAGGTGAACGGCACAAATGTTTACTGTGAGAAGCCAGAGGCCATTGGGAACCTGCTGTTGGGCACTGAAGGGTCGCCGGTATGTGTGCAGGGGAGCGGAGGTTTTCTTGATCCTTACGGTGTGGCTCAGGTTGAGCTTGTTTTCAAAAGAGCATCGACAGGAAGTCTTCATCGTGTGACTCTTTACAGGACTTCAGGTAGTTTGAATCATTGAGTTTCGACAACACACTCAAAGTTTTTCCGCAGCGGCAACATCTCCTGCAGCTCAAGCACAGGTAATTTCTATTCGACAAGCTGTGATTCAACAATCCAGTTGACTCTTGACCCTGACCTTTTTTTGCCTTTGCTTCTCTCCAGGGGGCAAGTTTACAGAAAGGCAACGGGTTTTCTTCACCTGCAAAGCGACTATAACTGCTTGCGACTGGCGCATGTTTGGCTAGAGCCAGGACGGTCTTGTTCGACCGTGAAAGGAGCAGATTTACCTGTAAATTCCTTATTTAGCTGTTAAATGAAACTGAATGATTAGCTTCAAGCAGCGAATCAGCATTTTACTTGCGCTGCTTGACACCATCTGACTGCTGCGGGGCACATCGGAGTCGAGCACCGAGCAGCATCTAGTCTACAAGATCCTTCTGTGTACTGTGCTACGCGGAATAGATTCCTCGTCTTCTTCTACACCTCCCGCAGGTTCAGCCATTCCTGTGGACGATATGACCTTGGACTAAGATAGTCAAACAAGGATCCGCGACGTCTTCAAGCGTTCAGCAAAAAAGTTGGCAAATTCTGAAACGACTACTTCTTCCCGAAAAATCTCATGCTGTTGTGTCTCTACAGCCTTACAATCTCATCCGTTTACTCATTATTTCTTCTTCCTCCTCCTCTCCATCGTTACTTCCGCTCATCTCAAGATTCTCCATAGCCCAGCGTCCTTGCCGCTGCACCCCTTGATGTGATGCGTGTGCCTTCATGCAGGCTCTCACAGCTTCGTCTCCTCCAGCTTCCGCGATCCTCGACTTGTTTCCAGGGTTCAGGGCCAACCATCGAAGTGCTCCACAGCCCGTCTCTTGTACTCCAGCGTGACTTGGATGCCTTCTCATCCCAGCGAGCAACGTTTGGATCCCTCCTGCCTCTCCGATACGTGCGGTGCCCTGCTCTTCCATGGCCAGGATCCCTAGCAGTCCATTACCCTGCTCTTGAACCCTTTCATCCCCACCGTGCCTGCTCATTCCGGCGATGATGACCTCTATGCCTCCCTGCTCAAGTATCTTGGTCTTGTACTCCGTTTGAAGGGAGAAGTTCCTCAAAGCAAGGCACCCTTGCTCCTGCACTTCAGCAACACCAAGGAGACTCCTCATGCCATGGATCACCGCACCGATGCCTCCCAACCCTGCGATCGACTTGACGTTCTCTTGTGCCCTTGCGCTCAGTCTCAGGATCTGACTTCCCATGGACTGAATCCCACCGTTCGATCCCCAAAGTCGCATGCTTTCTATCACTTGCGCGATCGCTCCCGATCTACTCATCTCCTTGTACTGTGCCTGCAGTGTTTTCTTTTCCGCCGCAGGTTTCTTCAACCAATCGCCCACAGCCAAATCCTTGCCATCAGTCATCGACAACAAGATCCTTATAATTTCTTCATGCACTGATTCGCTCTTGTTCCGATGCAGGAATTGTGCTAGCCTCTCCCAGTCCTTCCTCCTCTCTGCCTCGAGCAGCTCGAACTTGATGTCTCTCACCAGCTCTCGACTATCCACCTCACTGCCTACGGGCACAGCAGCAGAGTCACTAAAATTCACTCTGCCCTTCCGCAGAGAGCACAAATCTTGGTTTGCATTCAAACTGACGACCAACATGGCTGCTGAAGGTCTGAGGGACTGATCCTCTGAGATACAACAGAGCACAAGTCTGCGCATGATATCGTCCCCCTCCTTCTGTTGGAGATATTGCTCACGCAAGTCCTGGCGAGTAGGAGGCTTCTCGCCGGTTACTATGTTCATGAACACGAGCCCCAACGAGTAAACATCTGATGCTGACGTCGACGCTCCTCCCCTCTTCTTCTCCGGCGACATCCAGTCGATGGTGCCTGCTAACCTGGTGCTGCTCCTCGACGGGAGGATAGAGTCCTTTTCCTTGGACAGCCCAAAGTCAATATACTTCGGCGAACCCCGTCGGTCCATCATGATATTCTGCGGTTTGATATCCCTATGAACTATCCTCACTGAGTGCAGAAATGCGAGGCCTTCGGCAAGTTCCATCGCAATGCACAGTGCTCGCTCTCGTCGCTCCTCTGCTCCCAACGTCTGCATGCCAACCAGAAAGCCTTCCAAGGACTCCGGCAGCAGTTCAGTGACCATCATGTAAGAAGCATCTCCGTGGTGGTCGACCGTGACGGCCCCGACAAACTCTACCACATTTCTATGGTACATCTTGTGCAGGTTGTTCGCCTCCCTCATGAAGGCTGCGCGAAGTCGCTCGTCCCTCTGAAAGCAGTCGGAGTCGTGCGGCTCTTTTACTGCTACATCCCTGCCCTTGTACGTGGCACGGAACACAACACCGAAGCCACCCGATCCTAGAGTGTGCTTTGGCTTCCCACGATGATTCGTATCAAATTGAAGATCAGAGAACTCAATCAACCAAGGAAAACTGTGAACTTCTCCTTCATCTGCTTCACCCAAGGAACTTTGTATGACGCTGTCAAGATCTCCACATAATCCCTTGAGAAGTTTGTCGAGGCCAGCATCTTCCAGCAGAGAGCGCTTCAAATTTTTGATAGCTCTAAAGAGTTCGACCTTCTTTCCTTCCAACTGTGCTTTGAGCTTCAGAGCTTCCCGATTCACGGGATCGGAAGACAAGTCAAAACATTCGACATCACGATCACCAGCATCGGCGACGAATGTACAAAGGGATTTCAGCATGATGTCCATGTTAGCAAGAGCCTCCTCTAGATCTTCCTGGTGACAAGCACAACAGCTCTTCTGTGCATGATCTAGCATCTCGGAAACCAGAGTTTGTACCATGTTTACCAGACCAATCACGGATTCCTTGCCAGCTACAATGTGGCACGCCTCCTGATGGAGGCGCTGAAGGGATGAGCGGGCCATGTCAAGGATCAGGCTCGCCATGGAGGCTCTTCGCATTCAAACCTGATCCGCGTCTCTCTCTGCCCTCGCCAGCATGGTTCTACCTACCGCCGCATCGTGCAGTCATCCGATAGCAAGACCCATACGAGAGCGATACTGCCGAAACAGGCGAGCACGCAAACGATGAAAGCCAGGGTCCCCATACACCGCCTCCTGAGCGCATCCATCCCACTCCGCTGTCAGCGTAGCTCCATGGTGATCCGCCAGGTACCAGAGAAACCGCAAAGCGTCAGCATGAAGAAGACCATCCGTACCTGCAGTGAAGGGAAGAAAGGCCTTCGGCGGGTGATGGGTGCCATAACTTGCGCGATGATCGGAAATCTTCTGTTGGGCGGGGCCGGAGAGCGCAGAAAGTCCGACGGGGCTGCCGCTGCTGTTGTAGGGATGTGTCATCGTGAAGTCCAGAACCAGCCCATTCCAGGTGTGGGTGGAGAGGCCAGGGAGCCAAAGGTCGCCCATGTGTCGGTTGGTGGGGCCATGCTGAGGGACGAGGGTCCGGGTGTGTCGCAGTCCCTGTTGATGGAGCTTCGTGACGATACCAGCCTCCACACAAATGTCGCGAAGAACCACAGTACACTGCTCATGTGCAGTGGTCCAGAGAGCAGCGCGATGACGACAGTTGGCCAAATGAGAGACACTGCTTCCCGCCGATGGATCCAGAGCTGTAGCACAACGATCACAGGTGGGAGGCAGCCTAGCCGGGGGTAGCCCATGCAGGAAGCGATCGACACCTCGTGCGAGGTGGATGGGACACTGGTTAGAAGGGTGAACGTTGGTGGCCTCCATCAAAGAGTATTGCAAGCGCCGCTGTGGGTTCTGAGTCTTCCGAAGGAGGGGCTCCAGGGGGAAAGGGGAAGAAGGCTGACTCGCTGACTCGGGGGGATAGAGCTCCACAGTATAGCTGCCATGAGCCCGGAGGAGCCTTCAGCTGCCTGCACCTGAGACAATTGCGCCCGCCGCTCAAGATGAGGGGGAAAAGTCTGCATCAACCGTCCAGTGACTGAGCGCTGGGGGGGGAGAAAAGGAGGTCCGCCCGCGAGCTGAAAGAGCGCTGGAGATGATAGAAGAACAGTCCTCAGCTGTTTCGGAAGGCGCAACCGGGCCCGCCCGGCGGTTATTTTGATTAACTACCACCGTTATCGGTTATGGACGGTTATTGCGAGGATGGGTAGCTGGCAGGATGCCGGGGAGGGCGGGAGTGCGTGAGAGGGAAGGAATGTCGGCGAGGAGAGGAGAGAGGAGGGAGAGGAGGAGAGTCAGGGTGAGAGGATACGAAGGGAGGAGGGATGTTGTAGGCTCTGAGGAAGGCAAGTGACACCATTAGAGTGTCTGATAGACGGCACGGGCTGAAGACGATGGTATGAGGTGGCGAGCACTGGAGTAGAAATGGTGTCTTCCTGACTTTGATCTGAATCGGATGGTTTTCTATGCAGGTGGAGATGTACGGCAGCCTTTCATCGCATGTCAGAGGGGTATGATGTCAGGTTCCGACACGAGCTTGTTTGACAGCGGCATGGATCAAGGGCATCATTCATTCGTTTGCTCTTCCTGAAACTTTCGAGCGTTCGATGGATTCCTTTGCTGCTGGTTGTACCTTGGATCAGCTCCTTTGACATTGTGGTAGTTATTTTCGTGCAGAGGTAGAAAGAAGAACAATTTAGATCAGTGAGGAAAAATGGACTTGTTCGCAAAAGCGGTTGCCAAAGCTCAGAGTACCATCGATAAAACGCTGGGAATCGATGAAGGGCAGGCCAACGAAGCCATGGGTAAAGCCGGCAAGGAGTTTTGCTGGAAGTCTGAACTTCACCTTGCAGAGGCCTCCATGGAAGAGGGAGCGATGTTCACTCAGGTTGCTGGAAAGGTGCTTCCCAAGAAATTGCGGTGGTGATACTGATCGCTCGATAGGTGGTGGAGAAAATCAAAGTCAACCCGACTTCGTTTTCCACTGGCTACTACAAGAGGGACCGAAAAATCCCGAAACCAGATGATTTCTTTTCCAGTGCGTCTGACCTATCGCGAACATTCGGCTCTGACATGCTCTCTCTCAGATATCGGCGGAGACTTTGCGAGTCCAGAAGCTGTCAGCAAGAGTGAGATGAGCAACCACTCATCGCCAGATGCCAAGTCAAGGGGGTTTCAACGCGGAACAAACCTCAACAACGATTTTTCAGATGAAGGGTGGGGGCTGAATGATTCAATTGGTGCGTCGCCCAGCAAGGGCTCGGTTAAGGGAAACGCTGCTGTAAATGACTCTGAGCCTTCTGCTGCGCAACACAAGGTGTTCGATCAGAGTCCCTCCCGGTACCATCCATTAGAGCAAGGCTCCAAGGCAATGGACGAGAACCATTCTCCTTTGAACGAGGGGGTGCCTGCAGCACCCAACACGGTCCAAGCTGAAAGTGAGGAAGAAGTCAAAGAGCAGGAAAATGGTGAAGCTGAAGCTTCCAGGGCTGATGACTTCTTAGACTTTCCGGACCCTCCAGCGTTCTGGGATGAGGCTGAAACACCTGCCGATGCTCTTGTCACAGGTTCAGAGGAGGGGTCGAAGTATGAAACAAGCGCGGCTCCAGTATCAGAAGCGCATGTCACTCCGGCCGAGTCTTCAAGTCAGCCGTATCAGGAGGATTTGAAGGGAGCTGAGCAAGATGATTCTAAGCATGACGGGGTTCTAGAAGGCCCTGACAAGAATTTGACATCTTCCACTGTCGAGTCATCGGCGGAAAGCAATCAGGAAGATGGATCTCAGCTCGGGGCAGAGGGTGAGAAGGAGGCTGATCTGAATTCGAATTCGAATGAGGAAGCTCAGACTGTCTCTGTTGATCATTCATCTCCTGTCAGTGCTGAAAGAGAAGCTCCCATGGACAGCACAGGCTCTGCTAACGACACGACTGACCAAGAGGCCGTTGAGCCAGATGAGATCGAGGAGAGCAAGACTTTGTCTGGTTCTCCTGCTTCACAGGCGCAGAGAGGAGCGGGTTGTGCCGTGTGCAGAGGCAACGAGGAGGCGTTGAAGGAGGCGTTGAGAAGGAATCAAGGGATAACACAGGAGAGGGACTCTCTTCTTGCAGAAATGTCTCAAGTCAAGACTGAGCTCAAGCAGCTTCAAGATGCTCTTGCGCGCAAAGGGACACAGTATCAGGAAGAGATTGAAAAGCAGGAAGCTCTCGAGGTACGCCTGCAAGCTCTCTCCTCGATGTATTTAACCATGATTCCTCCAGGTCACTGTCCAGGAGAAGGAGGGGTTCATCCAGCAACTTCGGAAGGAGTTGAACACGCTGCGTGATTCCAAGGCTGACTCGTCGACAGTCTCTCAACAGCTCAAGGACAGCGAGTCTGCCAGGGAGCAGCTGATGGACGAAGGACGCAGGCTCATGACTGAGAAGCAAAGTCTGGAGAAGATCATCAAAGGGCTCCGAAAGCAGTTGAAAGACAGAGAGAAGGACGAAGAGCGGTACAAGGAAGGGAAAGCAGCTGAAGAAGCGAGGAAGAAAGCCTATGAAGAAAGGCTGGCGGCTCTCGGGGAGCAGGCGCAGAATAGTAAGATGCAGACCGACAAGCTCATGGCTGAGTGCTCGGACCTGAGGAAGAAGCTGCAAGGCAAGGAGAAAGAGATCGGTCAGCACGTCAAGAAGATCGCAGAGCTCGAAAGGACTGTCAAAGACACTCTTAAGTGCAACGAAGACTTGGCAAGAAAGCTGGAGGATGTGGCTTCAGACGCTCAGACAGATGCGAGACGAGCAGTGGAGAAGGAGAAGAAAGCGTACGAGAAAGAAGCCGAAGAGAAGATCGAGATGCTGTCCGATAGCTTGGAGTCCATGCAGGCAGCAATGAGGCGCCTCGAAGCTCAAAGCAATAGCAAGGAGCAGCGCCTCCGAGCGGAGCTGGAAGACGTACAGCAGCGATGCAGAGAGGCGGAGGAGCGAGTGCTAGAGCTTTCTTCCTCCGTTCCTGATGCCACAAGACCTCTCCTGCGTCAGATTGAATCGCTCCAGGTGAGTTGTGGAGATGAGAAGTGGAGGAGACAAGGAGGGAGGAGGATCCCTTTGAAAGAGCTCATTTCTTTGCAGACGTCCTTCGTAGACAAGCAGAGAATTTGGGAGCAGCTTGAGAAGACGCTCAGGCAGCGATGGTACTTGCACTTGCTGCTCACGTCAGAAGTGACTCGTGCGTTCAGCTCGGATGCAGAGGCTGAAGCGAGACAAGCAGTGGAGAGAGAGAAGGTACTGGAGAGACGTGGGATGTTGTGAGGGTGCAGGTAGAGGATCAAGAACACGAGGAGCGGGTAGAGGAGGACGAGGACCAGGAGGTCTGAGCAGTGGGGCAACGAAGAGAGAGGAGGGAAACGAGAGGATGTGAGCCCAGGACGAGAGTGACGCTCAACAGGTGGCTGCTGATCGTCTCAAGAACGAGCAGGAGAGCGTCGCGTCCCTTGAGATCCGTGTGTCTTCTTTACAGGTCTGCTCCTCCTCTCTCGCTCCCCCTGTGAGTTCTCTGTCAGGGCGAGGCCTCCCGCCTCTCGGCTGAGCTGAGAAGCCTCCGAGAAGAGCTCGAGATCGCGAGGAAAGCTGAGCAGGTGAGTCGAGGCGGACGAGGGGAGGAGAGTGAAGTAACGTTTCCCTAGGATGCAACGGCGGAGGTCGAAGTGTTCAAGTCGACTTCAGAGAGGCGCGCAAATGAGATCTCAGAGCTCAAGGCGAGTGCAGACCTCGTTGATTCTTGCTTGTCCTGGTTCTTGCTTGCGTGCTTGTTGTGCTCTCACCCTCCTGTCTGCTCTTCTTTCTGTCCGTCCTGTTGGCCTCCCTGCTGCCCTGCTTCCTAAGTTGACCCTCCTCGCTCTCTCTTTCCTCTCCGGGGCCTCCCCAGTCCCTGATCCCCCTCGTTCAGATGTTGCACCGTGAGAAGGTAACGGAGCTCGAGCTGAAGGCTACCCAAGACCGCGAGAAAGCAGCGGGTAGGAGGCGGTGGGGGGGGAGAGGAGGAGTTGATCAAGTTGCAGAGGAGAAAGCGATGCTGCAGCGACAGATAAGGTCGCTAGAGACTTCAGTGCAGGTCGATGAAGAGCGTCACTGGCTCAGGTGGAGGCGACTGACGTGAGGTTGACCAGACTATCAAGGACGTCAATTATGATCGCAGCAGAGGAGGATCCAGAACAGAGGCTGACTTGGGTGAGCAAGGAGGAGCAGGAGCAGGAGCAGGAGCAGGAGCAGGAGCAGGAGCAGGAGCAGGAGCAGGCGCTGAAACTATATGATCAGGTGGTGGCTACTCGAACTTCTCGCAAGACAGCGTCTTCGATGTCGCCAAGTTTTCCTCTGCCCATTCGCTGCAGGACAGAAACGGTTTCTCCTCCCTTTCTGTTGGCGAGTCTTTCTTTTCGACCGAGTCAGGTTGGGATCGAGCTGGGCTGAAGTTTGTTGAGCCTGACTTCCCTCGAGCAGATGGATCGAAGCACCTCGAAAAACACATCCTCATGCTCCAGCAGGTGCGGCAGACCATCCCGCCGCCTCCTCCTCTCCCTCCTCCTCTCCCTCCTCCTCTCCCTTGTTCCCCCCCCCCCCTTCCTCCTCCTCCTCCTCCCCCTCCTTGTCATCTTGTTGATCCTCTGCAGCGATGTGAAGCACTGGAGAACGAGAGAGACTCTCTCGCAGGTACCCTTTCTCCTGCTCCTGCTCCTTCTCCTGCTCCTGCTGCTCCCTCCTTGTTCATGAACACATGTATACTCAATCCCGTTTCCTCATCTTCCCCTCCTCTTCCCGTTCCTCCTGCTGTCCCTACCTTGACTGTGCCAACTAGACGAGCTCGCATGTGCGGTCACCATACAGCAGAAGCATGCGAAGGAGGCGGAGCTGCTCCCCATCCTGCAGGTCAGCAACATGTTCCAGTGTCGCTGTGTAACCTCCCCATGTAGAACGAGGTCACCTTCCTCCGACAACGACAGGTTCGTTCATCCTCCTCCTCGCCTCCTCCTCCCCTCACTCACCTTGCAGGAACTCGCGCTGGAGCTGCTGGGCGCCAGGGAGGAGGAGCTGGATGACTTGCGGGTACATAGCATGAAACTGACTTGCCTCCTGTCCCTCACGTTGCCCGTAGTTGACTGTAGAAGAGACCCGCCTGATCTACAGGTTATCCCCGCCCCTTCTCCTCTTCTTCCTCTCCTCCTCCAAACTCCCCACCCACCAACCCACCTGCCTTCCCTTCCTCCATCCTTTCAACCCCCTCCCTTGTCTCTCCTCCCCTCCCCCCTCCCAATTCCTTTCTACTCTTCTCCCCCCCCTCTCCATCTTCCCACCCTGTTCTCTTCCCATTACACAGTTTCTCACTCCTCTCGTCCTGCAGGGCGGAGCTCGAACGCCTAATGGAAGTTCTGCCGACGAGCGATCGCTGGCGGATCCCCACCTTCCCCACTTCAAGTGAGCGGATGGAGGAGAAGAGAGGAGACGAAGAATGAAGAAGGCGAGATTGGGAGTTGACCACCTTAGGAGCTGAGGAGAGAACGAGAGGAGGGCGGGAGGGGAGGGCAGAAGGAGGGGAGGAAATCTTGAGCAAACAGGCGTAGAGGAGGTTATGAGAGGTTGAGGAGAGGAGAGTGGAGGAGGGAAGGAAGTGTAAGGAAGTGTGAGGAGAGGAGAGGAGAGCACAGTGACGACACCGCAGGCACAGCAGCAGAAGCAAAGAAGGACGACGATATGGACCCGCTAGAGCTGCCTGACCCTCCCGCTGGCGGGGGAGGGACTGAGCGAAAGGGTTTGACTCGTGTAACTTAGAAGGTTTGAAGAATAAAATTGACTCGATCAAGAAACGAGCGGGAAGGGTAGCCGAAGGGCATTACAATACAACGACACTTGATAGAAATAGAGAGAGAAGGAGATTGAAGAAAAGAGAGGGAGGGAGGGAGGGAGAGGAGAGCGAGGGGGCGGGGGCGGGAAGGAGGAGGAGGCAAGGAGATATTCGATTGAGACACATTCGGTCCTTGGGTCCTCAATGGTTCCTGGGCCCAACAAAGAAATCGTCCGCAGACGTGTCAATGAAGATTTTCTCTCCCTTTCCTGACGCCTGAATCTCTAGTCAGCTCCCCGACTGCCTTGCTCCTCCTCCCTCACCCCGTTGTCGACGTCGTCCGAGATCGCCACGATGTTTGAGACTGCTTCAAGTTAGTCAACAGGCAGAGTCCTATGAAATCACCGGCACCGTTCTTGTCGTGGTCTCTAGGAGGACTCAGACCTACAGGATTCGAAGAATTTCCTCCTACATGTCGTCAGACGCCTTCTATCTGATCACTTTGCGCGAACCTCCGCCAGCCTCCTTTGCCTTCATCTTTGCGATGTACCAATCAGGAGCCTGCGCATCTCGTCACTCCTTCCTCATCATGTCCTGCACCTCCGCCATCACTCACGCTTGACATCGGGTAATGGGGGCAGAGTTCAGGCAGGAGGAAGCAGTCGTTCCACCACGCGTTAGGGTCTGCACTTGCTCCTCCTTGCTTCTTCTCCTCACTTGCCGCCCCTCCTGCTGCACCTTTGCAACAGTCAGAGATCGAAGAGCGTCAAGGAGGATAGGAGATACCCTGCCCTCCGCTCCCGCTCCCGCTCGATCCTCCTGCACCACCTGACCCTCCCAGCCCAGCGCCGCCCCCTGTGGCTCCTGCCGACTGTCCACCAACACCAGCTTGTCCTGACGAACCAGAGTTTGACGCCAGCGCAGCGTTGATGATGTCAAGAGGGGAAGGGATAGAAGGAGTTGACGACTTTTTGCTAGAGCCTGAGGGTTTGAGATCAACCAGCACGTCGGCAACCACAACCTCCAGTTCACCGCGGCCGAAGATGGAGTGTTTGAACTCATCCTTGAGCCTCGCTACTGCTCCTGGAGCATCCGCATCCGTCGACTCGTTCAGGTCTGCCAGCAGGACAAACACCATCACTCACTCGTGCTGACATCACAAACTTTGCAAACCTTTCCATGCATTCTCATCGATGTGGTAGGGGGTGTAATGTCCTGTTCCTGCCGAATCGTCAGAGGGCAGAACTCAAGTCATCTCATCATCTCACCGCTCGGAGCAGAGCCGGACGAAAGAGACTGAGACGACGATTTGTCTGCAAACTTCTTTGACAACGTCTCTGCCGTTTTCTGCACGATATCAGACTTCTGGGATCGGATTCAGATAGGGTGCTCTCACCAATTTCATCTGATATGAGTTCGATGCGTCTGTGATGATCTTGTTTGCCTCGCTAGCATACTTTGAGCTAACAGGAATATCAGACGACTTCAACCCCTCTCTCACCCTTACCTGTCGCTGCTCGCCGCCTCCGAATGCTGGCCCCCACCGTTTCTTCCAATGTTCCACCATGTTCCAACAGCGCCTCCAGCACCACCAACAATCCTCCTCGCTTCCTCATCTTCCAGTATTCCTGATCCAAGACCATCTCTGAACCCTTTCAGCGTCTTTTCACCTTCCCTTCCACCATCCTCCACTATCCCATGTGCTTCCTTCATCAACCCCTCCGACCACTCCCCCAGTTGTCCAGCCAGACCCACCCTCGTCTGATCGCCATGTCCGACTAGAAACACCACCACAACAAGTGCCATGAACGACGATCCTGCCACAAAGACTGCGCGGCTCATGCTGGGCCGCCCGCTACCTCCTCCTGCGCCCTCCATCTTACGCCATCCTGCCGACGCTCTAAAAGCGGAGGTGCAACCACATCCCCACCCATACCAATCAAAAAGTCAAACGATTTGACCACCCGGGTGGCCCGGACAGAGGCCCGTGAGCCCGGCCCGGCGCACTCATTCTTAGGTCTGCCTCAGAACATTCATTAGTTCTTTTGAAGGACAGAAAACTTTATATTATTGACTTGATGAATTCATTACGGGGGCAGCGACGAGATGGCGAGCGAGCAGGCGCAATGCAGGGCGATCAGGTTACGGCATGAGGGAGTGCATGTGAGAAGTACATCTGAGAAGTAAGGGAGGAAGAGGAGGAGGAGGAGGAGGAGGAGGAGGAGGCGGAGGAGGAGGAGGAGGAGGAGGGAGATTCAGAGGGAGACATGAGGCTTGCTGCTTTGATCCTGCTGGCTACATGGTATGCCTTCACCGTAGACAGCACCCTTGCCCCATGTCGCGGTAGAGTGAGTGACTATGGTTGTGGGAAAGCATGTCTGCCCGTGAGGTTGAGGGGTGGGAGGAAGGCGGAAGAGAAACCTACAGAGGTCGCAAAGTTATGGCAGACAAAAGAAGTGGATGAGCTGGACAAGATGTGGAATAAGGAGTTCATGAATGTCATGAAGGAGAAACTGAGTTGCAAACCGAACTGCACTTGCCTCGACGACTGCCTCAACCACCAGCCCGAATCGATCTTCACCACATTGGGGGATGCTGTAGGCAGGGCGCGACGGGAGATACAGGAGGCCTTTGGTCAAGTGGTACCTGAGGAGGAGGTAGAGGAACCAGTCCAGGCCGACGTCTTCGACGTCAGACAGCTGCTGATGACCGAGGAGGAGGACGAGGATGGTTTCGTGAGGAAGATGGTCAGAAACGCCCAGGTCTGGGACGAGAAAGAAAAGACCATGGATCCCGATGAGCTGTCAAAGATGAAGGAACGGCTGTTTGAGGAGGTTGAGGAGAAGATGAAGAAGATCTCGTCACTCCTGGACAACGAGCCGCCCTACCCCAAGACCGGTCCTCCGAACGCAACAGGGTTTGAGGATGTCCCGGGACTGTCCAAGAACATTGCAAACGAAGCAAGGGAGCTCGGTCTGAAGCCGAAGAACGTGCTGTTTGCCTGTAAGATCAGCAATATCTCATTCTGACACTTTCGATGGATCAGGTGAAGAAGTTTATGTTAGGGCTGAAGGTGCTTCTTGCTGATGGATGATGGTTCGATGACGAGTCTTTTTGCTGCAGGCCCTGGATATCTACATGGGCGAGAAGGAAGAAGAAAGAGTTGTCAACACTGGAGAGGGTGAGAGTTTCTCTCTATGGTGTATTCTTGCTGCTGACATGATGGTTTACAAGATGCTTCAACGGACTTTGAAAAGAATTTTGATTCTGACACTTTCGATGGATCAGGTGAAGAAGTTTATGTTAGGGCTGAAGGTGCTTCTTGCTGATGGATGATGGTTCGATGACGAGTCTTTTTGCTGCAGGTGCTGACTTTGCGTTTCCTCCAGGGCCGTTGATTTGGCCCGAGAGGATCGGGGGGAGTCGCTTCGAAAGTATCATGTTCAAACCATCCTAGAGCAGTCGGGAAAGAAGCTTCAATATGACCCCGACGGTTTGAACTTGTCAAGTTGATTTGACAGCCAATGAATGATGCTTGTTCTTTTCACATTTTAGTAGTCCCTTGGGTTCCTAAGAATGTGATGAGAGGAGACGGTGGAAGAAGCCTCGACGTTGCTGAAGTTTGTTGTAGGTGTCCTTGGCATTGAATGTCACTGCGGAGATTATCCTCAAGAACGAAAGCTACCTTATTGCGCGCTTCAGTAAGGAAGAGAGCACAATGGAGCAAGGGGGGGAAGGAGAAACGAGCAATGCGGGCAGGCAGACGAAAGTGAAAGGAAAAGGGAGAGTGATGAAGAAGAGCGGGAGAGGGAGGAGGAGGATGGAGGGAGTGAAAGGGAGGAGAGAGAGTTGCTTTGTTCTCCTAGAACTGAACGATTCGCGTGTAGGTCGAGCTCGGGCCTACGAGTTTGTGTGTATACCACGACTACTTGATCCTTTCATGGAGGTTGAAACGTGAGCAGCAAACTGGTAGTGACCTTGAATGGCAGGACAAGGAACTCTTTGACTCGATGCAGCTGAAACAGAATGTTGAGGTACTTGTAATTGTTTCCCCTCCTCTTGTATGCTGTGGTTGCACTTGATGGGTACAGCAGCAGCGACGATGACAGTTTTTTTCAGGCCTTTGTGCGAAAGGTCAAGTTCAGCAAGAGAGCTGATTTCTGCCTCAAGAAGTGCGATTGGATCGCAGAGTCACTTGTTGTTGAGCCCAGGCCCACCACCACGGCGGAGCTGCTGACGAAGCAGATTTTGAGGTGCGAAAGTTTGATTGCAAGAGATGTTGTCATTGACAGCTGCTGTCAAGCATCAACAAGAAATCGGTGATCTCGTTTCTCAAGTTCGTGGAGAAAGGTCAGCTGTCGAATTGGAGGTAGCCAAGAATCATTTCTATCAATGCTTGAGCGATTCCAACATGATCACGACTATGCGTGCAGCAACGCTAGTATAGAGGGGCTTGACAAACAAATCCCTGCCTCTGGAAAGGTTCTCAAACCTGATGGCTGCGGAAATTGCAGCTGATGGTGCTCATGATTTCTTGTAGGTGCTCAATACCAGCGACTTGGATCAAGGTGAACTTGAACTATTCTTGATCAACTTCTCTGACCGTCTTGCTTCTCAGTGTTCTGGAAAGGCCCACTGTTTGAACTGGTCCCCATGAAACTTCATGTCTTGAGACTGAGACAAAGATGGCAGGGGTTCCGGATTCCGAAGTATGAATTCGAAGAAGAGGTGGTTCAGGTGACTAGCGAGCATTGCGAAGTTCAAGTCGCTACCATAACACTCTTCGTCCGCACCCCTCCTATCACCCTTGCAGGAAGCTGTTGCAAAGAGGGAGAGGCTGATTAAGGAGGGGAACAATAGCTACGTACTGTTTGAGAAGATGGGGCGAATGTGAACAATTTTTACCATCCTGCTGCTTCACTTGACCTTGCGCCAGCCTGAATGGAAATCACATCCCCAAGTTGATTGCTCCGAGCATCATCAGTGACGTTGGGGTGAAGTATAACAATTCTTCTATGTTGATCACATGTCAGGATTGGTATGTGGAGGACTTTTTCAGCTGCGCGTGGCTGGGGTAAGACTTTAGTCGAAGGTTCAACTCTGATTCTTCATTGGAGGTATACTGGAAGATTACGAAGACTGATGAAAGAGGTATGGATCCTCCCTCCTCCCTCCTCCCTCCTCCCTCCTCCCTCCCTCTCTCCTCCCTCCTCCTTCTCTATTTATTCTCTTCCAGCTCCTACAAGTCCCTTATACCTCTCACAAAACATCTTCCTTCCTGTTTGTATTCCTGGCTTCGATGCAACCTTTGCTGTTCTGCTTCTCATTCCTTTCACTCAGGCACCCGTGTATCCTGATATCTGTCATAACTCCTCCGCCCTCTGCACTCCCCTCCATGCTGCTTCTCTTTCCAACCAATTCTTCTGCTGCCGAGCCCTCCTCGCTGCTGGCGCCAACCCCAACGCAAGGTAGCCTTTCTTGAATCTTCTCCCTCCTCCTTCTTTGATCCGTTCCTTCACTCCTCTCTACCTTCTCCCCCACCATCTTGTCGCAACGTCTTTGTTTCTCCCTTTCCTGTGTCTGACATTATCTGCTTCCTCGCTTTGCTCCTGCTCCTGCTCCATCTCCCGCTCCTCTTCCAACGACGTGTCAGAGATTCAATCGGCGTAACTCCCCTTATGCTCGCCGCCTTCGGCGGAGCTCCAAAGGTCAACATACTCTCCCCCTCCTCCTCCCTCGCACGCGTACGTGACTCTTGCTCCAGATCGTTCGCCTGCTGCTTGTTGCAGGAGCAGACGCCTCGCTCAGGAACCTAGACGAAGCGGTGAGCACATCCAGCCCTTGCTCGTCATTCACATCGAAGTCAGGACGCCTATGAAATCGTAGAATACATGTGGAAGGAGAAGATAGACGACGTCCCTCAATGGCTGAGAACGAGGCGGAAGGAATGCATGGATGTCAGTCTGCCCCCCGAATCCTTTCCCGAGCTCCCTTCATTGTCCAGTTTTCTTTCCTTCACTGGTCACCTCCTCCTCCTCCTCCTCCTCCTCGTTCCTGCTCATTGCGTGCTTGCTCTTCACCTGCTGTCCAAGACTACTCGGTCCTCGACTCTTCCCTGCTGCCCTCCCACTGCTTCCAAGTCTCACCTATGTTCATCTCTCCCCCCCCTGCTCCTCCTCCTCCTCCTCCTCCTCCTCTACTTCTCTGGCCATAATTCCACTCACCCTCTGCTTCCAGATCCTTCTCAGCTTCACCAAGACGCTTTCAGACTGCTCCATCCCCCCCGGCTCCAAACAGGTCTACACAATCTTGTACTCTTTCCCTCTCGTTCCCTCACCCTACTCCAGTCTCGAGAGTTCGCAGCGGCAGCGTTCGGGAGCGAGTATGTCGTAGCACCGCAAGAAGCAGAGGAAGGGGAGGTCAGACCATGAACGTGGCACGCGTTTCCCCAGCGGCTGATCGCGTGCTCTTGCAGGTGGATCTGGTCAGCGACTTTTCGGAATCCTCACACGAGGAGGAGGAGCGCGAGGAGAAGGCTAAGAGGTGGGAGGATACGATCAAGGCCTTGGCGTACGGCTACCACGATCTTCCAAAAGTTCGGAAAGTTCCTGACACATGAAAGTCTTCCAAAAATTTCTGACACATGAAAGCCAAAGAGGGACAATGATGAGGCTAGTCCTTCTTATCTCGCTCCCCTACGTTCCTCCTCCTCAGCGTTGTCTCGGACGAGTCGTCCATCCCCAGCTTTTCCTTGAGCCTATCTCAAAGTCATCTCCTCCTCCTCCTCCTCCTCCTCCTCCTGTCCACCTCTCATTCTCTTCTTTCAGTCTTTGCAGCTCACTAGCAGTGTCCTGCTCATCTGCTGATGTCCAGTCATGCCACACGCCCCTCTCCTCCTCCTCACTGACCATCTTTATCTCCTTCGAGCTTCTTGCGGAACTTCTCGTTGCCCTCCACCTTCCCGTCCTCTGGTCATCGAGGGCAGGCGGCATGAAAGAGTCGCTACCTGCTTCTTGTACACCTCATGCAACTTCTCATCTCGCGCCACCTTCTCCTCCTGCGCGGCTTGTCAGGTAGCCCAACCCCCCAGCCCTCACTCACGAGCTCCGTGACGCGCTTGATGAGCGACCAGAGTTGACACACGACGAGAAAGATGAACATGCACCTGCTTGCACTTTCACAGGATGGACAACCGATTGACGAGAACAGACCCGAAGGAGATGTAAATGTTTCTCTCCGCTCGCAACCTCTTGTTTTGATGTTCCATCTTGTCCTATCAATCCTTCTTCAGCTTCGAACGAGGAAGAGAGGGAGCGAATGCCTTCCACCCATCGGTGTGCGGGTGACGATGCTTCGTTGCTTTCAGGTAGGAGTCCGCAAATGCAGCTGAGAGCGAGACACCATAATCGACCAGTACCATCCCGACAGATACGTGAACCGTGAGCGAACGAGAAGACACAAAGACAAGGATGAGCACAGGAGCAGAGAGAGACGAGGAGGCATCGGTAGTCAGACTCGCAGCACTCCTATGGGCTTGTCTCACCTACTAGGATGACTCCGAAGCCCACAATGATTTCTCGTGAGAAGGGTACTTGAACGCTGCGAAGCGCTCATCGTCATGATCAGAAGCTCCTCCTCCTCCGTCAGACCTCTGGATGGCGCTCTTCATGGGTCTCTTGATGAAGGAGGGAGCAAAGGATAGCGCCATCAGCACGGCGCACACGGCGCACTCCCCGAAGAGCATGTACGAGTACAGCGCGTACATGGTGTCCAAACAGAGCTGTGCTAGGGTCGGAGAGTGGAGGGTAGTAGGGGCATTACAAAGTAGACCCTGGGGTACTCAAAACACCGGTGTTTTAAGGTTGAATGTATTAGAAATATAGGGGTAGGGTATTTACATCAAGATTCAGTACCCATGGGAAAAAGAATGGGGTAGGAATTATGATGGGTGGGCAGATGGGTGGGTAGTTGACCTGGTCATTAGCGGAGATGAGGGCTTTTCTCAGTCTAACAGTCCGCCCGGGCTGTGGCCGGCCGCTGGGCCGCCGGAGCCAGGCCCGGTCCCTTCCACCTCAATTACTGACAAGCTCAATCACTGAGTCACTGACTGGCGCTGTCACAGTGTGATCCGCGGGCCACCGAAGTAGTCAAAGGATTGATCAAAATTGTTGAACTTAGGAAGTACTACCCGAAAGTGATTAAATTAGTAAAGTAGTGAGTCTGACAGGCTCTGATACTCGTTAAGCAGCCATGGCGCCTTGCTCGATCAGGTTCTTCCTGATCAGGTCTTCAGCAGCATCTCGAATCTGCGGGTGAAGTCTCAGCCGATGATGAGGGGAGGAGGGAAGCATCGATCACTGAGTCTGCTATTGGCCGGAGGTGCAGGTTGAGATCCTTTCTCGCCTTCCTTCTTGTCAGTTCCCCTGCTGACCAGGACGGAGGGCGACTCACCTTGGCCGTGTTGTAGCAGGGCTTGTAGGTGATGGGCTCCATGGAATGTCGTGGGAGAGGAAAATCCTTGAAGCGTTTGTCTGAGAGCAAGTGAGCAAGCAATGAGGAGCAGGAGGAGGAGGAGGAGTTTGCACCGCTCTTCAACATGTTGGCAAGTTCCAAGTGGCTGATCCCCTTGTCTGAAGAGATCAAGTATCGCCCTGCGCAGAAAAAATCAGCCCCGCCATGGCATCCCCTTCCACTTCCTCTCTCTCTCGCTCCCGTTCCCACTCCCCCACTCCCTTGCCACTCCAACTCCTCCTCACCGAACGCTGACGGGTTCTCCATGGCATTGACATGCGCCGCTGCAACATCTCTGACATCCACACACCCGATGCACCTTCCTCCGTTGGTTCCGTTGTGCGAATATCGTCCCTGCAGCGCAGTCACATGGCAGGTCGCTGAGTGGAGGAGGCCCTGACGTCCAGCAGATCCTTGATGAGTTTCGTGCTCTCTGAATCTGCTCCAGGAGGGAATGAGAGGCAGCAGAGGCTGGGAGCGGGAGGAGGGGACCTGTTCGGTTGGAGAGTGACGGGCCGGTGAGGAACGAGGGGTTCATGGTAACGATGTCAAAGTCGACTTTGTACTCCTGCACAGGAACAATCTCAACGAGTGCGACAATGGTGATGAAGATGATAGATGGAGTTGATGCAGCTATTGCAAGCTCTGGTGGTGATAGCGTAGTTGATCAGGAAATGGGCAGGGAGGAGGAGAGGATTGGGAAGACGGCGACGAGCAAGAGCATAAATGATTGGAGTCGAGAGGGGACTGGGACGAAGAGGAAGAAGAGGAAGGGGAAAGAAGCTCCCTTCACCTGTCCTCCAGCATCCAACGCTTTCTTGATTTCCTTGGGATCTGAAAATCCACCTGCAGTCCAGCTATTTGAGGGGAAGGCGAAGGCACCCGCAAACAGACCGGCAACACCATAGTTGTGGCTGTTCAGAGCCGAAGCAATCCAGACCCAAGCAGCCTGTTCAGCGAGCGTCTTGCTGTACCTTCATAGAACATTCAGAAACTATTCCAGGGGACGTAGCTGCAAACCTGTATGCGTTGTCCTCAAGCGTTGTGTCGACATTCCAGTCATCTTCGCTCCATGCATAGTTTTCTGCCATAATCACTCAGAGAGCTGCAGGCTTGGAGGCAGTGCAGGTCTCACGGTCAGAAGGGATGTTGAGCGTCAGGATGGCAGCGGCGGAAGAGGTGATGACAACTCTTCTGACACCTCCCACAACCCTTGACCCTCGAAGGATGTTCATGGTGCCCTGCCGTGTTTCAGCTCACCCCTCACTAGCTCAATTCCCCGAGACCTTCACGGCAGGCTCGACTAGATCTGTTTCTGGATTCTGAACTTCATAGTGGAAAGGAGAAGCTGTGTGAAGCACAAACTTGCAGCCTGGAGGAGACCATTACAACGGAGTTGCAACCAACATTGTGTGGATGGGGGGAGGGAAAACACCTTTGATAGCTTCATTGAAGCTCCCATCGTCGAGCAAATCTGCCTCATACAACTCAAGCTGCAAGCAGACTACATATCAGCAGACTCCCGCAGAAATGCTAGCACCTTTGGGAAAAGCTGCTGGAGAGCTGCGACTTTCTGCGTGTCGTTGAACGTTCGCACTGTTCCCCTCACGTGGTATCCTCGCTTGATTAGCTCGTTGATCACATGTCCTGGAGAGAGACTGACGTCATACACTCTCAACTCTTCGTGCCATCATCGACCTGCTAGAAATCCTGAAGCTCCAGTAACCAGCACAGTGTCTCCAGGCTACCATCGACTTGAGTCAGAGCGGGACGTTCACAAGCAAGCATCAGTCTGCGCAACATGCCTGGGCAAAAGGTTCTGAAAACTTGGACCCCATGTGAGTCTCAGCAGGTGAAGCTTCCGAGCCTGGCTTACTCAGCAAGAGCCCTCCTCCTCGCAGTCTACTTCCTGCCAGGCCCCGTTTCCACCTCAGCAGAGCTCCTTCCAAGAACTCCACGGCCTCCACACACCTTGGCTCGAGAGCTCCTTGGCCGCTATGTTGGCCTCCTTCGATCCAAAGGGGCAGAGCTTCTGCAACCTATCGGGAGTGAGGAAGACACTTGTCCATCAGGTCAGAAGCACCTGTCGCGAATCCATTGTGCCGGCGCTGTGCTGACTTGTCTCCAGAAAGCAGCCTAGCAACCATGACTGAGCTCCCAGACGAGAGCTCGCCGACTGCTGCTCTTCCTCACCTTCTCTGCAGGGCCTGCAACTGCAGAAAACCAGAAAGCCCCGCCCCTCAACCTTAGGTTGTCGCTAACCTGGACGGGGATGCAATTAGATGTTGCCGTGAGCGTTAGCAATGCATTCACCTGGTACGCTAGAAGAGGACGAGGGGGCGAGATCTCATCTCTGGACGATGTCGCGCAGAGAAAGTTTGTGTTCAACAGAAGCACCAGGCAGAGCAATGCAGGTATGCATTCTGCCCTGACTCGGAGTCGCCGCGGGAGCATCTTTGCAAAATACAAGACGTGAGACGGTGAGTTTACATAAACGCGTCTTCCAGAAAAGTACAACATTTCTCGAATCCTTCTCTGAGATACAACATTGCTCGAATCCTTCTTTGAGGGGGTTCTCTTCCATCAAAGCTCCCTCCCTCCCTCCCTCCCTCCCTCCCTCCCTCCCTCCCTCCCTCCTTGCAACCTTCAGCCCCCGTGGTATTCCTGCATGCGACCCTCATACCGCACCCTCTAATCCTTGGGCGATCTCAGGGGTGATCTGAGCAGATCCTGTAGCAGAAACATAAAAGGTCATAGCGTTTACTCAAAGTTAAGTTAGTGTTACTAAGCTTGTTCGACCTTTTATGTCGTCGGAAGTTTCGAGGACAGCGGGACCATGTTGTGGCTACGTATCATCGGGGCCATGTTGTGGCTACGTATCAAGAAATTTACAGATATTCATTATGGAAGAGAAAATGAAGCGAAAGAATAAAGAAAATCCAGAAGAGAGAAGAAATGGTTCCTGCAATTAGCATCCGTCGAGCTTTTGCAGATTTGCGATGGCCGAATCAAGTTTCTCCACCACTCCATCCATAGAAGACAGGGAACGATCCGAGATGCTCATACACTGCCCCAACAAGGCCACCTCATCAGAGTTGAAGTCGTTCTTGGAAGTAATGTGCGCCCTTGAAGCCTCTGTGAATGCAACTACCTTGAGGAGAACTTCATCGTTGTCCCTGACCTTCCTCCCTTTTCGACGTTTGCTGCTCCGCTCTGGCCCAGCATAAGCACGCCAGACAGCCTGAATGACCTCTGCTGCCTTGATCTTCACATCGTCACGTGATGCCAACATCTCGACAGCTCGCAAGCACATGACCTCAAGTCGATGCTGTGAAAGTACCACATTTACGATGTTTGTCGAAACAGCGACCATGATCATGGCTGATATCGCAGAGAGCATGGCTATGAGCCGGCCGAAACGAGTCGATGGGAAGACATCGCCATAACCAACAGTAGTCATGGTGATCACGGTGCACCATACGCAATTGGCAAAACGATCCAATCGACTGTGAGGGACATCTATGAAGACCATCGGCCGTTCAAAGAGCATCAAACAGTACGAATAGAAAAGAATCAGCAGGAGCCAGAGCATACAAACCATATTGAAATTGGATGTGAGAAGATATTTGGATATGAAAGATTCCCCAACGACAAGCTTTGTTACATTTCCGTAAGCTCTTGCGATGTCACTGGCAAGTCCGCTGATGCATTCCCCATAGAAGCGCGGAAACATTCTGATACGAAGAAACATCACAACCATAAGGAACACATCAATCTGATAGGTGCAAGATCCTTCAAAGGAGTCATTCCAAACATCAAACTCGAAGTCCAAGAATGGTAGAGGCATTGGCAAGAGGCACAGCAAATCGAGAACAGCTTGCACGTAAAGGCCACATGCCTGAAGATTGACATAGGAAACAAACCCATTGTGCAGAGGATTTCCTCGCAGCCTTTCCTGAGCAATGGCGGCTCGATAGTATTCTCGATAAAAGTACATCGCAATGATGGTAGTGACGACAATTAGCACTTTCAACCAAAACGTATGAAGATCGGGGGTGCGGTCATTCGACCACAGTACTTCGTTCTCCCAAACAGCCACAACCATCCCAGCCAACGTCCAAATGTAGGCCCAGAAGAGATTCTTTGTCCGTAATTCTGCCCATTCGCTTGCATTCCTGTTGTATAATCTGCCTTTCGGAGCGTAAAGGACTTGATAAATCGCAACGGCTGCACTAAGAATTTCTGTCTTCGATTCTTCCGATTCAATTTTCTCGAACCTGGACCTTTTCGTTGTGGGGCTCTTACCAGCAACAGGTGACTGCGATCCTGATAAAACCCCTTTTCGTTTGAGTTGGTCCATCGATGAGAAACTGCTGTATGTCGTCAAGGCCTTCCTGGCCATGGCAGTGTCCTCCAACGTGATCCTCCCTACAGAGGCTCGGCGATTGTGCCGTGATCCGAAATTTTGGCTAACGGGCTAGAAACAAATACAGTCAGTTATGTCTAAGGTTCGGAAGACATGAAACAAGTAGAACGAAAGTGAAGATAGAACAGGAATTCACTTACACTCTGTGCCATTTCCTCAAGGTCGTCCAAAGTGCTCATCCTTTCTGAAATACAGTTGTCAAGGGAGTGTGCATCGCGATTCAATCATTCAAAATGCTAATGCTGGCAGCACTGTCAACTTTCGACTACATGCCAACGGGATATCAGGTACGAAAATGCATTTCAGAAAAGGAAGTCATATTTTCAACGCAGCAAATGAATGCAAATTGACGCAGAGAAGCTTTGCAAGGCAAGACGGCATCATGGCGATATACACATGAGAAACAATGCAGTTGAAGCATGGGGGTGGGCAAGTTGGAAGGAAGAGAAGAGCTTGCAATCATAGTGATTCGTTCGATCCTCTACCTGAGGTCTGCATTCCCGCCGATGCTATTTCGGGTCTATGTGTGTTGGCCCCTCATCCCCCTACCACTTGCACCGACTCTCAGTGCAGGACTCTCAGTGTCCGCAGGACTGCCCGGACCGTAGGCCGGGCCCCGGTCGGCAGGTAGTACTGAGCGAGTGTACTGAAGAATTAAAAGTAAATGTAACCTGTACACATTGAATTTAATCATGGTACAGAATTACAAATTATTTGAGTACATAGTTATTAAAAATTGATAGCAATATTTCGCTCAATTCACAACCATACCGTTCCTCAATGGTTCAATTCGTTGGTAGCCATGGTGAGATGGAAAGCTGAGTAGAAAAGAGAAAGGAAGAGGAGGAGAAGACTACGAAGATGCTGTCGAGATGGAGTGAATCAAATAAGAGAGAGAGAGAGAGAGAGGGATAGAGCAGGGGAGAGGGAGAGGGAGAGGGTCAGGGAAAGGGTCAGGGAGCAAGAGCAAGAGAGCGAGCGAGGGAGAGCCAAGGGAAGAGGGAGAGCCTGAGGGGAGAGGGAGAGGGAGAGGGAGAGGGAAAGCGGGAGCATACGAGGTAAGGGAGAGGGGGGGAGCGTACAAGGTAGGGAGTGAGAGGGAGTGAGAGGGAGAGGGAGAGAATATCACAAGTTGTATGATAGTGTGATGTTCAGTATCAGTCTAGTCTAGATTGTTGAGATAATTTATGTATGCCTGCGACTAGAAAGAGAGCGTCAAAAAGAGCGCAGCAGTGTGCTAACCTTCCATGAAGCTACCTGACTCTGGGAGTCGAGAGATAATCTTACTTGATTTAGTGCAGCTCAAGAGCGAGGAAGGAGCCGAAGCTGCTTCATCTCTGCTCATCCTCTTTACCCTTAGGGGGGCACATTGAATGGAAGCAAACAATGAAGTGCTTTCCATGTCAGTGCTACCAACCGAGTTGATCATCTGCATTCTATCGCAGATCAAATGCCCGAGACAGGTACGTCTTTGACTTAAAACTACTATCTTCTCATGCTGGTGGATCTCGTCACTGATACCATTCTCTTCTGACCTTGGACAGCTCTGTCTTTGCGAGGAGGTCTGCATGAAATGGAGAGACAGTTCGCAAATTGGGGAGTCTTCAGAACACCTTTGGAGCGGTGAATAAGCTTGTATCCTTGCTGCTTCCAGGGTCTGAAGCAGTTGGACGTCATTGCAGGTTTGTGGAGTTCTCGAGTCTGGCGATCAGAATTCTGTAGAGGCCTGATAGATTTCGAGACTTGGAAGCAAAGATACATCCTCCGACACCTCGACGAAGTGGACCTGACAAGGCGAGCCAAGTAAGTGTGCTGTCGGTTCCCGTGTGCTCGACTCACGTCCTGCAGTGCCATCGTCGAGGTCTCCATGAAGCAACTTGCGCTGTGATGCGAACGGCACTGTTGAGATCACGCTGACTTGTGTTCAGGTTTCAAAATGCCATCAGGCAACAGCAGATGGAGCAGGAGGTCAAGCTGGTTGCGAGGCTGGAGGCTCGCAGGTCCCAGCGCCTGCAAAGGAGGGGAATGGAAAGCTGAGCGGTCGAGAATCGCCGTATTCACAACCTTTTTATATCCTGTTTATTCGATTTGTACATTAGTTGATGTCTACGTTAGAATGTTCCTCTCGGAAGTTTTCACTGGCTTCAGTTGAAGCATCATGTGTCTGAAATGTACTTCACTGGAATGACACAGTTGTCTGCGACGGAGTCTTCAATGAAGTAGCAATCTTCTGATTCCTCCCCATGAGGATTGTGATGCGGCGATGCTGTAGACCAGGCGACGCGCTGACTGGGATAGACATTCAGCGATCTGCAAACGTCTCTTGACACTGTGAACTGGAGAAAGGAGGTCAGAGGGCGGCAGGTGCTCGAGAGCTCTAAAGTGTTACCATGGGTTGAGATTCATCGACGTAGCATTCCTCTCCCATCCCTTCCCTTCGCACAAGAGGCAGGATCATTACGTAATCATCTCGAATCTTCTCTACGATGCCAACGGTACAGAGATCGTCGGCCGTGAACTCTACAATGTCTCCAACCACAACCCCAGCATCGCTGCACATGGCCAACTTTGATGTTGCAGGCCGGACTCTCCCCGAAAACGTCGGTCTGAGCAAGAGCGATCGTCGGCTAGACAACGAGCATGTTGGCCTTAGGTTTCTTGAAGGCGGTGGAGCAAGGCCTGTCGTCGCTTCACGGGACCCATCTAGCACGAAAGTTGTACATGACGAGGTACCTGATGAGGTTGAAGCAAAACACATGAGGTCATGCAGTCGAAGGCTGCGATGGGGCTGCAGGGCAGTTGAGGAACTGATGACGATTGGGAGCAACACTGAAGCAACCTGCATACCTTGAAGTTATTCTATGCGCAAATCAATTCAGACAGAAGAGTGCTGTTCAAAACACTTCACACTGTCAATGCCATCCTCCAATTCTCTCCTCTCCTCTATCTCCGTCCGTCCGTCCGTCCGTCCCTCGCTCGCTCGCTCCCTCGCTCGCTCCTTCGCCCCTCCCTCGCTCTCTCTCACCTCCCTCGCTCCCTCGCTCCCTCGCCCCTCGCTCCCTCGCCTTTCCCCCTCCCTCCCTCGCTCTTTGCCCATCCCTCCCTCGCTCCCTCTCTCGCTCCCTCCCTTGCTCCTCCCTCGCTCCTTCGCCCCTCTTCTCCCTCGCTCTTTGCCCCTCCCTCGCTCTTTGCCCCTCCCTCGCTCCCTCGCTCCCTCCCTCCCTCGCTCCCTCCCTCCCTCCCTCCCTCCCTCCCTCCCTCCCTCCCTCCTCCACCTCTCGCTCGCCCCTCTCCCTTACCTGCCATGTCAACATCTTTTACATCTACCTCCCAGTCTCCCCTGATACCTCCCCGCAAACACTGGGCAAGGCAGGGGACGAGGCCCGAAGGTCCTTTTAAGCCTGAATGCGGAACCGCTGATGCGAAGACGAGGAGAGGGCAAGAAGAGAAGAGGAGGAAGGAAGAAGACTAGGAGAGAGGAGAGAGAGGAGAAAAGGAAAAGACGGGAGTCAGGAGAGGGTAGAGAGGAGGGAGGAGAGAGGAGGAGAGAGGAGAAATCGGGGATGGGAGGATATCAGGTGGGGGACATGCGTGACGAATCGTGGTACGCCAGGTGTCATGCGCACCTCAGTCTCGTTCAGACTCTTCACCGAGACACTTCCGATCGCGACACGATGCCTGTATCATCCGTTTGTGAGTGGGATAGCGCAAGGAAGGTGAGTTGTTGCTGCTCTTGCTGTTTGAAGTTCGGCGGTGATTGCGATAGTGATCTTGATTGTGATTGTGGTGAGCAGTCTCAAGAAATCCTCCTTTCAGAACTACGTCGGTGAGGAAAACCTGTTGTTGAGATAACATGGTGGTGACTTGTGTCTGTCAACCAGCCCAAGATGCATTCTTCCTCCGCGGATTCGCTGATGCTTACAGCATGGCAAGGCAGATAGTCTCAGGTAGAGCTCAAATGCTTTCAGCAACATCTTGCCGTCGAATCTTACTTACGAACTTGTGCCCAAAGACAACGGGGACAGTCCAGGGGCGGAGAAGTTTCATACGCTATACAGTATTCTCAACAAACGATAAGATAAGACAATTGAAGTGACTGAGCATTTCAGATGGTGTTCAGGAAGAACTTCGCATGCATTCATCGTATGCTCAGAAGTGGAATGTTGATCTGACCAGTGATGAAGAAGCTACTAGCGTGCTCCATCTGACACTCCTTGAAGATGTCACGCCGAACAAGTCAACTCAGGATTACGTGGATTTTGTGATGGAGATAGCGAAGAAAGATTCTAAGAAGATCTCGTGAGTTTGAATTCTACTCCCTCCCTCCCTCCATCTCTCCCTGCCTGCCTGCCTGCCTGCCTGCCTGCCTGCCTGCCTGCCTCACTCACTCACTCCCCTCACTCTTACCTCTCTTCTCTTCCTCCTCTCTCTCCCTTTTTCCTCTACCTCTCTCTTTCGTCTTCTGTCTCTATATTATTCTCTCATCTCGTTTGCCCCGCTTGCTTGCTGTCACCTCCATCTGAGCTCCTTTCTCTAGGTTGATCTGTGCGTCACTGACTCCATGCATGCGGCTGTATGCCTGGCTCGGGAGCAAGTTGGGGAAAGCGAGATTCGGTGAGAACGTAACAACGTTATGATAGCAACGATCCGTGTTTTGATTGCATTTTCCTGTGATACCATGTCATGCTGAAGATCGAGCCTTTGCAGGTGATGTGTCATCGGATGAGAACATTTACGTGGAATGGATCAACACCTACAGTAGTGATGTGGGAGAAAGAATGAGCTGTTCTGTGTGCTGACGAAATCATATGATGATCAGGAGTTTGAGGAGCTGGCAAAGACTTTGGAAGACTTGTTGGATGATTATGCAACCAAGGAATCGACGGACTATGAAGTGAGTGGCAGCAATCCGAATTTTCGTGTCGTTTCTACTTAACACGCTCTGCAAGGACCTTGTGCGTATCTACTCTAGAGCCATGGAGCTGGAGTTTGCTTTCTTCGATGCCCAGGTGGAATTCTGCTGGACTTTTGTCCTCATCGCCTCCCTATGATCCGGGTGTACCAGCCGGATTTGCCCGCCAGCTCGTTCGAGGGGATCAAACCAGGTGCGAGAGAGGAACTAGACATGATGTGGATGTTTGATTGTCTTCCTTGCAAGACATCTTGGCGGTCGACTTTGATCAGACGCTCACGGAGCAAGACACTACAGAGACAATAGTCAAGGTGAACACTTGCCGATGTCTGACCCTCCCATGTGTTTGACCATAGGAACAGACGGGCATCCACAACATTCCTGATGCGGAGGCGAGAGAAGCTCAGCTGCAATCTATGAACAACGTCAGCAAGGTTGTCAAAGAGCCTTTTGATTGCTGTTGATATCCCCTGTAGACTTTCTATGAGAACTACGGCAAGAAGATCGAGGGTCTCCTGGACGAGAACAAGCCAGCTGCAGGTGACAAAACTCGCTCGTCGCTCATGTGCAAAGTTGTTGTGGGAAGTTTTCAGTGGGTTTGATCAAAGTCGCTTGCTGAGGTGACATGTCCAGATGCCTACGACCCGCAAGCGCTTCGGAGATTCTTTGAGGGCCTGGCGGCCTTTGACAAGTGAGCTGGGAACTTGTCCGTTCGAAGTTCACTCTTGATGACAAGGCACGCTCTCAAGCCCGTGGAAGACTCCGGGCTCATCGCGGGGATCCCTCAACAAGGTCCGTGCTCGTGATCCGATCTTGACCTTGTTTACCTGCTGTGTGTGTTAAGATTGAAGTTGAAACTTTCGCTTCCTCTTTGTTTGATAGCGCCGTGTCCTGCCTTGCTCCCCATCCGTTCTTCCCTCTGGTGCAAGTCTCCTCACGCCGCTGCAGGGCTCATCGAGACGGGAAGGAATGTGCCGCTGCAGAAGCGAGCGATGCGAACTCTCCTGCATTCGGTGAAGCACGTCTGAAAGAGGACTCTACTGACAAGTCGAACAGGCCAGAATGAATTGCCACCTTCATGTTGTCTCTGTCAACTGGTCGAAGGATCTCATCAGATCGGTGAGGATGGTGGAGAAGGCGCAGGGTCAACAGCGTGACGAGCTACAGGCGTTGAGGAGGGGCCAGGAGGAGGAGGAGGAGGAGGAGGCGAGGAGGAGCAACTCGGGGAAGCATGAGAGGAGGGATGAGCTCAAGTTTGAGCTTCACTCACCGAACCTCTTGTTCGAGGATGGAGTTTCAATCGGAAGACTATCAGGTGAGATTGAGCATGAGGGTAGAAGACTGATGATGAAGATGGGTTTGAAGATTCTTCGTGATGTGATGAATGGGTGGTTGTGGTGATGAGGGTGGTCGTGTTGATGGATGATCAGAATGATGAGGTGGTGGAATAGCACGAGCAACAGGATCAGGAGAAGGAGACAGCGGAGGAGCAGGAGCAGGAGCAGGAGCAGGAGCAGGAGCAGGAGCAGGAGCAGGAGCAGGAGCAGGAGCAGGAGCAGGAGCAGGAGCAGGAGCAGGAGCAGGAGCAGGAGCAGGAGCAGGAGCAGGGGGAGGGGGGGGCGAGGAGAAATGGAAGAGCAGCAGAGCGATAGAGCGGAGGCGGATGGGAAGGAAGAGGCGGACAATGGTGAAGTGGCATGCAGGTCCTCCCTCAACAGCCATCGACAAGCTCGACATCTTCGAGAAGATTCTTTCGCAAGGTCCTCGCGGTCGATCAGGTACAACTTGTGGGATGCTTGGCACAGTCAAGAGGAGAGGGAAGGAGGAAGCAGAGGAGGGAAGACCGGTTGAAACTCGTGGATGTAGACGGGTGGGGGTGGGGAGGGGCGTGGAGCACAGGAGATGCAGGGAGGAGGGGGGCGGAGGAGGATGGAGAGGAGAGGAAGCAGGCAACTCCTGACTATCATGACAGTGTACGTGGGAGACTCCGTCACTGACCTCCTGGCGCTCCTTCGCGCAGACATCGGCATTGTGATCTCCCATACCCCATCCCCTTGCCTCCTCTGAACGACTCATCTACTCGGCCAGGTCGTTGGGAGCAGCAGCACCCTGCTCAAGGTCATAAAGGGGTTCAACGTCAGGCTCCTTCCCCTCATCGCGATCCTCAGAGGTTCCTCATCCACATCCTACTTTCCTTCCTCCTCGTCCTCGTCCTCGTCCTCGTCCTCGTCTATCACCTCGGTTTTCTCCCTTCATCCTCGTGCCCCTCCTCTGTCCTTACCATCGCCACTTCTTCCTTCTTATTCTCCTCTCCTCTTCCACCGGCACCGGCAGCAGCACCACAACCTTGAAATCCTCATTGTCGTCGTCTTTGTTGTTTCCTTTTCGTCTTCTCGCCCCTTCCTCCTCCTCCTCTCTTTGTTCCTCCTGGTGTCGGTCGAGCTTCTAAATCGTCTCACAGACACATCGAAAGATAAGGAGGGAGAGAAGATCCTGTTCACCGCTGACTCCTGGACTGACATAGACATGGCACTGTACGGATGGCGAGGATACGAGTAAATCAATAGCTGATAGAGTAACCAATGTGTCGGTGTGGGATTCAGGGTCCCCGGACAGACGTGTGCATTAAAGGTGTACCATCTCTATAGATGACCGGGAAAGCACCGGTCTAGAAACTCTCTAACCTGCCCAACAAGCTCCTCCTGTCAAACTCGTCAAAACATCGGCGCCCTCCACCGGCTGCCCTGACCTCTCTTGCTGATCTCCCGTCGTCCTCTTGCTCGCAGTCCACCACAAGAACAGGTTTCTCATCCCCCCGGGAGCGTCTCGTCAGTAGCCGGTCTCCCATCTTCCCGCCCGCTGCTCCCTGCATTAGCCACTCTTCGTGTCTCTCGTGGATTTGCTGCCGTCCTCGTCACGTGCCCCCCCCTTGCCCCTCAGCGCTTCACCTGCAGATAGTCTAGGGGGATGGACTTCTCCTCTCCCCTGCCCCTCTTGTGCAGCCTTCTCATGCATGTTTCTGGCCTGCAAGGAGGAAGATGGCGTCAACTCGGGAGAGGATAAGTAGATAGCTATACTTTCCCCGCCTCCTCGTACCTTGTGCGGAGGTAGACGTAGGCGTCGACCTCGCTGTCAGGATGAAATCTCTTCATCATCCACTCATGCCACTCACTGTAAAGGGCCCACTGCTCGCTCGTCAGACCGTCAGACAGTCTGGACGTCCGCCACTCTACCTCGACGCCATTGAACAGGCCTGTACGGTAGCAATTCGATGCTGCGCTCAAAGATCAGGTTCCTGCTGGGGTAGATGGGCAGCGCACCGAAGATCTCCTTGTCTGACGCCACTGATCGCTCGAGGATGACGATCTTTGACGGAGACGAATCTTTGCTAAGCTGTGTTTCCAGTCGGCTACTATTGAGTCAGGCATGCATCCCACCAACCCTCTCACCTCAAGAAGGCGTAAGTCTGAAAGGTGTACGCCCATCGTTTCGGATCTTTGTAGAACATATCCAGCAGGTTGTCTGACTTTTCTCCCTCGTTGCTGCTGATGGTCAGCTCCAAGAATGAAATCCCAATGGCAAACCTCGATATTTTCTGCCACTTGTCAACTGGTTCCTGTACAGTGGACACTGGAAAACGACTCTGCAGAACTCTGAGGAACGTGCTCTTTCCTGCCATGCTGATGAGCTTGGCGGACGGAAAGTGCACACGCTGACCTGCCGCGATATTCCCTTCCAACGAGATGGTCAGAGCAGGCCTCGAAGAGGTTGGATGGCGCTCAGGCGATGCAGGAGACGGGGGACTGGTCAAGGGCCTTGCAGAGGAGCAGGCTGGAGGAGGCGATGCTTCTGACAAGCATCTGTGCCTTGGCATGAGCCATGAAGTCATCCGGATCAACCTCCCGCATGTTCGCACTGGCAGCCAGCCGACCACGGGCTGCATGTTTCCGCCCTGGTTCCTTAAAAAATGCGGTTCCTTGTAAAGGAACTTAAAAAAATGTGAGCCGGTTCCTTCTATCTCATCGAAGAAACCGACTCAGATAAGGAACCGCCACTGTAAGGAACCGCTGGGTGGGTGAGGTGTATTCCTCTCCTCTTCCCGCCCTCTCCTCGTCCCCGCCTGTCCCCTCCCCTCCCCCCCTCCCCCCTCCAGCCTTCGCGAGCTTCTTTCTCGCGGATCCCTGACAGCCTCGACACATCATCTGATCCTCTCTGACTCACAGCCAAGATGCCTCCCAAGGGAAGAAATGTCAAGGGGATGATGAGCACGGGATCTATGACCCTTGATGCTCGTTTCACTCAAATGCAGCAGAGCACCACCATGAACCGTCAGGCTGCTGTTTCTGCCAGGTGATCCACCCTCTTCCATCCGTCCTTCTGCTCACCCGGGTTGGTGGTGTCTGCTTCCAGGCGCTTTCCAGCTCAACCTGCCCCAGTCAGAGGGGCACCTGTTCCTCGCGGGGCTCCTCGTGGCAGGGGCATGGCCATGAGAGGCCGCGGAGCGCTCAGAGGACGTGGCGCTCTCCGTGGCATCGCCCCGATGCGCGCTCGAGGACGTGGACGTGGAGCAGTTCGCGGTGTTGGAGCCACTCGCGGGTGAGTGCCCACAAGTTGGCGCAGGAACTTTCTGATCCGTTTTTCAAAGCGCCTCGCGCGGTCGTGGCGCGGCTCCTGTGCGAGGCCGTGGGAGAGGAGGACGTGGAGGTCGTGGAGGACGTGGAGGAGCTCGATCTGGCAAAGACGGGGAGAAGCTCGATGAAGAGCTGGACGTCTACATGGGTCGTGATCCGAACGTGTCGAAGCACCAGGCACTGGACGAGAAGCTGGACAACTACTGGGGTGATGAGAACAACAAGATGGATGCGGAGGGAGCCGCTGGTGAAAATGGTGCCTAAGTGTGATTTGCAGAGTATGCTTATCAAGTGTTCACTTTTGGTGGCTTGGATTCGGATCGTTATTGGACCGTACCTACGATTGATCAACAACGCGACGATTTGAATCACTAGAGTGAATTAACAGTTTTCAAGCCCTAAGCTCAAAAGAAATTAATTTGAAATGCACTACTTTGGTTGTTGCGCTGCAGATGTGTTCTGGTTTGGTTCATCAAGGATTGTCGTGACAGAGAGTAATTGTGCACAGAAACTATCGCGAAGAGCACTGTTTCATCACATGGCATTTGTAGATCCTGTTGCGATCTTTGCAATGCAACAAAGCTTGTTGGTGAGATAGGAATTCTTCAATCTTAATTTATTTAATTGCAATATTCCAAACCAAAAATTGTGAGTCACAGGCAATGAAACCATCACACACGCGTCTACATACATTCAATGCACAGCAGGGTGATAGACCTTTTAGCTGTGCACATCATCCGGGAGAGACGTGTACGAGTAGCTCTCATTAAACTCGCGCTCACAGCGCTGTTATGGCACTGTTCACAAGCGTCAGTTTTTTTTTGGCATTCTCTCCAAGACAGCTGGCCGAATACGGTCAAAGGTGTTCACCTTCCTTAAACAGCGTCTTGAATCCCTTTCAGGATTCTCTGGAGCTTCTCATGAGTATCAATGTATCCTAACAAACATCAGTCATCCCCTGATCACATCGTCACACTCCTCCAGCTTCGAGCTACCTTGACCATTCTTCTTGCTATGAAGAAGTTTCGTCTTCTCTTTAGGATACACAATCTCAACTTCCAACCATCCAGAGACGTGCGGAGTGGCCTCGCCATCAACCTCTACCCCAGATGGAAAGACTTTGAGGATCTCTGCCAACGGCGCTTCAGTGTCAACACCATGGAGTCAGCTCATTCCCACCCGCTTTCAGCTGGCGGTAATACTTGGCGTATCCTCACCCTCCACAGAAAGTCACAAGGACTCGCAGGTTGTTCGGCCTGCGCTCACCCGTTACTGCCACTATCATTGCGGAACCGGTGCAATGGCTTTCAGACATTCCATTGGCAGTACAAGCATCCACGAGACGAAAATCGAGGAAACATCAATGGAAGTATGTTTTGTACACACAGAGAGAGCATTAATCGGAGAGGCTGCACTCAATTGTCCATGTACAGAGCAAGTGTAGAGGTATAGCATCAGCTGCGAACCGATACAAACAATATAAAGATCATATATCTCTATATGACTTATGAAACCTCATTCATTGTATGGTAACTTTGAGTGAACGGGGCAGTTCTTATCCTACTTCAAAGTCCCTTCCTTTTGGCTTGCAAATCCCTTCCGCTCCCATACAACCAATTCGTGAATTCTTCTTAGCAAGAAAGCGTCTACATGATCCATCTTGTCTCGGAGTTTCTCCTCTTCTCACTGCATGGTATTGCATTTTTCATCAATTTTCCGTTCTCCTCTGTCTTCTCCTCCTCCTTCTCATGGTTTCCTTGTGCCGTTTCGCCGCAACTCACCGCATCGACATGCTGGGGACTAGTTTCAAGACCCTGGATATTGTGGGGGACATGGGGTAGGGGTCATTGAATTCACCGGTAGTATACCTCGATCCTCCTTCATGTACCCTACAAATACCGGTATTTGGTTGGGAAATAAAGGGGTATATTCAGATTGACGTAGGGTACCAAAAAGTGGAGACGGGTGCCTGAATGGGGGATGGGGGATGTGATTCGGTTTATAAAATTCATAAATGGATGTAGAAAGCGGTACTCTTCCAGAACACTTTATATCATGTCTGTACCATGTTTTGTTTAACTAACTTATTTAATATACTTATCTAAAAACTTGAATTTTATTTCTTTATGAAACATTACTTATCAATTCAAGCCTGTACCAGACAAGGCTTGTTCTATCGTTACAATTGATTTATGTCACTACCCCCTACTTTCTTTTCTAAAGGAGGGGTGGAGATGGATAACTAGTCTATGTTTGTTGGTAAACGTATGTGGGGGTGGGGTAGAGTGGATGCCTACCATTTCTCTGGGTACTCCAAGTCAAACATAGGGGTGTATAATTCTACTATACTTGGGGGACTTGGTTGGGGTAGGGTATTCCAGCAGTGCAGGTGATGCTGGTCGCGTGATGGAGAGATGGGTTGCTGAGTAGAGGATAGGAAGAAGAGAAGAGGGAGAGAGTGGGAGAGGGAGGATCAAGACATGGAAGCAGGATGCACAGTTGAGGAGTAGTTGCTGACTTTACCTGACTCAGAGCCAGCCTGTGCCTAAGTGTAAGTGCAGAGGAACTCAGGGAAAAGTATTGTTGTCTACAGAAGAACCAAATAAAGAGTGAATAGTATACAACCAGAATGATGGCTTAGAAGCGAGAGACCAGGGAGGAAATTCCTGCCATTCAGTGCCTTCTCATAGAGGTTGGAGAGGATCGGTTGGACAAGGAATACTATACGGTTATTGTTCAGCATGAAGGATGTAATTCAAGTGAAAATGTATGTTCAAATTTTCTACTTTCACATACGTGTGTATGTGTGTGCATAGGTCTCAGAATATCTTGAAAAGAACCTTCGAGAAATCAGTTGCTAAACGAGATTAATCATGATGCATGGCAACTCTATCTGAACAGCGCTTGAGGCAGGCTGCACATATCACAGGGCAGAAGTTCACCGTCGTGCTCTCGAAGCACGATCTCCTCGTTCAAAACGATTTCGAGCTCAAATTCAAAGCTCGATCGCCTTTCTCCTTGCAAGCGCAGCCGCGACATGGCGCGAGAGAAGTTTTTGGCATTTCTCCAAATGAAACAAATTAGCCATGAAACGGAGGACATCCTAGCAAGGTGTAAGGCGATGAACGAGCAGCAACTCTACGCTTCCTCCGCTGCTATCACCTCCTTCCTCATCTCCGAGGACGCGCGCAGCACCGAGGTCTACATGGTCAACGCGGAAGCCCTGCATGGCCTCGGGGAGTACCTGCGGGCAGCGGAGGTGTACAAGCAAGCTCACGAGTGCCTGTCGGAGGCAGAGCAGAAGGGGGAAGAAGGGGCGAAGGTGCTGCAGGCCATGGCGGAGTGCTACGGGAAGGGGGACCAGCAGAGGAAGCAGCTGGCAACGCTGCTGAGCATCCCGGAGGAGCTGAGGACGGTGCGGGTGCACGTCGAGATAGCGAAGCTGCAGCATCGGGCGGGGGCAGCAGACAAGGCGCTGTCGGCACTGAAGAGCGCGCTGGACGATGCGCCGCTGGCGATCGAGATGATCGAGGAGCTGGTGTGGGCGGGGCAGAGCGAGGAGGAGATCATGTCGCACTTCCGGTGCATGGTCGAGAAGGGGTGGCTGCTGGACTTTATCAGGGCGCGGGTGCAGCATGCCATGTACGACTACAAGGGGGCGCTGCATAGCTACAAGCAGGTAGCGGAGGCGTTCCCGGAGAACCTGGAGGTGATGTCGGGGATGGCGACATGCCAGCTGCACACGCGGGACGTGGTGGGGGCGACCAAGGCTTTCGAGCGGGTGCACGAGAAGGACCGGCACTACCTGGACAGGATGGAGGAGTACGGGAGCGCGCTCAAGGCCACGGGGTCGTCGGCGAAGCTCAACATCGTGGGGTACGAGCTGGTGAACGTGAGCCCGCAGAGACCGGAGGGATGGATCGTGTGCTCGATGTACATGGAGTGCCAGGAGGAGAAGGAGCTGGCGCTGGAGTACGCCGAGCGAGCCATCCAGGTAGCGCCGAGGAGCAGCGCGGCGCTGATCCAGCGAGGACGGATCCAGCTGGATGCGGAGAAGTACGACCTTGCGCTCATGTCGTTCCGGGAGGCGCTGGGGATAGCGAAGAGCATCCATGCGTACCAGGGGCTGGTGCGGGGATACATCGGGGCGAGGCGGGTGAAGGAGGCGATCACGACGGCACGGGAGTCACTGCAGCAGATGCCCAAGAACGCGCAGGCGTTCAAGCTGGTAGGGCTTGCCCTTGCGCAGCTGCCGGAGGGAGTCAGCAAGGCGAAGACGGCCTTCGAGCGGGCGATCCAGCTGGATCCCACGTGCCCGGAGTCAGTGCTGGAGCTGGTGGACATACTGGAGGAGGAGAACAAGCTGCAGGAGAGCGTGGAGGTGATGGAGCGCTTCGTGAGCAAGACAGAGTCAGACGTGGCGCATTGCCGGCTAGGGGACTTGTACCTGAAGCTAGGGCGTTTCCAGAACGCGCTTGTGTCATATCACAACGCGCTGTCAGCGCATCCGGGGATGGAGGCGGCCACGATAGGTGAGGGGGGGGAGAGGAAGGAAGGGGAGGGAGGAGGAGGAGGAGGAGGAGAGATTTGACGGGGTTGACGGCAGGGCTATCGAGGCTGGAGAAGGCGATGAAGGGGATCGATCCGGACGGGGACGGGGAGATGCAGCAGGACAATGACGACATTGATGGGTTCGGGTCGACGAACCTCTCGGATTAACTCAAGAGGTGGTACAGCAGGAGAGCTGCGATGAGATTTTAATTGCAAGTTCAGAAGGATCGTTACACCTTAACGTCACTGACTGCAATGTGTTGATAGCTGATTATTGATTATATCCTTAAATTGAACGAGGAAGGAGAGGCTGCTGATATCTTGACGGTCGAGTTTTAACGGTCCATAACGTCCATCCCGCGGGGTGTGGATGGGGTTCCCATGCTGTCGTATGAATCCTTCTCAAGCTCCCCGTCCCCGTCCGGATCGATCCCCTTCATCGCCTTCTCCAGCCTCGATAGCCCTGCCGTCAACCCCGTCAAATCTCTCCTCCTCCTCCTCCTCCCTCTCCCTTCCCTCCTCCTCCCTCCCCTTCCTTCCTCTCCCCCCCCTCACCTATCGTGGCCGCCTCCATCCCCGGATGCGCTGACAGCGCGTTGTGATATGACACAAGCGCGTTCTGGAAACGCCCTAGCTTCAGGTACAAGTCCCCTAGCCGGCAATGCGCCACGTCTGACTCTGTCTTGCTCACGAAGCGCTCCATCACCTCCACGCTCTCCTGCAGCTTGTTCTCCTCCTCCAGTATGTCCACCAGCTCCAGCACTGACTCCGGGCACGTGGGATCCAGCTGGATCGCCCGCTCGAAGGCCGTCTTCGCCTTGCTGACTCCCTCCGGCAGCTGCGCAAGGGCAAGCCCTACCAGCTTGAACGCCTGCGCGTTCTTGGGCATCTGCTGCAGTGACTCCCGTGCCGTCGTGATCGCCTCCTTCACCCGCCTCGCCCCGATGTATCCCCGCACCAGCCCCTGGTACGCATGGATGCTCTTCGCTATCCCCAGCGCCTCCCGGAACGACATGAGCGCAAGGTCGTACTTCTCCGCATCCAGCTGGATCCGTCCTCGCTGGATCAGCGCCGCGCTGCTCCTCGGCGCTACCTGGATGGCTCGCTCGGCGTACTCCAGCGCCAGCTCCTTCTCCTCCTGGCACTCCATGTACATCGAGCACACGATCCATCCCTCCGGTCTCTGCGGGCTCACGTTCACCAGCTCGTACCCCACGATGTTGAGCTTCGCCGACGACCCCGTGGCCTTGAGCGCGCTCCCGTACTCCTCCATCCTGTCCAGGTAGTGCCGGTCCTTCTCGTGCACCCGCTCGAAAGCCTTGGTCGCCCCCACCACGTCCCGCGTGTGCAGCTGGCATGTCGCCATCCCCGACATCACCTCCAGGTTCTCCGGGAACGCCTCCGCTACCTGCTTGTAGCTCTGCAGCGCCCCCTTGTAGTCGTACATGGCATGCTGCACCCGCGCCCTGATAAAGTCCAGCAGCCACCCCTTCTCGACCATGCACCGGAAGTGCGACATGATCTCCTCCTCGCTCTGCCCCGCCCACACAAGCTCCTCGATCATCTCGATCGCCAGCGGCGCATCGTCCAGCGCGCTCTTCAGTGCCGACAGCGCCTTGTCTGCTGCCCCCGCCCGATGCTGCAGCTTCGCTATCTCGACGTGCACCCGCACCGTCCTCAGCTCCTCCGGGATGCTCAGCAGCGTCGCCAGCTGCTTCCTCTGCTGGTCCCCCTTCCCGTAGCACTCCGCCATGGCCTGCAGCACCTTCGCCCCTTCTTCCCCCTTCTGCTCTGCCTCCGACAGGCACTCGTGAGCTTGCTTGTACACCTCCGCTGCCCGCAGGTACTCCCCGAGGCCATGCAGGGCTTCCGCGTTGACCATGTAGACCTCGGTGCTGCGCGCGTCCTCGGAGATGAGGAAGGAGGTGATAGCAGCGGAGGAAGCGTAGAGTTGCTGCTCGTTCATCGCCTTACACCTCGCTAGGAGCCCTTCAGTTCCTTTCACTGAGGGTTTGTGTCGGATTGGTGTGCTCATCTTCTCTCGGACCATGTCGCGGCTGCGCTTGCAAGGAGAAAGGCGGTCGATCTTCAGGTTCGACCTGGAAATCGTTTTGAGCGAGGAGATCGTGCTTCGAGAGCACGACGGTGAACTTTTGCCCTGTGAGATGTGCAGCAGCCCTGCCATAAATGGTCAAAGGTTTCTTGTCAAGGGCTGAATTCTCTACGAATCGGCTGCTCAGTCCTTCCATCGTCAATCTATTCGCTTTCGCAGACGTTTCTTCTGACATCTGTATTGTTCTCGCACTACATTCTACCGCTGGGATCGTCCAACTCTGGCGTTTTGGGCTCATCTTGCCCTTGATTACCATTGGTTACTCTTGTGCTCATATAGAACTCTCCTTTGCTCCTCTGTCTTCAGTCTCTGTCTTGCAAACCTTTGTCACAATTCCTCTGATCTGCCATAAAATCTTTTCTCATACTCGCAGCTCTGTCTCCCATGTCACCCTTCTCGCACATCCATCCTGCTTGCTCTTTCTCCGTTCTCCTCGTCTTCTCATCTTCCTGCTCCGCCATTGCGGTCCTCCTACCTTCCTCGTCTCCTCACTCCCTATCTCTACATTTTGTCAGTTCATTTTTTTGAATTTTCGATTTGGGACCACCCACCCCTTTCGAGGATCAATGCATCCTACCCGAAATTTGGTGGTATCAGATGGGGGTAATCACTCTACCCCCACCCCCTGATCTCAGGCCCATGCAAAATGCACCCAGCAGGCAGACAAAGTCGGAGGAGGTGGAGGTGAACAGAGAGAAGACGGGAGGACAGGACAGGACAGGACAGGACAGCAGAAGTCATGCCATGCAGACGGGCTGGTAGGAAAGATCTGAGAGAGTAGGCAGAGAGGAGGAGAGGAAAAGACGAAGAGGTCAAACGATGGCGTCATGACACTCCCCCTCGCAGAATCGATGCGACGACAATGGCAGCTAGTCGCCGGGATTGCGATCGCCCTCCTCTCCCTCGTGATCTCATCGCCGTCACGGGCAGGATCGACCCTACTGCTGAGACTCTCAGCAAGGCTCTACTCCCTCCGATCACCATCTCCTCCGGCTTGTTTTCCTCCCCTGCTGCTGCGAGGAGGGCAGGGAGAGGCTGGCAGCGACCAAGTTGCTGATCTGGTTCGCCGCGGCAAGAAGGCTATGGCGGGAGCAATGTTCTCGGAAGCAGCGGATCTCTTCTCAGCTGCGCTGCAGATGAAGGTGAAGCCAGAGAGCAGAAGTTGAAGGGAGGAAGGAAGAAGCATGGAGGATGGAGAACATGGGAAGAGGAGGAGGAGGAAAGTCTGGTAGAGAAGGTCTTGACAATAACGATCATAGGTCGAACAGCATGGCGAGATGTCCATTCGCTGCGCGGAGAACTACTTCCTGTACGGCTCAGCTCTTGCCCTGGTACGCTCGTCCCTCCTGTGCTGACTCTAACCTGTCCTCCGTGTGATCTATCCAACAGGAAGCGGAGCAGGACGATGGAGAAAATTTGTTCGGGCCGAAAGTCCCGAAGCATATTGCGTTGAAGGGAGAGGAGGAAGAGGAAGAGGAGGGCGAGGAAGGCGATGAAGAGGACGGAGAGGAGAAGCACGAAGAAGGGAATGAAGAAAATCGGGAAGGGAAAATTGAAGAAGCAGGCGCAGGCGTAGAGGAGCAAGCAAAAGTCGAGGAAGAGGTCCAAGAACAAGTGACGGAAGGGTTTAAAGAAGCACAGGCAGATGGAGCTATCGCCAGCGTCGACAATGCAACAAGTACGAGAGACTGATGGTGGAGGGGGGGAGGAGGAGGCAGCTGACATGGCCCGCACAGCTCGATCCAACGTGACTGAGGACGAGGAGACGAACGACCCTCGTACACAAGCGTGGGAGATCCTGGAGACGGCTCGTCTAATCCTGCAGAAAGAGCTCCTCTCCCCGACTCCCGGAGACGCTCCCGTCACTCCAGCAGAGAGGAAGAGTTTGAACCTCCTGCTCGCCGACGTCCACCTTCGGCTCGGCGACCTGAACTTGTGGAATGAGAATTTCGAGGAGAGCACCTGGGATTACTCGCAGGTAAGAGGGAAGGCGGGAGGAGGAGGAGGAGGAGGAGAACGGGAGGAGAGATGTGGAGGAGGCAAGCGCATAGGGTATGAAATGATGAGGAGGCTGATGTTTGAATCTTCTGCAGTGCCTCTTGCTCAGGAGAACTTTGTTGGACCCGAACGACAAGAAGTTGATGGAGGAAGCGACAGTGGAGGGGATGAGGAGTGGACGATGACGTGGGAGCAGGCTGAGTACATCACGGGGATCTCGATGCTCTACAAAGGAGACAAGCAAGCAGGCCTTGAACTTCTCAGGGAGGTGAGGAAGGAGAGGGAAGGAGCGAGTGTGAGGGAGGGGAGTAGGAGGGGAGGGGTGGAGGAGGGGAGGGGAGGAGGGAGGTTGGGGAGAGAAGGAGCAAGCGTGAGAAGGGGAGTGGAGGAGGAGGCGAGCGTGAGGAGGGGAGGGGAGGAGGAGCGGGGGCTGAAACTGACGTGTTGAGAAGGCGTCCGAGGTCTGCAAGGTTTTGTCGAGCAAGGCAGAGAAGGATGGCAAGAACTACACGAACATCCTACAGGAGATCGAAGGTGAAATCATCCTCTCCTATCCTTCCCCCTCCTACACCTCCCCTGCCCCTCCCTTCTCCACCCTTGCACCCTTGGTGAGACTCACGTGTCCCTGCCAGCCCGGATTCAAGAGGAAGAAACTGCAGGTAGGGGAGGAACAGCAGGAGGAGGGGAGGAGAAGCGGAGGAGGATGGTGTTGAGAGGGATGATTGGTCGAACAGGAAATACGACACTGTCTGAGATGATGGAAAAACTCAAGGAGGATGAGCAAGGTATCATTCAGCTTCCTCCCTTCACCATGTGACTTCGTGACAGACCCCGAACCATTCAACGAAGACGAGTTCGAGGTAGTTCTCTTCGTACCCCCATCCCCCCATCACTCCTCCCCCCCCCTCACCATCATCACCACTGCAGTCATCACAATCACTATCATTATTTTCATTTCCATTTCGTCGTTCGACCTGCTCTCCCTTCTTTGTTCCTCCCGCCCCCCCCACTGATCAACCCCTCCTCACAGGAAATGCAACCAAAAAGAATCGACCCAAATCATCACCCCGCAGTTCCTGCTGCACAAAGGAATGTCACTTCCCACAATGTTTCAGAAGCCCCGAAGGTACTCCTCTCCTTTCCCCTCCCTCCTGCTCCTCCTCCTTGTGACGACTTGCATGCAGGTGGAAAGCAGAAAGCGAACGGCAACGGAGATAGAGGGTGATTGCTGCTACTCGCTGCTGCTCCTGTGCTGAACTGAGAGCAGATGGCGACACGGCTGACCTCGAGACCCCGAGGAAGAAGACAGTGCAGGAGCTTTCATGACCCCCCAGAGGAGGTACAGGAGGTCAAAGAAATCATTGTGCTGGCGCGGCCATGCTTAGTCCCGCTTGCCCTTCAGCAGCAGGTCGAGAGGAGAAATTCCGCTCCTGGTTCAAAGATCGTCAACGAAGGAAGAGGAAAGAGAAAAGGAGGGAGTGACTCACCCGGCAAAGCTGCCTTGATGACTTTCATGGGCTTCTATACCCCTCTGTGCCACTCGCAACCAAGTCCCTCCTCCTTTGCCCTTGCCTGGGATAGCTGGTAGTCAGTAGATGTAGAGGAGCAGGTGCAAGAGCAGTGGCAAGAGCAGAACAGCTCGCACCCTGATCCTCCTCTTCTGCCTGGGAAGCTTGTTGCCTTGGGAAGGTCTTGTGGACCCTTGGGGTTCCTAAGAATAATTATTGATCTACGCATAATTCAATGTATGGCCATGTCTAAACGTCTCACTCTTCTTGGTGAAATCTGCAGCCTCGGAGAGAGTAGGAAACGAAGCCGCAAATTCACTGACAAGGAATGAGGTCATCCTATCCTCCCCTCCCTTCCCAACTCTCCTCCCTCCTCCCTCCTCCCTCCTCCCTCCTCCCTCCTCACCTGGTAATGGTGGTTTGCTTCTGTGGAATCTTCCATGGGTTGCTGTCTCCCTTGCTCAACAAGTTTCCATCTTGCGACTTGTCGTCCTTTACTGGCGTCTTGACTACCGGAGGTTCGCCAGCCCTCATCTCCTGCTCGACTTGCCTCGTCCTGGACTTCAACTGGACCTTGGCATTCTCTTCTTTCTGGCCTCCTCTTCCTCCAACCCCTTCCTCTCCTCCGAGGGACCTGATCCCTTGCCCTGCTCCATTCACACCAGGCTGAGGATTCGTACCAACCTGAATCACCCACTTTCAGGAAGAGAAAGTTTGAAAAGGACACAAACAGAACCTTGCTCGATCCTCTTCCTCTCGACATCAACAACTCCTTCTCCACGTCTTCCAGTGTTTTCGTCCCCTTCTGGAACGTCTGGTCCTCTTCCACCTCTACCACTTCCGTCCTCTTCCTCGGCGTTCCTGCGAGGATCCGACGTTCGATCTCTTCATGCCAGAAGGCTCCTCCTTGCACCTCTCTAGCAGAAGATGTAGAGGAAGCTTTGTCCTCCTCTGCCCTGGCTTCTTTCCCTGCGTTTGTCTCTAGCAACTTTCGCTCTACTTCGTCCATGGACAACACACCATGCACAACCCGAGCTTGCTCCATCTGCAAGACCATTCCCTCCTGTTCTGTATGATGGATTTCTTGCGGACTGGGCTCAAACTGTACAGATCGCATGCTCTCTGGGTGCTCTTGCATGTAGGGAGGATATGGGACCGGGTCAAGGAAGGACTGTCTCTGCAGTTTCAACAAGTCATTATCCAAACAGCACAACTCCGCAACGAGGCAATCACCATGTTGTAGAACGTGTCTTCACATCCTCTTGAAACGGCTTCAACCATGTTGGAGGGATTCTCGCTCTTCGATCGAGATCTCTCCCCTCCTACCTCAACGACCCTCGCGCGAGAGTTCCTGTATGAGGACGGAGTCTTCGACCGCTGCCTGTACGTTGTATCCTCGAACACCTGACAAGCGCGTTACCATGCTCGTCCTGCTCTCTTAAAACCCTCTCACCTCCTCCAGGCAAGGCTCGTTGGCCGTCCCGTGACTGGAGCGTACTCGAGAGATGGCGTCTCGTTCAGCAGGCGAGAGGGTCCTCTGTCGAGGGTACCTTGGTTGGTATCTCCTCGACCTCACGGGCTCTTCCTCCACGGGCCTGATCTTCGTCCCATTTCGAATCATCCCGTTCAATCTCTCTACATCTGCTCTCAGATGGTTCGGGAGATCTGTAAGGTTTTCTTTCAGCCGTTCGATCTCATCGCTGATTTCAATGATTCTCTTCAGCTCAGCCCATTCTGTTTCGTTCATCTCTGGAGGTCTGTTGTGCCTGTGCACAGGGCAGTGGGAGCATTCTATGACGTACCAAGGTTTGCCACGATAGCGATCGATTCCAACAGATCCCTTGTTCGCTGCAACCGCTCCACCGTTTTCATGGGCCAGGTCACCTCCTCCCCGAAGTGATTCTGTCGGATATGGAAGTTTCCAGCATGTTTCAACATTCTGTGCTGGCAGATTGGATGAAGGGTGAGGGGTCACCGTGACGGCCTGAGCATTGAGGAGGCAGAGGAGGAACGGTGTTATCAATCTCATTGGAACAAGGAACTTTCAAGAATGCTGTTGACTGTATGTGCGCGATGGAGGGAGGCAAGAGGACAAGGAGGACGAGGAGGATGAGTAGGACGAGGAGGACGAGGACGAGGACGAGGAGGACGAGGAGATAGCGTGCGCCGATCCCTTGTTGAATCCGCCCATAGAGGCTCAAGGTTGTCTTTCAAACATAGGGGGTGGGGTACTAAAATGAAAGGGGTCTAAAATCTTTACATGTGGTACAGCACAGTATTTACGTATGAAAAGAACGGGTACTATACATGTACATACCAATAATTGTAGGTGGGGGTCATCTTAGCAGGGGTGTAGGGGCAAGTTGCAGCCGTTCCAAGTTCATCATCGGCCCTAGACCGGGCCCGGGCATTTACCAATGCCGATCACTGCCGCAGTGCCGCACTGCAGTGCCCAGCCTCCGCCGGAGGCTCGGCCCTCAGCCTCCTGGTCGAGGAAGTCACTGGCAATGACCTTAAGTTTGGGGGACAGCAGTCGGCAGGATAAGAGACGTTAGACTTGTACTAGTCCAAAGTCACGCACTGCAGACGTCACATCGACCTTAGTTGTAACAAGACAGTTTTTGCTCAAGACCGAGTTTAATGCACACAAATCCAGAATTGAGGAGCACATGAGAGATAGACTGTATGCTCAGTAGGATGTGAAACCCAAGCATTCAGACATGAGAGCCGGGACCTTAGCAAGACGGTCGGACGGCTAGGAAAGCCGGGCGGCCCCCTCTTCGTCCACACACAGGCTACATTGGCCGCCTCGCAAAACACGTACGGTAGGTCGTCTTGGTTTACAGGAGAGTTTTTGTTAACTCGGCGCTATCTGACTGGCACGGCTGGCATACGTTCCATCAATAAGGGTTGGTTCTCACGCTGTCTTTTCTCTTCTCGCCGTACGGTATGGCCGCTATCATATGCGACAGTATCTCAGTGATCAGGGTCCGACGGTCCCTGACACAACGCTGAGTGAAAGACCAACTTCGGCAAGGCTGCATGACCTCTCTCTGTATTCAAATTGAAGTTAAGCCTCCCGTCGGACCTTCACACTCAAACTGGGGCCCCCGGGAATAAGGCGAGTCGGTCGGAGCCTCCGAACCCGGCCCCGGGCCCGGGCCGCCGGGCATCGTCACCAAAGCGCCGAAATGGGCGAAATTTCTCCTTAGAGAAGATGAGGTGGTCTACAGATGGTGGATGAGGAGGAAGAAGAGGAAGATAAAGAGAGTGAGGAAATAAAGATGAAATGAAGCCAGGAGAGATAAGAAGGACAACAATCGTGAAAAATCTAGTCAAGTGGAAGGAACGGAACAAATGTAGGGTAGTATACACAACATGCTGGTCTTGATATTCCTGTTTATGACTTTCGTTTACACGAAGAATGTTATAACAAGCAAGACGACAAAATTCTTCTAGAAGGACGGGCATCTTGATCAGTGGATACAATGCGTTGTCTTCGCTGAATCAGCAGTATCAAACAAAATGCCAGAGGAGATGATGGTGCGATGGGTTGTCCTGTCTTGTTTGGCCTTACATTCATGAGATAGAAGGAAAGCGCTCGTCTCAAGACCTTTGAGAGCATCATATGGCCGCACAACAACACTCCTCTCACTCCCCAGCGACTGGCAGCTGCAGGGTTCTACGCAGCGCCTACCTCGAAGGCACCCGATAGTGCGACTAGAGCCGCGGGTGGAGTCTGATGACGCTGACTTCCTCCTCTTCAGGAGTCGTCTGCTTCGCATGTGAGAATGCTCTCACGAACTGGGACCCCACGGACGATCCATGGCTGGAGCATCAGACTTGGTCTTAACCTGCCGAAGACTACTTCCCGCTGACTGTCATCAATAAGGTACCCGCAATGTCCCTTCGTGCAAGGTCGTTCAACCGGGAACGTTCCGCTCGCCAAAGATGCTGCGGCTGCTCCTATCTTGTCTTTCCCTCCTGCGAAGATGGACCCGAAGGTCTGGAGATCCTCTGCCTCTGCTCTCACATGAACGCGCATGTTCCACAGGCAAACAATGCAGTCGCAGAAGCCGCTCCTCCTGCTGGTGATTGAATTTCTCATTGACACTTTTGTCCTCCATCCCATTCTTGATCTCCTCCTCCTCCTCCTCCTCCCTCCCTCCCTCCCTCCCCCGCCCCCCCCCTCCTCTCATATTCTACGGTAAAAGGCGGTCCCGTGGAACCACCGCTCATGTTTGACAGCGGCAAGGTGATTCGAGCTTCATTGATCCCTCATACTGACGGGCTGGATAGCAGAATGTTGCACGAAAGGGTGCGAGCAGGTGATGTGATACTTGCGGTCCTGCAGTTCTCTGAGCCAAAGAGGCAGCAATGCTGGAAACAAACTCTTCTCAGTTGCCAAGAAGGGGCTCAACAACTACATTCAGGCAAGGATGAATGAAAGTTTTCTTCCCAGCGTGTGAAGAAGCTTGCAGTCTCTGCAGAGCACTTCCACCAAAGCTGCAGACAGCGAAGGTGAGTCGACCCTCCCCCTCCCTCCCCCTCCTTCCTACAGTATCTTCCTTGTGACACTCTCGCTTCCCTTGATTTGCTCTGTATATGCTGCTGTACAGAAGGCGGAAAGGATATCGTCTTCCGTGGCAGCTCGAAGGCGAAGAACGCGCCAGAGCAAGAACCAGGAACTGACCCGATCTCTCCGGCCTCACAGGTACGGCATATAGGTAGAGAGTCACTCGTATTTGACCAGGATTGTAGGTGTTGGCGATGTGGCATGATGCGATCGAGACGTCAGACATTTCAGCTCATCAACGATCTTCACAGCAGAAATCGGCTCATTCACAATCGACTTATCATCATCAGAGGCACACGTTCCAAGGATCGCAGTTGCAGGACTATCCTTCAGCAGGCCAAGCTCACGGTGAGTTGATGGAGCACCAGTGGAACGTTGGGAGGTGTCCAGCTTTCTTACCATGGACATGCAGAGAAAGGGACGCTGGACTCTCCGCTTGTAAGTTGAAGTGTTGTCAACATACCGTGATGCAATGGAAGTCGAAAGATTGTGTGGGAGGAGAAAAAGCAGAAGAAAGTGGAGGGGGAAGGGTTTGGTATTTATCTTTGCTCTACAGGCAGGGAAGGTTCAAGATGGATGGGAACGCCCGGTTATTTCTGCAGAGAGCGAAAGGGACGGGAATCGAACATTGAGAAACCAACATGACCACACAAAACATCATCATCATCATCATCCTCACATTCAGAGGGAAACAAACGCATCCAACCGGACCAAGAACGCTGAGGCCCACGGAGCGCAAGAAGTGACTTCTGACGAATGTGATGGTGAAGGATGGCTGAGAAGTGGTACAGGACGCTTTTGTCCAAAAATCATCACAAGAGAAGAATGGACAAGAAAAATCGTTGTGAGTTGTCAACATGATCGTCACCTTGGTTTTGAGGAGTTTGTGACGTATTATTCGTTCCCATGACGTGGCTAGTCCATTCCTTGACCTCTTCAACCACCATCCTTGCTGGTGTTGACACGTCATTTTCAGGAATGGGGCCAGGGAGCGAGAGCTCGTGTCACAAGTATGCTGACCGTCGTTGGATGTCCTTTGTAACACAACCAGCAGAAAATTCAAAGTGCGATGGACGAAGTCACTCGATTTCTCAGCCACCAACAGGTTCCAGCAACTGCCATGCTCGTTCCTGCTGATTTTATCTTCCACCATAGAATGAGATGATGGAAAGAATGGAGACGAAGATGAAGACTGTTCATCAACGGGTAAACTTCCTCAACCCTTGTCTATGCTGAACACGATCCATCCCAACCGTGATGTTCCTCTCTCGCTCCCTGGCCTCCTCTCCCTCTTGAGATGCTGACAACTCGTAGGTCGAGGCGCTCAACAGCAACATGAGCAAGCTGGGGACTTCATGGTCCCCCTCCTTGCTCAGTTACCAGCATCTGAATCTTACCAGGGCGGAAGCGAAAGAGAAAGAGATCAGCTCAACGCACGAGGTCGATGCAAACTTGCATCTTCTGCCTTGCCAAGTTTATCTTGACGCTCAGTGTGCAGAGGCTCAGGAAGTTGAAGGGGGAAGAAAAATCGCTGGTGGAAAGGATAGAAAAGCTGCAGGAGGAGATGAAGAAGCACTCCTCGGACCTTGCTAAGGTCAACCTCCTCCTCCTCCTCCTCCCGTCCTTGTTGATTGTCTCCTGGTTCAGGTGCGAAGAATGGATGATACGATGAGGAGGGCGCATGCAGAGTTGGCGGCAACAAGGTGACGTCAGCACTCATTGACTGTGACTTGCTCAAACTCTGCAGGGAGGAGGAGGAAAGCTTGAGGCAGGAGCTGCAGGAGCTCAAGGAAGAAGTCTCCTCGAAAGCCCAACAGAGGTCCCACCGATCCTGTCTGTTCCTACCTCGCTCACAGGGCGTTGCTGTTGACAGGCTGCTCCTTCAAAGTGAGGTGGTGGACTTGAAAGACACAGTTAACAGGAGGAAGACTGAGATCGACGTAGAGGATGACGATCGAGAGAATCTGCCTGAACTCTTTGGCCATGTCAGGTGATGGAGACGAAGCTACGGGAGCTGGCAGAGCGAGAGGTGGGTTCCTGTTCTCCTCTCTACCACAGCGTACTGAGAGGATGCTGCCGGGCAGTCCAAGCTGAGGGCGCTCGAGTTGGATGTCCGCTCCAGGGAAAGTTCGCTTGCTGAGCGGGAGACCCGTGTGAAGGTGTGCTGGACAAGGAGCAGGAGGGGGACCGATGATGGAGGACGTGGCAGGCAAGGGAGGAGTGGGTCGCCAAGCGAGACGGGCAGGTGAGGAGAGCTGGGGGACGGGTGGCTGGCTGATCGTATGACTCCCTTGCCCCTGCGCGTCAGGTGAAGGCAGTGGAGGCCGTCTTGCTAGCCCGGGAGAAGAAGGTAGGGGCAAGATCAGCCTCCTGTACATGCTCTCCCCTCCCCTCCCCTCCTCTCTTTTCCTTCCCCCCTCCCCTCCCCGTTGATCTCGTTCCGCCTTGAAGGTCAGAGAGATGGAGGACTCGAACCAGACCAGGAGGTCAGACATGGGAAGCGATCCGGAGATGTCGAGGTGGGCGGGAGGGTTCAGGTCTCCTTCCCGAAGTCATCCGGCACCTCAGAGCCCCTCTAGGTACTCGCACTTTCTTGCCGTGTGAGGACTGGCAGTAACTGCAGCGCTGCGACAGAGCTCGGCCAGGCTCGGCCAGCATGGCGTCGAGCTCCGCTGCCGCTATGCCGAGGGTGTCGCGGGTGAGTGAGCCTGAGGTGAGAGGGCAAGGCGTCAGCTCATCCTCCATGGCCCATCAGGACACGACGCCCAAGAGAGGAAGCGGCGGCAGTTCGCACATCCCAACGCAGTACGTGAACCCTTGGTAACCGAGTCTTCCGCCCAACTTGATCCGCAAATGATGAGCTTCTAACCCTGGCAAACTTCGGACTGCCGGCCGCCACCGCCGGCCGCCCGGCTCGGCCGCAGTCGGCTGCCAGGCTCAGGGCAGTGAACTTCGGAACGCTCGGCCGTCGGACCGTCACCCCGGCGCACCGGCGGTGCCGGGCGGCCGCCGCCTTATCCAACTCTCAGTCACTGACGGTCGGGCTCCGGGAGTCACTAGTAGTACTGTCAGTGTACTGAGCCTCAGTCACTGCCGGTGCTTAGTATCGACAATAGTTGAGTAATAAAACTCTCAATCGTTGAACTACGGTCCAGTGAAGTTTCTATTTCTGAGAACTTTTTACCCCACCCTCAATTTCGCTTCAATTTTGGGGGAAATACACCGGTATGATGAACGATACAATGAGATCAGGCACATCCCAAAATGCCAAAGGGGCCATTTAAAAAAGGTTATACAACAAAACAACGATTTCAACATTTCTGTACTCTTTGAAATATATGTTTTTTATTTCAAATTTCAACTACACATAACCATTTTGGATTTGTGAATTCATATTTCCTGAATATTTCAGGTTACCGTCGAACTTATGTAAAGTTTTTTCGATGCACAATGAACCCTTATTTTGAACTATTTATAACTAATTTGAATATTTCAAGGATACTTTACAATTATGATCTAGAATATATTTGCATTCAGAAGCAGAAAATTAAACATACAAAATTTAAAAGTTGTTGTAAGCTTTGATATTTTACAAAGATGGTTTTAGCAGCCCCCGTTTTTTGTCATGTGACCACCCCGGGGGATTCATCGTACCCCCACCCCCACAAACCTACTCCCTTGTTCTACTCCTCAACTTGGGGGTTCACCTCTACACCACCCCCGTTTTATCAACTAGACCCCTACTTTTTAGAGTGATTTCACCGGTAATGACCCAAAACCAATCACGTTTTACCCACATCACCGTACGCCTACCCATAGTTTTCTGAGAGTCGATGGAAGGGGGGGTGTTGGGGTATCGGAGGATTACGACTGGGGTAGGTTGGGGGCGGCGGTAGAAGAGACTCTTCAAGGTGAGCTTAAATGTAGACTAAATTGGTACGGGTACTCGAGAGGTCTAAAAAGGAATTTGCTATGTATAGTGAGGGTATGGGTGGTCTTAAAAAGCAACAAGCAACGCCAGGAGGGTTTATGTGGATGCTTGGGAGAAGCTGGGGTGCACACCGGTATACCATCCTTCCAAAGAAGGGGTGATATCTGACAGGGGTCCATGGAGACAGGGGAGATCGTACCTGTCAGGGGTACAAGGAGGAGGAAGCTGATGCAAGCCAGTGGGAAACGAGGGGGTAGTTGATGAGAGTGAAGTATGGCTCTGGGGGTAGGGGTACTATATATACAGTATGCAAGGAATTTTATTTGGGGGGTACGTAGGTAGGCGCAGGATTGCTGATGAATTGGGGTGGGAACATTTTTCGGGGGTGAGGGGTACCGTGCAAGGAAATGTGGGGGATAGATATGGGGTAGAATGACCAGAAAAACGGGGTAGGAGTGCTCTGGGTGGGGTACTGTATTAGTGGGACTGGGTTGGATGGGGGAGGTGATGAGGGTGTAAAGGAATGGTTGCATCTGTCATCAAGGTTGGCAAGCACATTTCGAACAATTTCACCAAATTTGTGAATATTTCGGTACAGTCTGATCGCCTTGGCTGTTGAAGACTAGATCCGAAGGTGTATCGATATTTTTATCAGTATATTTGTACTGAAATGTGCATCCTTGACAATACTATCAAAAGAAAATTTCAGAAGATGAAAAGAATTGAGGTAATTATTTGAATTATTCAAGAAATATTTTCGAAAGCTCTGACCAATCTGCCAACTTTCCAACATGTTGATCCCCCCGCCTCCCCTTTTGTATCAGCCACAATACACCCCTCGCATTACCCCACCCCAACAACAGAACCACCATCCCTAAGTACCCCACCAGACTAGCCACCACCCAACCCCCATGTTTTGAGATAACCACCCCTCGAAAAACGATAACACCATTTACACCCTGTACCAGGCTCACTTCAGGTCCCAATGGACCCTTACCTACCCAAATTGATCACGGTGTTTCCTATCACCCCGTAGGTATTACTACCCCACCCCTTCTGAATCTGGGGAACATAAAATATTTCCAGATTGTACGCTAAATCATGAAACACCCGTCAAAGTTTAGGACCCTACCATCTGTCATCAAGTCCAAGACCGGGTCCAACAATAGTTCACAAAGGGGTAACCCTACCTTCCGCTTGATAAACTTGAAACTTTGGAATGAAATGGGGAGATATTTCCTATACCCCCTGGTTCACCTCTGAAGTACCCCTTGACAAATACCAACCCACCTACCCAATTACACCAGATCGATTTTCCAGATACACCCTCCCAGAACTTTTTCCTGGGAAACAGATCCCACTCATAAAGGGCCCCTACCCCTTCTTCCTCAGCGAACCACCCCCGGAATTGGAAGGATTGCTGACTACCCTACCTAGTTCACACCTGATTATTCCTCCCCCACACCACCATGTACCCCACCCTCTGCTTTGAGCGTTTGTCACCCTTGCACAATGTCACCACCTCCACCACCGACCATCTTGAGCTTAAATTAAGACTTGCCAGCGGATCCTACGGGGCTAAAACTGTTTGTGGTACAAAAAGCTTATACTAGTCTCAAATTAAGCCCACCCTCACCTCCCGGTTTCCACCCACCCCACCATGGTCAGGAGGCGGAACCCTATTGTGAGATGTCGCGAACGAAAAAACGAAAGTTGGTAGGATAAGGACCCCCTACCAACCAAAAACCTGCATATGTTGTGACAAGAAAGGGGTATAGATTCAATTCTTTTTTACATTATTGGCCCATTCGTTCTTCCCCAACCTCAGCCCCCCTCCCTTGCCTCCTCCCATTCCCATCCCCCCCCCATCTTTCGCTTCCTCCGCACCATCGTCTGACTTCCCCGCAGCGTTTTCTTTCCTCGCTACACCTTTCCTCTACTGACTTGAAACATCTTCCTCCCATTATTCAACCTTTCTAGCCTCTAGGGGCTCAGCTTCAGCATTACAAGCTGGTGTCGGAACCATCGTCACTCGTATACGAAGTTCTATGATCTCGATACTCTTCCGGCCATTGGAAACGAAGCTGAGCTGAAGTGCTTTGATTGACAAAGCCTGAATTCGCTTGAATTCTTCTGCTGGAGTTTATTATTTCAAGTATCGTCGACCCACTATTCAATTTCTGCAGTTCATCTACCAACCAGTCACAAATCAAGAAAGACATCACATTTCTCCCTTTGTGCTTGTCTAGGTGAGTTCAGATGATGCATTTTGTTTAGAAAAAGAGTCTTTCTTTATCAAGATTCTTCATTTCTGACATTTTGTCAACCTAGATCCTTCTCTGATTCCCTCCTGTTCACAACGTGGTGGGGTACAATTTTTGTAGCCGAATTTCGTTGGACCATTGAAGTGGTTCTTTTTCGACTTTGAACCTTGATATCTTCGATACATGATGATCAAGCAAAGTCACTCGGATTCGAGTTTGCTGGATTCTCCCCATGGCACGAAGCGTGCGCCCCCATCAGGCCCAAGACTGCCCTTGGAAGATTGCTCACCAACCTCTCAGAGTCGCAAGAATGCACATGATGACAAGTATTTGCTGAGCACACCGGACAATGCAGACAGACAGACTTCAGAAGAAGTGGAACCCGAAGAAGTCAACACCAATGTTTGGGTGAACAAATTTTTGCGATATCTTGAAGACAACGGTCAAGACCTCCTGATTTCAATATGCACCCGATATAAGATTGCCTTTGACAAGACCATCGATTCCATCCCTTCAGGGATGTTGGAGCAAGTGGCTTACAATGCTATCTTCAATCCAGCGCTCCCCAAGAGTCCGGATGGACTGCCGATGATGCTAAGGGATGTTCCTGGGGTATCAGAGTTCCAAATGACGTTCCTCAAAGATTCAGTTGGTGTCTACAAGATGCTCAACGTGTCAGCGAAGCTAGGTGGCGCGCCCTTCTCCTTAGAGTGCAGAACTTGCTCCTATTGTGGCTCCTGCTTCTCTGGTCGATTCATGGATCTCGATTCGACTCATCAACGTGCCGGAGGGTACGACAGTTCCTCTGAGTATGGGGCAAGGTTGACAGTTTCTTGTACAGATGGAAAGAGATAACTGACAAGATTCATGCTGGGAAATTCTCATGGAAAGGCCTCAAGGGGTAATTTGGTCTTTTGATCGAAAGCTGTGTGGCTTACACATTTCAAAGATGGCGTCTTTGTGTTCCTTGTTTCACAAACTATGGGCAGAAGGGAACCATGGACAACGCCAATCGTCTGAGCATCAAGCAGGTGCGCACTGCAGCCTTGTGTGTGAATGTCTTTCTGAGAATTTCAATCGCAAGGTCATCAAGTGCAATCCTAGCATTGTAAGAGAGGGATACCTCCACGGCGTCCATGGAGCAACTACATCGTTTGCAACGGTTCACGTCAATTCTGGCAATCATCCTTCCAGCAAACGCAGATTAGACAAGGTAAGCAGAGGGCAAGGATCTTGGCATGTCCGATCTCATTCGCTGTGAGCAGGAATTTGCACAGAGGCAGAATCCCAAAAGGTTCCGCGCGATGGAGAAGATGAATGATCTCAAAGACCCCAACGAGGTGTTTCCAGCTCTTCTAGCACGTGTAATGTGTGACTTGTTTCCCATAGACGGGAGAAACTATTGAAGTTTTTGCCGACGGTGACTGGTAGGAAGAGCCTGCATGCCATCAGTACACCGTTGACTGTAGAATGCAGGTGGGATGCGCATGTGGTCGAGACGAGCCAGGACCACGTTCTTGTACATTACGTCGGAGGGACGACGGAGGAGGACGAGTGGATCCCAAAAGGAAGTGACAGGATCCGAAATTACAAGGTGAACTCAGCCGTTGGAATCAGCGTTGGTGCTCACCTGCTGCTTCAGGGTTTGCAGCTTCTCACACCTCGCACTCCGGCCAATTGCTGCACTCCTCAGGTGCAGGGACTGCGCTCGTTCCGATCAGCGACTGATACATGCGCAGGTTGCACCAATGAAAGACAGAGAGATCTCGCTTCCTCCCTGCGGTGCTCTGTCAGAGGATGGCTCGTGCTCCCTCCAGTATCGTTCCAGGTGGTCGAAACTTCCCAACATTTTCCTGGGGACTCTAACTCACATGACGTCGCAGCCCCGCCGGACCTCCAAATTCTTCTCCACTTCACTTCTCTTCGGCATCAGAGGAACCCATCTCAAACTCTGGATACTCTGACGATTTGTTGAGTTCTTACATTGAGGTTTGTTTGGTATGCACAGTGCGCAAAGATTTGCTGAAAGCCCCTGCGCTCCAGGATGAGGATGGTTGGAAGACTGCGAGAATGGTCCCAACTTCAATGGAGGTGGAGGAGAAGCCGATGCTCTGTGGTGAAGAGAGCACAGTTGAACTGCGGATTTTGTCGTACGGAAGGTTGCTGACGATGTGTGTTGATACTCGCAAGAATGACATCTGTCACAAACAGAGATCTCAACTTTCAGTGGTATGAAGGCAGTGAAGCCATTCCAGGAGCGTGCGGAGACAAGTTGGTCCTAGTGAATGCAGGTATGTAGCTTCAAGCGGTTGTCTGCGTGGCTGACCTCGATCTTGCTCCAGGAGAGATCGGAGGCAGGATCACGTGCTGTGTGTCAAACAGACATGGATCGTCGTGGGTTGCCTGCCCCATCCTTCTTCCAGCAAGCCCTCGGCACGCTAAAGAGGTGCTGGATAACATCGACAACCCCAAGCGATACCGTTTGGAGTGCAGGTGAAGTGGAGGATGTACGTGCAGCTTGAGACTGAACGGTTTCCAGGTGTGGTATCGTGACAGAGGGGTCGGCAACCATGCTCTGCCAGAACTCCTGCGAATGCGGAGCCGTGTGCTGCGGAAAGATCAAATGCCTCGACTTGCCTGAGGGCTGCTTGTTTTGATCATCAACTGCGAGAAGAATGCTTGTGTTGTAGTTTATCGTGCTCGCCATATGCCTTACTTATTGGATGCCGCGAGCTGTACAATATGGATGTGTCACTCTAGTTGCTTTGGGTCATTTTTTTTGTGTAATCTGCTGCAAGAGAAGAAAAAGGAGGTTCTGCATCGGTGCTGTTCAGCTAAACAGCCTAAAGCTTTGGAATTCTCTCAGATTGTGTTTTATGTCAGACTTTCTGTATTCCTGCACGTTTTTAATACAGTGAAGAGCTGACAATACACTGAACCCGTCGACAGATCTCGATCAAACGTCAACAAGAAAATTCAGGAATAATCAGGGAGAGATGGTTGCAAAGCCAGAGTTTCTAGGTTTCCATGAAGAGTTGGAACCTGGATGAAGTCAGGACATGACGAGAAGATTGCCTTCTGACCTCCCACGGAAGACATGGTTCAGAACCTCCTGCATCTTCAGCTCCAACGACTTCACCTTCCCCTGTAATTCCTCTACCTTGGCCTGCCGCCGTTCTTCATGAACTAGTCAGAGAATAGGAGGAGCGACCTGAGTTTCGCATACAATCTCCTCGAGCACCCTTTCTGTAGATTCTTCAAGATTGGTTCTCAGCTAGTGGACAAGAGTCGGTCAAGTCATGCGAGCAGACAATGCATCAATGCATACCGCTTGCTGGTTCGTGCTGACGTACATTCGCCCCACAGGTAGATACACATCAGCCTCTGGTTCCAAAGATTTCAAACCCTTCAAAGTTATCTTCTGCACTTGTTGCTGATGCTCTGCTATCTGTAGTTTGCCCTTCATCTGTCTGTACTCGTCCTTGGCTTCCTTGTACTGCGCTTGGTACTTCTGAAAGCTCTCCTTCTTGCTCTCTGACCCTTCTGGCCATGGCAGCTTCTCTCCAACGTCTTCAGTCTCGATGCTCCCCATGGACTGGCTCGCGTGCAAGGATCCCTTCTGCAAGATCTCCGAGTACTCAGGATCGATCGTCGGCTTTTGCGATCCCCCCCTCAAGTGAAGGCATGTTGGTACGTGTGCATGGCTGCTTGCGGCATGGAGAAGTAGAATCTGCAGAAGAGCACGGGAGAGCTTGCTGCTGTTGCTGATCATCTCTGAACAAGGGTGTCTTCGTCTAGATCGCCTCCTCCTCCTCTCTCTCCTTCATTTTCTCTCCCCGCTCCGGTTCCTTCCCTCCCGTGGAGCTTCCGAACCCTCATCCCCAATCCGAGTCCGCCCCAGGTCCGCCCCAGGTCCGCCCCGCTACAAGAATATGACAAGGTTGAAAAAAAAATTTCAACTTTCTCCTTATTTTTAGTCAATACAAATATTGGATTAGCTCTGAAACCCCTCTATCCCTCCCCTGTCCTAGATGGTACAAAAAAAGTATGAAGGTCTGTTGCCTCCATCAAACAGTACTGTACAGCTGCAGCCGCAGCTGATGCTTCTGCCGCCGAACTTCCTGGACCTGATGCTTCCATGCTTTTCGTATGCCGTCGCTCGTGCGGTTGGTGTGGTGACCTCTTCCCTTGCCCCATGGAATTACTTTGCTACTGCCAGGAGCCTTGGCAACATGACCGTCACGACTGCTGCACCCGCGGCTGGGGTGCTAGACCCCGACTGACTCAACGACGTCAGTCGAACTTGGAGATGACTGGAGGGTGGGCGATGGTCCTACTTGATATTTTTCATCATCTTCACTCAATCTTACACTACGTCACTCCAACTCAATGAAACCAGGAGCGCATCATGACGGCCATGGCGACAGTCACAACAGCCAAGGCAGAGCAGGGGGCCAACGCAGAGGATGCAGACTTGGTAGCAGCAACAACAGCGGCAGCAGTGGCAGCCTCGCGCGCTACACTTCCCACGGGAGGAAGCGGGCCAATGTAACCCACGTACCCTGCCTTGCCTGTCGACGCGGTGTCCTCCACCATGGTGGTATCGCTCTCTCCGTAAGGATGTTGAACGACAAAAGTGATGTAGGAGAACTTCCCGATGTTGGGGTACCAGTAGGGGGAAGTGCTCTCAGCTCCTGTTCGCCCATCAGCTCCTTTTCGGAAAGAACATCATGAGGAGCGCAAACTCACCGTAGGGAACTTGAGCGATACGAGTCTTCTTCTTGGTGTTGAAGTCGTAGACCCACACGTAGTCATTCTGATGATAGCCTGAAAGTACAATGAGCGTACATGGAAGAACATACAATGAGCATTTCAGCTGACTTGTGTCTTCTCCGATGAGCAGCTGACCGTAATCCTCGATCATAGCGACGTTGTCGGGGCTCGCAAGGCCTGCAACCGAAGGAGAGACGAAGAGGTGAGTTGGGGTTGGAGGTTGAAGGGTGTAGGAGGATCACGAGGGGAGGGGATGGGCGGGGAGGAACATGCTGTGGGTGCCAATCAAACGACATAACATACCATCGGCACTGCAGACCCCAGATGCATAACTTCCTCCGTCGATGAACCCCTGGAAACAGATGAGGAGTGGTAGACTTGTCAAATCGTACGAGTACCCTCATTGCAGTCACACTGTAAGTGCTGCTGTCAACGTCGAGCTCGTACACTGCACCGCACTTCTGCTGGGCTGATGCAATTGATCACATACGGCCAGTCAAAAAACTGTTCAGCGATACTCACGCAATCGAATGTCGCCAAGAGCATCTGTCATTCCACCGTCCACTTTGCTGATTGCTGTGTACATTTTGTTCTGGAAACAAGCAAGTCAGCACTACAGATCCTCTATTTTCGATTGCTTACAAGCGAGGGACTGTATGTGATTCCCTCCCATTTTTCAAACTCAATAGTGCAATCCAATGTTGCTGCAAATCGCCTAGATATTCACAGATTCACGGTTCAAGAAGAAATGAATTGATTAACCTTGTTTCAAGACGGGATGCAATTTTCTCTTTGCCAGCCTGCAGACACATTCAAGAAATGTAAACACAAGACAACACAAATATTTGGGAAGCACCTTGACTTTGACGCACTCTACAGCAGTGCTGGATGTTCGGTATTCCGAGTAACCGTCTTCGACACACTTTGAGGTAGTGGTGTTGTAAACTACAGTGTCGAACATGTCCTTGAAACCCAAATCAGAGCGATGTTGAGATAAACTTCTGCACTAAAAACCGTGAAGTTTGTCTTCGCATCAATTGCTTGCTTGATTTCAGCGTCTGTCACCTCCCCCGCCTGAACCAGGTGGTTAACAGACAGCGCATATTTGTGCAAATGCTTTACCAGTTCCTTCCATGCGATTGTGAATTCACCATTTCCTGTGCTCTTAGTCTGAAAGGACATGTCATCAATCAAGTTGCAATCGAATTCAACCAAATATTACTTGCGTGAATTTTGCACAAAACAGTCTGCCCTTGGAAAGATCGCCTGCGGTGGTTGCGACATACTTGGTGAAGACTTTATACGACCCATCATCGGTGATGTAGACGGTTTTCTAAAATCACAGCCTTACAGATGCACATTGTTTGATGGATAATTTCAACCTTATCAGGCATGACATAAGAAAGCTCGTGGCCTCTTCTTCCCATGGAATAATGCTTGACTGATACCGGGTCCTTGTCATTGTAGACAGTGACCTCCCAAGGAAAGCCGTAGTTGTAGGGATAGAACGAGGAGGCCCTGAGGTGATCATAATTATACACGATCAGAATCGCTTGAAGATATCGAATATTCATACCTCAAACTCTCCCATGTTGTAACTGGTGTCGGATCAACTGCATAATACAATAGGTACGCTTTCATAGATTGAAAATTGTAGTCTGTGGATGCCCCTGCTCCTGTGGAAGTTGTCCAAAGTCTGCCGTCTGGCTCATACTCTTCTGAGCCCAAGTGAGTGGACCAGGGCGAGACTGAAGATTTGAACCGTCAACTAACACTTGGACAGCATCGATACCGTCAACTCACCGCTACCAGCGCATGGGTTCCAGACACCTTGATGAGAGGACATGTCGATTGCCTTGGTGGACTTGATAGAAAGCGTTCCATCAGCAGCTTGATTCAAGATAGAGTGATACGCAACTCCGAGGCTAGACGTGTCATCCACGCCTAATGTGTTAGGAGTTGCCTCAAATTGCGTGATGCTATGAATAACATCTCCGACTTTGATGATCGAAGTGAAATCTGGGTAAGCGCTCACGAGTGCCAGTCCACTGGTAGCATCTTTCGCGATGATTTTTTGATCCTTGTCGATGTTTGCTCCGAAAATGTTGGTACCGAAGGTATCTCCCGATCGAGCGAGGACGTGATAATCGATTGCGGGCTTCCATTGCCCGTCAGTGGGGTGTGTGATGGTGACAGCGTTGGTCGCTCTCGCATGGTGCTTCTGGTCACCTGTGGAAGCTGACAGCTCCGTCCATGTGGCAGTGTAAGTGCTTGCTGCACAGGAGCAGCACAGCGATGCGACAAGCAGCAGCCGCAGCATTGCTACCCTCCTCCGTGACGCCCTCCCTCGCTGGTTTTATAGTTGACAAGGTACGACCCTTCCCTCCTTCCACACGGGTACTGGTACTGGTACTGGTACGGGTACGGGTACGGGTACTGGCACTGGCACTGGCACTGGCACTGGTAGTCGGTACGGGTACGGGTACTGGTAGTGCGGTAGTCAGTGGTACGGGTACTGGCACTGGCACTGGCACTTTCCCTTCCGTGTCAATTCTACGCCTGCTCAACCCGGCGGCTCACCTTGGCATGGAGAGGCTGAACTTTCGAATGCAAGGATACTCAGGGCCAAATATTTCTGGTTAATTTGAAATCATTGGGCAGCATTCAAGTTGAGCAAAGTTTTCACTGAAATTATCGGCGATGTGCAGGGGTGGCCAACAGTACTAACAACCCGGAGGGTCGTAGTCCCCCTACGCCTCGTCCCCGGTGAGTGACCGTAGTCAGTGAGCCCTACCCCCCCCCCGTCTTAGAAGGCTCTTAAGTTAACCAGGGGTCAATTGGACCATTTTTTTTCAAGAGCAGTGGTGCCAAGGGGTTTGAAATGAGCTCTTTTCAAATTTCATGCTCCTACCCCCTCCTTCAAGCCTTGAAGTACCCCAACACTGATCACCCTCCACTGCCGTTCACTGCGGTTGGAAAAAAAAAGTCTCGGCTCAGCCTGCGGTCGAGCCCGCCGGGGCCCGGAGGCTGCCCCCCGCCGGCGCGGCGTGCCACAGTGACATGGCCCTGAAGATCATCATCAGTGTAGCGGACCCGGACTTTGCCATTGAACTTCCGCAACTGCAGGCTCAGTGACTGGAGGCGGATGGCATGGGTTACGGGTTGGATCCTGGACTTCAGCATGTCACACTGTTTTTGACAATGACGGAATACCGGACCTCGCTCGGAGCAACTTGAACTGCAAGCTGAGCAGCAGCACAGCGGAAGACTCAATCGGTACGGTCCCCCTGATCAGACGGTCGGACTCTTGCACATATTCTAAAAATTTTAGAATATCAGTGCCTAGATATTCTATTTCTCGAGAAACCTTGTATCACGGCAACCAGTGGACTCTTACTCTCACATTCGGAGTGACATCAGCTGGAGAGTATCTGTGGAGTGACAACGGTAGTAACAGCTGAGCCTGGAGTCAAACATGGGTTCCGATATCAAAATGGCCTCTCAAGCCTCTCAAGCCTAGCCAAGCTCCCTGTACCTCGTCAGGGAGGGAGATGGACGATGCGAAGTCACAGGGGACCCACTTCAGCCTGAGGTCATCTGTTCGACACCAGAGACAGTCAGGGAGGGTTCACTAAATGAACAATCAAAATCAGGGAATATCATATCTTTTCACTATCATACCTGAATACTGAACTTCATGACAGGCTGAACCTCTGAGAACATCTGATGATGACATCAGCATCGAGCCTCGCATCATCCCTATGTCATGTGACATGGACGAGTCACAGGGATCCCCCGAGCAGAGCCAGGAGTCGCACAAGATGACGACGAGGCCACCAGATAGCTCTCCCACCATGATGATGAGTGTGGCAAAGAAGCTGAGGGGTGACATGACAGCGAGAAAATCTCGATGATGGAGGGATCAGTCCTGATCAAAGTCGCTCTGAATGTCAAAAGTGACAAGAGCTGTTTTCAATCCAACCTCAAAGCCTGTACGTGGCCAACCAGTGAGGAGAGGAATTACCTCATGATTCCACTGGTCAAGCACCGCGATGATTGAAGCGGCAAGCCTAGAGCACGGCAGATGAAAGCTTGAAGGTTGTGAAGACCGAGGAAGGGAGACGTCCCAAAGCCTCGTTACAAGCCACTATATTGTGATGGCGACGTGATGACACTGTCACGAAGCAACTCTACAGCAGAGTTGAAGAAATGAAAGGCAGCTTGAAGCGCCAAGCCTTCGCAAGACGAAGAAGCAGACGATCGGATGAAGACATACCTTGATCGAAGTTATGAAATGATGCTGCAGAAATGAAGGAGGCCCTAAGTCGCCAGGCACATCAGTGCTGATGGGCGCTGAGGAGAACCTTTCAGTACCATGCACAGCCCTACTGCGAAAGTCAAGTCAAGAGGCTGATCGCTTATGGAAAGAGGAATATCAAGTCTGATGAGCAAGACCATACAGCTTCAAGGCAGACGACCAGAGACCAAGCATGAGTCCACCTTGCTGTCAAGCAACAGCTCCCGCCTACTCTAGGCAAGGGAGGGAATACGGCGGCGACGACGCGCGAAGAGTCAACCGCAGCAGGCCATTTGAAAGGCATAGTCAAATTTGACAAGCCTGACACCGTCAATGGAGGCGCGGCAAAGCAACAATGCTGGCATCGGCACACAAGAGCCAAGGGAGGGTGTTGAAACACCTGATAGGAGGAAGCTTCACCTCAGACAATGCCAAGTAATCGACGTGGCTCAAGTGCACAGATGCTTAGAGCCTCGGAATGCATCCATGAAGAAGACAGCAAGAACCTAGGACTCGTGGATGGCAGCAGGAGATAAGCGAGTCAGCTTATATCAGTCCACGACAGGACAGCAGATGACACGGTGGTAGGATATGGCTACGCTCAAGGGGAGATTGGAAGCATCACCCCTGAAGTCATGGACATGGGAGAACAAGGGGTCTGATCAAAGAAGACAGTACTATCATGATCATCTTAGCGGAGGACATACAAGGAATGCACGAGACCACCTCCAAGCATGCTCCTACGGAGACACAGGACCTGTCAAGGTCAAGGGAGCAGCTACATCAACTTCACAGAGAGCGTTGGATGAGAATCGAAGACCTCGTCATGTCAAGCCTATGACTCTTTCTCAGGGGACCCTCAAGGTACGGAACCAGGCCTCGGACCGGTCGAAGAATCATATCGCAGATAAGAAGCGTAGAGTACCGGTAGTCGTAGTTCCTAGGACCAAGCGGACCCTATTTTAGGGACCGAGGAAGAGGAAGAAGGGCCGCACGCATTGGCAGGACAGGGAAAGGAGAACGAGGTGTATAGTCTCTGTGAGACTGGGTTGCTTGAAGTAAACAAGCTTGACCATCTATACCAATCTCTTATCTCCTCCGTTTGTTCTCTGTATCCTGATATCATTCCTGCGCGGCCACCATTCGTGATATCTATTACCACTGCTACAGAAACTTGCAGTCGGTGCTATCACTGTCTACTTCGGGTGTCACTGCTACTGTGACTGTGTCACCGTCTGTGGAGAGAAGGTTACTGGGAACTTCAACATATTCAGACGGTCCGATCCGGGATCGGACCGTCTGGGATGCGTTGCGCTTTCTGTGGTGGCTGGCGCCGGAACTTGCGGCAAGGACTCGCTTGGCCATCATTGCGGGTGCATTTCGGTATGCGTCTCATTCCTTCGGCGAGTCGCCGAGTCGGCGGCGGCCACAGCGATGAGTCCGGCGGATATCCGGCGCTGTTAAGTGAAGGTTCAGTGGGGGACAGCGCTGCGGCACTGAGTTGGCACCGGGCAGGCGATTGTCCTCGTACTGATCTTTAACTTAACTTTGAGTAAAGGCAGTGACTGCCCGGCGCGGCGGCAGGCTACTACGGTAACCGTTGAGTCCGACGGTCGAGCGGGCCCGGGCCGCCCCGGCCCGGTGGCACTCAGGGCGGCCCGGGCTGTCGGCGGCGAGTCTGTTCACTCGAAACCCTTCCAATTTCCCGAAATAGACAAAGCAAGAGGCGCCGCTATGTTCGCCGGGTACCACAAGCTGTCGATGGATCATACGCGATGCAAGCAGGCGAACCATATGGGGATGAACACAGCATCATGGCATCCTGGGACGTGAGTATACATCGACCCTTCCGTTCTTCCCTCTGTCCCCTTAGATGATCGTGAATGGTACATGTAGATCATTATCAGGATGAGGTGATCTGAGTTGTCATCGTCATCTCATCATCAAAATCATCATCACAAGAATCAAAAGCAACATTCACATTGAATCTATGACAATAATCATGAACTCTGTGCTTATAGCATCGACAGAAACCATAGACATTGTGATGTTTCTTTTGCGTGCTGACCACTCTTGTCAACAAACGAATCTCATCGTTTCCCCAGATGCAAGGCGGCGGGTTACTCACAGCTCATGAACCAACACAGTCTTGGTCCATTCCAGCGTCAGGTCAGCAAATGTCTGCTTGGGCGAGCTTGAAAGGGTAATTTATCTTGTAGATGTGGGTGAAACCGGATGGGATGTCACCGAGCCAGGTGTGTTCCTGTTTGAAGTCTTCCCTTCCTCTCACTGACTGCGCTTCTCAGCTTGCCAACTACAAGATCCCGTCCTGGGCTGATCCTCACTACAGTGCTGCTGGAGATGATCGGAACTTTGGTTAATCATCCTATCCTATCGGCGGTAACGACCAAAGTCGAAAACAGCTAGTTGTAAATTGTATCTATCTTTGTTTGTTTATCTTTTTTACCCAACGGAATGCCGTGAAATCCATTTGCCGTTCATGCTAGACAAAGAATAAATGGCTGAGATTGTTTTTCGAAGCTGAGATGAGTTTGTTTTTAGTTTACAGCACAAAGTTTGTCATGGAGCTAATTTTCGACCATAGCTCATTTTTTGTCCTGATTCAATCGCTTCAGCAACTCATCCATCGTATTCACGTTGTTCTGGCACAACACTTCAGTTCCTTGTCGGTCAGCAGGCAACGACATGGTACCTCGAACTTCTCGAGAATGTTGGGATCTGCAAGAGGGATCGCTCCCTGCGGATTGACGTAGCTGCTCGCAACTCAGTCTCATATCTCTACACCATCAACTTGTCGCTTACCCTTGCATGTTGATCGGGTTCCCAGCTGGACCCCTCCGTCCGTTGGGACCTGACGGGATTCCATCAATGCTGCACCTCCTCCCTCTATGTCTGTCTCTTACCTGGTCGTCCGTTCTCTCCCCTCAAACCAGTAGGACCAGGCTCCCCTTCTTCTCCTCGCGGTCCTCGCACTCCTTGTGGACCAGGTACTCCGGGATACCCCTGCTATCACGTCACCGACTGCCCGCGGGTGGTTGTAGCAGGACGGCACTACCTGTGGACCCATGCTTCCAGGCGGCCCTGGAGGGCCAGGAGCTTTCTTGATGACAGCGAGCGACACAGAGAGCTGGTTCAATCGCCTATTGAGATCCTGCCAGTCTCTCATCTCGTTCTCCCGCGCCTGCAGAAACAGCGTCACGATCACGAATAGAAGAAATTCTTGTAAGATTAGGCCTTGACCTGAGCAACTTTCTGCAAGTTTGCGTTGTCCCCCGTGGTGATGCGGCGGCTTTCCGCCAACAGCCTTCGTTTCTGCTCTACCACGCGCTTGCGAAGACCATCCACCAATGCCTCGAATCGAGTCTTCAGAGCCTGGACATCCAAGTAAGACAACATTCTTCAGCAAAATGTGAGATGCTCACATTATATTTCTCATGATAGCTCAGATCCAACCTAGTAATTCGGTCCTTCTGCTCCTGAATTTTCTCGTGCGCAGCAATCACATCCTTCTCAGCCTGAAGCGCCTGGGCCATGGCTTTCTTGGCAACACACAAAGGCGTGTCACTATGCTTGATAGGCCCATCACAAGGAATCGGCTTGATGTTAATGCCGAACTTATATTGACCTTCCAAGGGATCCTCGTTCCCTCCCAACCCATAAAGACTCTGAGTACTGGCTGAAGCATCCTTCATCGAAGTTGCTCCTCCATATCCCATTGGGGAACCAGAGGAGACATCCACCTGCTGCCCATTCGCAACTGGAACATATGCAACAGGCATCGAGATCGTTGTATCCTTTGGAAACGCCGTGCCTTCAACAACATACTGATTCTCTGGTTGCACAGTGGGATCCTCCAACGGCTCCGAATGCACTACACCCAAGCTTCCATCTAGTGCCTCTGTGTCCTCTGAGAGCTTGGTGGATTGAGCGTTTGGCACAACGTTCATCTGGGTCTGCTGTTGTTGGACTTGCTGTACGCCATTCACCACCTCGACGACTTTGCCCTGTGGCGTGAGGAAGAACTTTGGCTGTTGCTGAGCCAGAGCCTGTTGGTTCGCATTCTGAACAGCTTGAGCCTGCTCTTGCGGAGCCTCAAAGAATTGAGGTTGAGTCTGAGGGATGTTTGCCATCATGGGCCCACCTTGCTGCTGAACCACTGTGGGTGCCGCCTGACCAACGCTGGTAGCAAAATACTGATTTTGAGATTCCGGAAGGCTCTTCGACATCGGACCAGTCGAAGCTTGGATCAGGGTAGATTGCCCAGCAGCAGCCGAATCTCCGTTCTGAAAGAACAATGGCGACGTCTTAGGCATGCCTAACTGTGACTGCTCCGCTGCTGCTGCGGTTCTGGTATCATAGATCAGAGGTGGAGGCTGAGTGAAGTACTTCCGAGACTTTGCTGACAAAGAAGGTTTCTGTGACAGCTCCTGGAGCTTGGACCATGCTCTCTTACCCGCCTCTACTCTGGCCTTGAGAGATGCTCTGGTTTCCTCCTTCCCCGCCTTCAAACCATCATTCACCGACTTCTCAACGTGTGAACTCATCGACATCTGTGGTCGGGGGAAATTGGACGCATCATCATGACGCTCAGACTGCTTGGTTTTCGCCTGGAGAGTGCAAAGAGAATAAGACAAGTCAGCGAGAGGATGACGAAAAGAGGAGCACAGAAGACATCGAAGATGTGACAACAACGAACAACATCATTACCAGCTCGTGCAGATGCAGCGACTTTAGCCGTGTAACAAGGTCACCCCCAGGACGAGACGCCTCACTCCCGCTGACATAGCTTTTTTGCTGCTGTATTCTCTTCGCGAGAGATGGATTGATCTGCGCAAGTTTTGACTCTTGTCCGGTGTGCTCCAGGTACTGCTGCAAGGCATCCTGATCACTGTACTCCAATTCCGTTCGACCAAGTGATGAGAAAGAGGGGTAAGCCTGGGGACAACGAATGGTCACAGCTCCATAAAACCACTGCAGGAAGCTCAAATTTCTCTTGTCATGATCGTATAACCTCCCATATCACAACGACGCTGCAAGGAACATGACATTTCATACACAACAAGGAAGGCAAACATCAGTCGGCGACGAAAACATCATTCATATTCATCGTGATTATACTCTTGTTTTCGATCTTTTCTCACCATGAGAGCGAAAAATCCCACCGCCGACGCAGCCATAATTGCCGCGCGCCATCCCACCAGCCTCCCCATGGCTGTGACCCTTGGTGAATCACCCCTACCCCTACCCAACCTTTGGTACCTCACCCCGGTTACTTACCGGGTCCACACCCCCAAGGCACGATACTAACAACGGGGTAGTGAAATGCACACAACCCCACCCTCTAACCATCGAAGGCTCATAACCTGAGAAGCCGGGCCCCGGCCGGACCTGGGCCGGTGGCAGTGGCGTCACGGTACAGCCGGGCGCCAAGAGTCATCGTCACTGAGAAGTTGGCCGGGCGGCAGTGCCCAGCACCCTCAGGTCACCCGGATACAGTGTGAATGGTACACCGGGGCCGCGCTGATCTGATCCCGGCCAGCAGAATTCCGAGCTCAGCACAGTGTGTGATAGCGGATAGTGGAAACTTGCAAGAAGTTTACTTTTCTGTCAAGCTCCTCGGCCGCTTCTTCCGATTCAAACTGCTCAGCTTTCGCCTCTTGTCACTAAAACTTTGCTTCTTATTCTTATTCTTCTTCTTCTTCTTCTTCTTATCCCAGTACTTCGCATTCCTCCTGTAGAATTCGTCCGCTATTTCCTGTGCTTTCACATATTGTGGCTCCTGCACCGAATGAAAGTGAGCTTTGAAAGCCATGGGATCAAGCCTGTTGCCTTCAGTATTTCTTTCAGAGGCATCAATTCTCGTTTTGTTGGCTTGTATCCGTACGTCTCACATATATCTGCCAGGTTTGGATCATCACTGCAAAACATCATGAGCACTGCTGCATGAAGAAAGGGCGAAATTCACATTTTGATGCCGTCTTTCATCATCTTCTCAAACGCTATGTTCTGGATCGAGACCATCACAAATGAGGATTAGAACCAAGTTATGGTACCCTAGGATGGAAAAGGTGCGGGGCTGTTGGCAACCATCAGCACATGACTCGTGTCACATTTTGCTTTCTCACCCATCACTTTCATCTCTTGTTGCGACGGTTCACGACCGGATATCTAGCAAGAGAGGTCGTCAACCCATGTTTCATCGGCGTCGAATCACCAGGTCGTCAAACGTGTCGTCCTCACAGTATGGGCGGAAGCTATGTTGAATCCTGCAGCCAACCAGTCAGTCCTCGTTGCGGTCGAAACTTTCCGTTACCATCCGTTTCTTGGAAGCCACTGGTGGGCCCCCCATTCTATAAGCATGCATTCTATCCGCCAGTACGAGTCGCCTCCTCTACACGGGGAATCAGAGGACGCGGTAGATTTACCGTCGCAACCTCGGGTCGTATAAAGGATGGTCTTCAGCAGTAGATCTCCGCATAAACCTTCTTGCAAGGTGGAGCGGGGAGATTCCACAGTCTGGCTGCAGGGTACCAGAAACAGCAACATTGATCAGCAGAGCAAATTGAGAGTGAAGATCCATTGCCTTGCAGTTGGGCAAGTGCTTGTAGGTGTAATCATAAACATTTGGGTCGGCTCCGCATCGCAACAAGATCTGGCGATGAGATGAGTGACATTCAGCGGCTAGAAGACACCTCGACCTCAACGGCTAACGGATATCCTTTTTCTACCGCAAAGTGCAACGCAGTCCTCCCCTTGGAGTCTCTGATTTCTGTTTTTGCCCCATTTTGCAACAACAAACAGAGCACATTCATGTGCCCCGCAGCAGCAGCCACCATCAAAGCAGTACGGTTCAGAAACTTGCTGTCTATTGAAACCTGCAGATGATAATCTCTTTCAGTGTACTAGTCTGATTCCTGGTTGAGTTGAGTTACTTACTTGACCGCTTTGCAGAATCGCTTCCACCTGATCGATATCACCTAGATCTGTTGAACAATCAAACTGTCACTGTGTTGAAGATGACGTGCGGGAGCCTACTTGCGGCTTCATAGAGGAACATCTCATCTGTATGATCCTGAGCAGCATAATCCAAGAAATTGAGGAAATCTTCCTGCAATGGACTCGTCATGATCTGATGGGAGCTCCAAGCTGAACCTTGTGCATCTTCGCCATTGGGTCGTTCTGAGATGATATCTCAGGATCGAGTAGAAACTGTTTCCTGGCCTTCTCAACTTCTTCCTTAGTTGGACGCGTGGAATATCCGCTATCGAGTGATCGGGGATTATCCATCCTCCCTCCCTTGAGCCTCAAAGTCCTCGTCACTTGCTCTGTACCATCGCGCAGTGGGAGTTGCTGCTGAGCTGTAGCATCTTTCCATCTCAACAAGGGAACACAATCATGTGCAGCAAGAAGCACATGAGCATGGCTCTCGTGCTCGACGCCTCCTTCTCCCGTCCTCACCTTCACTAGCGTCCCCACTATCGCCGCTATCAGCAGCCGCATCACCATAGTTCCAACATGCCGCCCACCCCCCACCCGCTACCCCCCTATCTAACTCATCTTCCTGGAGTACCCTACCCCCTTTCTCAAGAGTCTGATATCTTATGAATGACCCCCCATATCTCTACTACAGGAGCGACCACCCACCGCTCTCATGCTTACACCCCTAAAATGTACTAACCCCACCGGATCCATCCCATGCATCTCCTGATGTAATGGAGGCGGCGAGAGCGACAACGAGGGCAGTAGCGGAGAATATGGCAGGACAAGAGCACCATGGCTGAGAGCACGTCGAAGATCACGTCATTCCGATGACTTTCACAAGTTTTGGTTTGATCTTGCTCCTGCTCATGTGCCTTGGAAGCCTGCTTCCGCTTCAATGCCACAATGTTCACGATGGGAGCTTGAGCAAGCTTCTGGAAGAGAACTGCAGTTGTCGTTTCCAATGCCTTCGAGGAGGCGAAGAAGAGAGTGGTAAGGATGAGATAAGCTGCTGGCATGCATAGTTTGACTGTATCACTCAGCTTCAACAACGAAGAGTACCAGGTTTGCGGTTTGATCGATTACCAAGACATTGACTTCAAAGAAGGCAGTACGTCAGAGTGAATCGAAAGCAGAGACAAAAGAAAACGATACAAGAGCATGAAGAGACAGCAGAGGAAGGAGAACAAGGTCTCGAAACACAAGCTCGGTTTTCTTACTGAAATCAAAACCCATGTAGCTGTATTCCCCTCGGCGAATCCTGCTCAATCGAATACGTTTACGGGGAGGAGCTCTGTTGATATTGATATGGAAACAGTGAGGTTTGATCAAGCACGTATACGTCTACATTGCTTAAAGTAGCGTAGAAATACAGATTCTGCCGGATATTTCGTTTCAGAAACCAACTCGAAGAAATTAGACAGCCTCAGGTTTGAAGTGACCAGTCTGAAAACCTGCTGTGTTCTGAAGCTTGCGCTGCAGGAAAGCAGTTGAAGGGAGCGACTCTATTGTCAACCCCATGTCAAGAATTGACAAGCTTTCTCGGCTTGTTGACGAAGGATCTTCAACCTTCCGGGCGTTGGGGAGGAAGGGGAGTCAAAGCGAACATCGAAACGACGGTGGTGAAACCTTTCATTCTCTTTCTTTGTCACGTTGAATCATTCTCCTTCAGATCAAGAAACATCTCTCTTCTCAAGTATTTACAGGAGCAGAAGGTCGTTTGTCAGCGAGAGAGAAAGAGAGCTCGTCGAGGCTGTAGAGGAGGTGCGGCGAAGTGCACCGGCGAATGAGTCGATGCGGTACAGCGCTTTCAAGGAAGACCCTTCCAAGCCGATCATCCAGACAGATGAACATACGAGGGAGGACTTGGATGAACTATGGACCGACTTCCAGTCTCGGTTGGAGACGAAGTATGAAAGACTGAAGCACATTGTAGTTTCACTTATTGTTCTGTTCAAAGTTTACTAGGAAAGGAACGTGATTCAGATTCCTCAGAGTAAGCAGAGATATTTCTGAGACCGTTGAAGTTGTGATTGACAGCCTGACCTTTGTCCTGTCAGGTCAATATTGAAGAAATTGCGAATGGTCTGCTCTTTCTACACGCCCCGTAGTCCAACCTGACAAGTTTGTTTTCAGGAGCACGCTTCCACCGAAGCCAAAATGTTGCCATACAAGTGCATGTCGAAAACATCAGAGCTGATGTGCTTCATACAGGACTTCAAACACATACAACTCTGTCTCTCTGGCCGATTCTCTCCGAGAGTTCACTGACAACATGTACCTCGGCCCTTGCAACGGTCCCCTCCCCTGACCCGGACATGCAGGGACGGATTCACGTGGGAACAGAACGAGAGACTCAAGGCAGAAGAGCTCGAACTGCAAGCGTATGATCTGAGCGCTGCATGCAGGAATACCTCTCCACAAAGTTCTGGACCCCGGGATTCAATGCCGACGTGGGGTGCTCAAACATCCTGGTGGTCTTGAGTTGGGATTTTGATACTCTCTTTCTTTCAGCCGCATGGACCCGCGTTTCTACACCCTCCATACAGCACATGTCAACCTCACTGAGGAGCAGGTGACCGCTCGCCGGGCATGACCTTGAGTAGGGAGTATGAGGGGTACTGGGCAGGTGTCGCTCAACATTCAACTCCGTCAGGCGGTCCAAGTTGACGATTTGCCGCGGGTGTCTTAGTTTTCAACATTGGAGACTTGCGATGCTGATTCATGGCTGGAAGATCGAGGAGACCATTGCTTCTGGAGCAGACATCAACCTGCCGATGCCGTTCTACAAGTTTTATGAGCACTCGGAGGAGAGTTCAGAGTACCAAGAGGACGCTGGGAAGTACGATGTAAGAGAGAAGGGTGCCTCTGAAATGAGCTCACATGTCACTTGAAGGACTGTTTGCTGTGCATGGTTTGGCCTCCCTTGTAATCGCTCTCCACATAGTCTAGCTCGAGACTAACGCATTGAAAGGCATTGGGCCGCGGCCATGGGCAGTGTACCCACCTTGTTGAAGCTGGTCAACATTTGAAAAGGTTAAACCTGCCGATGACTCAATGGCAGGTGGAACTGGGGGCTGAGATCAATGCTTTGGACTCTATGACGAAGAAAGGAAGGCTATTTTGTGAAGAATCGTGAGCATCGAATTGTGATGCAAAACAGGATGATCATGTATGAACCTTCGTTGTAGCCTTTTCGATCAGTGGAGGAAGCCCAAGAGCGATGAAGAATCTCGCAAGAAATGGAACCTGCAGTATTTCTGTGAGACGTTGTTGGCTCTCTTGACCTCAAGTGCACATCAGATACAACATGACGGCGCTTCATTGGGCTTCCATGATGGGCCACATCGAGTGTGTCAGAACCCTTTGCCAGCTCGGCGCAAACGTCACCATGGTTGACGTGCGGTGACTCGGAGACGAGAGGTTTCTGGAAGCTCTGACGTGGAAGTCAATGCAGGAACAGGACGGCGATAGAGATCGCAGCCTACCGGCAGCTCGTGGACCCTCCGAACAACTTCACGACCATCTTGTCGATTCTCAAGGAGCATCTCAAGAAGCAGGTGCAGGCAGAAGCGATGAGAGAGGAGGGAGCGATGAAAGGTGCTCGCGGTGAATGAGGCTTCTTGGATCAGGTTGGAAGCGATTGGCCTCGATGGTGGCCGGCCTTGTGTGACGATGGGCTCAAAAATTGGACGATGCCCGAGACAATGGAGCAAGCTGAGAAAGAATACGTGCGCACTATCTCCCTCCTCCTCCTCTGCCACTCACGTTGCCCAGCCGGAGATCGTCAAGCTCGCGAACGACTTGGTGGCGTCCGGGACGAGGGACTTTGACGTTGGTGCTTCCTTGCAAGATTACGTTGAGTGACTTTCGCTTCTCAGGTTATATACAGAGCCATCGAGGAACGAGAGGATCCAACGATAGCGAAGAATGAGGAATATGATTCAGAGTTGTCTGAAGCGGATTATGAATACTTCGACAACAGCGATGAGACAGTGACAATCTTTCTCTCTTCTCCTTGCCCTGCTGGACTTGTTTCTTCTTTCCCCTTCTCTCTCTCTCTCTTCTCTCTCCCTCTCCCTCTCCCTCTCCCTCTCCCTCTCCCTCTCCCTCTCCCTCTCCCTCTCCCTCTCCCTCTCCTTCTCCCTCTCCCTCTCCCTCTCCCTCTCCTTCCTTCATCTCCATATTTATAATACCGCCGATAATTCCTTGTTCTGCAGAAGGTCAGACGATATGTCAAGGGTAAGCCTTTTCCCCTGGATGAAATTTTCGGAGACAAGATTCGCTGATTACGAGTGTGTAATAGCAATAGATTTAAAAGGTTAAATGAAGGATTCAAAATGGACGGCAACGAGTCAGTAGAATAGCTTCAAGTTCCTTGTTCTGTATACTTGTATCACAATCTTTCGGATTTGGTCATTGATGAGGGAAACAGGCGAATGACAAACAATTTGAAACACCTTTACATCCCAATACATTCACTACATCTTGTCTCATCTCATGGCTGGTGAGAGAGTTACTCATTATACATACATTGTCATGTTCCTCCAAACAGTTGTCAGGCACAGGAGGGAGCAACTTGTAGAGGAAGCTGTTTCTGTTCCAAGTCCAGGACGACACCGCTGGCAGCTGCTGCTTCCCGCCACGGATGTGAAACTGTTTGTCGGGCACTCTGAGCAGGAAGACGTCCCGTCCTGACCCGCGAAGAGGCCGGGGGGGCAGAGCTGGCAGCTGGAGCTGGCGATCGAGTCTGTGAAGGAACCCCGAGGGCACGCAGCACAGCTGGAGGAAAGTGAGAAGGAGCAGGAGCAGGAGCAGGAGCAGGAGCAGGAGCAGGAGCAGGAGCAGGAGCAGGAGCAGGAGCAGGAGCAGGAGCAGGGGCAGGGGCAGGGGCAGGAGGTGCACGAGGAAGGGGGGGAGAAAGAGGAAGAGGTGTTGGTGATGGAGGAAGAGGAAAGGGAGAGCATCAGGCTACCTGGCCTGTGCAGGGACTTGCGCGTAAGTTCCTCTAGCGCAGGGCAGACAGCCACTGCTTCCTCCTCGTCCGAAGTAGCCAGGGGTACAGACACAAGCTGCAATGTCGGCAGCAGAGGAGGAGGTGGTGTTGGTGAAGTCAGGACATCGGGTACACGCTGCTGGTCCCACCGAGTCCTTGAAGAATCCAAGAGCACAGCTCGAGCACTTGGAGCCTGACTGATCGCTTCCTACCTCGAAGTATCCTGGGACGCACGCGCAGTCTGCCAGTCTCTGCGAGCCCTCCTGGGTCGTGGAGGTGCGAGGAGGGCAGGACAAGCACGAGGTCATGCCCGTCCTGTTGGCGAAGGAACCGCGGGGGCAGAGGGGGCAGGAGGGACCCTGAGTCATAGAAGCCTTCATGGTCCCCAGGGCGCAGGGCTGACATGCTGCTCCGACGTTGCTGTAGCCTTCCTTGCAGATACACGAGACGTTGCTGGAGGCGCCCAAGGCACTGCGATGGTCGGCGCTCGGGCATCGCTGGCAGAAGGTGCTGCCTGCCAGCTCCTGATAGCTCCCCGTCACTGAAGAGGTGGTGTTTGAGCCGCATAGCTTGCACGCTGAAGATCCAGCGGCATCTGAGAACGAGCCGGAAGGGCACCTGGAGCAGGCATCGCCCGCACGAGCTGAAAAATTCCCTGCGCTGCAAGGGAAGCATCCTCCGCCACTTGTGGTCTCATACCCGGGCAGGCACTTGCAGTCGCTGGAGCTCGTTGCTCCTGCTGCTGCAGTGGTCTGCTGCACAGGACAAGAACGGCAAGAGGAGCTGGCATTGGAGCTTTGATACGTTCCTCTTGCACAGAGTGAGCAAGAGGAGGAGGGGGAACTTGCAGAGAAGCTTCCTGGCTGACAAGCCTGGCACATGTCGTTGCCGATCAGCCTCTTGGAGAAACCTTGCTTGCAAGAGGAGCAGCCAAAGGAAAAGACTCCATCGGCAAGGGTCGACAGCCCTTCAAATCCGATGTCACACAAGCAATCAGACGAGAGTTTTGAGCCCGACAAACGTGTCGTTGTGTTGACAGGACAGCTGATACATGTTGTCTGACCGGCCGACACGCTCACCTTTCCTTGTGGACAAGACATGCAGTAGGTCATCGCAGACGTGTTTGCAAACTGACCAGCAGGGCAGTCGGAGCATGCGTTGTTTCCCAGAAGCTGTTTGAACTTTCCCGCAGCACAAGGGGAGCACATCAGACCGCTTGCTAGCCCTGAGAATCCAGGAGGACAAAGGCAGTCTGACGCAGAAGTGCTGCCGCTGCCAACGGTCGATGACTGTACAGAGCTGCCGGAGGTGATGGTGACAGGGCAGGCCAGGCAGCTTGTTTGCTGGGGGATCAGCTGGTATTGACCTTGCGGGCAGAGGCTGCAGGAGGAGGAACCGATCTGATCGTTGTAGGATCCTTCCAGGCAGCTGGAGCAGGCGGAAGATTTTGACAGGCTGAACTGACCGGGAGAGCATGCGGTGCAAGACTGAGGGCCAACATCAAACGGCACGAGGTCGGTCACGACGCTGAAGGGGAAGAGTTCGCTGACATGCTCGAAGGGGAAGGAGACAGGCTGGGAGGTCGCGTGCTGCGAGAACTTTCCTCCAGCGCATGCTGAGCAGAACGTCTGCGAGGTAGCCAGTGCGTATGTGCCTGAAGGGCAAGAGGTACATGTGCTACTTCCGGTCTCGGGATGAGTACCAGCAGGGCAGGTAGAGCAGACGGTCCCAGCTGTGAGAGGCATGACCGAGCCTATATGCAATCAGAGAAGGAAGAGCTGGGAGGGAGCTGGGAAGTCAATGGGAAGGAGCTGGGAAGTCGCTGGAAAGAGCTGGGGAGACGGGGAGGAGAGTGTGAACTTCTCACCTGTTGGGCAGGCGGAACAAGGACCCGCCCCAGCTGAGTCCTTCACACGCCCAGCTGGGCAGGGGGTACAGTCAGTCAGCCCGTCTGCGGTGATGTGATGACCGCTGGGTCCGTAGAAACCCTCCCTGCACTGCGAAACGATGAGGAGGAGGAAGAGGAGAAAAGTACAGGAAAGGAGCACAGAGATTGGAGGTACCGGAGTGGAAGTGGAGGAGAGGACAGGAAAGGAGGAAAGAAGGTGTTGTGAAGCAGTACAAGGAAGAGGACGAAGAGGAGAAGAGGAAAAAGAAGAGGAGAAGAAGAGGAGGGAGGGATGGGAGAGGAGGAATTCCTACCGTGCAAGCATCTGCTGTCGTGCTACCTGAGACATCAACTTTCCCCGACGGATCTCGAGTGACATGATAGCGAGATGGACATTCTTCGAGAGCGTCAGATAGTCACAGAAGCAACAAACAAGTCTCAACCGTAACACTGCGACGCTCCTGTCTCCGCTTGATACTTCCCTGCAAGCAAGTTTAGACACGTCAATCTCCATCATCCCCCTCTTACCAGGCTCACAGAGGACACAAGACGTTCTTCCTGTGTACTGGTTGTACTTTCCCGCTTCACACAGCTGACAGGCTCCATCTCCCAGGCCACTCTTGTAGCTTCCGACCTGGCAGACTTCGCACTGCTTGCTGACTGCAGTCGACAAACTTGGTGACAAGGGAGCAATTTGCAGTGCATGGACTTCACCAGCATTTCTCGTGAAACCAGCATTGCAGACGCAATCATTCTCACTTGTACTCCCCAGCAGAGCCGATGTATCCGAGTTTGCGGGGCATGCGCTGCAAGCCCCAAACCCCACTACCGCCTTGAAGTATCCTCGCGCACAAGCCTGACAAGTGGAGGAGCTTGACCCTGTCGCCTAGTCAGCTGGTGACATGCATGAGGGATATTTTCTCACCTTCGTACCCCTTGTCACATCTGCAGTCAGTTGGAGTCTGCGACTGAGGCGACAAGGTCGTTGCTCCAGCTGGACAGGCTGCACAGGTCGAGGACCCAGGAGCTGAGCTGAAGTTGTAGATCGTTGCATGTCAGACTCTCGAGCATTTCCATATGGTTGATCTACCTGTAAAACCCCAGCTGGCACGGAGAACAGAGTATGTTTCCCTGTGATACAGGGACAGTCAGGAGAAGATGGAGCAAAGTAGAGAGGAAGATGATGATACCGTGACGCTCTTGTACCGCCCTGGGGCACAAGCTGAGCAGTTGGAAAGGAAGACATCGACATACGACGAGGTTTGAAAGTGAAGTGATCCTGAAGTCAGTTCGTATCCTTGCTTGCATGAGCAGTCTGAGCAAGAAAGTCAGCGGTGCGATACCTCTACATGCTCTACTAGAGCACATCGACGAAACAGGCAGCCCAAAGTTTGAAGAAAGACAAGGAGGAGGCTCGAAGACATCGAGGGGGGAGCTATCAACCTGATAGAGCGACGGCTCCTGGCAGACTGCTGAGGAAGGAAAGAGGACACTGTCCTGCGCACGATGTTTGCCCTTCTACACCGTTGTAGGCCCCAGCTGGGCAGAGCTTGCAGTAAGAGCTCCCGTCCACCTCTGAGAAACTTCCAGCAGGGCAAGAAAGGCACGAAGAACCTCCCAGCTCGCCCTTGTATGTCCCTTTCAGACATTTGGCGCAGCTTGTCTGCCCAGCTGGACCCACGTATCCCTCGATGCACTCGCACTGCTCCAGCCTGATGCTGCCGCTCGCTCGGGTGCTGAGGAGGTTGGAGGGACATGCGAGGCAAGAGGAGCTCGACCTGAGGGGCTGGTAGGCGCCCTTAGGGCAACTTGCACACTGGAGAGACGCGGTCGAGTTGCTGAAGCCTCCCGGAGGGCAGGGCAGGCAGGAGGAGGAGCCAGGTGAGGGCTTGAAGGATCCGATGGGACAGGAGCTGCAGCTGCATCCTCCGTCTAGCCCCTGAGATCCGCCCGGACACTTGCATGCTGTGACTGAGACGCTTCCTTCCGCTGAGACCTGCCCGTTGAACGGACAGTCAACACACACAGATGCTCCAGGAGAAGGCATGAAGGAGTTGGGAGGGCAGACTGAGCAAGAAGTCGCTCCTTCTTCCGCAGCGAAGTGACCGATTGGACAATCAGAGCAATCAGTGTTGCCCGCAGAGCTCTTGAACTTTCCGGGAGGGCAGAAGGTGCAGGGAGATAGAGGATCTCGACCGTCCAGAAACATTCCTGCCAAGCACAAGCATTCGTTATCACTGACACTTCCTGGACTACTGGTCATGTTTGCTGGGCATTCTAGACATCTGCTGGTCCCTGCCGTCTTCTTGTACTCTCCTGCTCTGCACGGAGCGCATGAACCTCCGGCTGGCCCGCTGTATCCTTCTCTGCAGACGCATCCTACCATGCTCGACACGCCGACTGAGCTGCTCAGAACGAGCTCCATGCTCACAGTGGTAGAGTGTGGGGGGCAAGGAGTGCAAGAGAGAAGCTCGACAAGGGAGTCGTTGATGAACGTAAAGTTTTCTCGCACGCCTTGTGCTTGATCGAAGTTGCTCTTCATGCCCAAGGAGAACGTATCTATCGGGCACTTGCTGCAAGACTGCCAGCGGATCTCGTGGTGGAGGCGTCCAGTGCACTGATACCCAGGAGAGATGTCACAAGATCGTGTGCAGCCATCCAAGTCGTCAAGGTTTGCGTCGTCGCATGCCTCTCCAGCCTCTACGACGCCATTGCCGCACCAAGATGATGGAGAGAAAGCAAAGATGACAGAGAGGATCAAGCATACTGTGACGATGAACAAGAGTGCCCAGAAGGTTCTCGATAAGGTTCGAAAGGATATAGAAGTCTTGATTTGAATCATGGGAAGGCTTGAAAACTTCCCTATGATTGACCTTCCCTTGGAAACACTCTGCACCGCCACTGGAGCATCGTAAGCCTGTGTCTCGACAGTTTCTCCTCGCAAGTGCGCGATCCTGTCACCTAAAGGAACAGGATTCCAGTACTCCAGTCTCTCATATCGCTCTGCCGAGATATCTTCACCCATCGCTGACTTGGCGCTCCTGGCCATGGTTGACAAGTATCAGACTTCAAGGACACTCCGCCATGCCTGTCGTCGTGGCAGGGGGATCACTTCACCCACATCCGATCTACCTCTCTTCCCTCTTCCTGCCTCCTCGCCATGCTCGCTCTTGTCCATGTAGCTCGCCATGGCCGAGCGGTTTGACTTCAACTACCAACATACCACCCCACCCCCCACCCCCACCCCCCACCCCCACCCCCCACTCCTCCTAGTGATACCTCTAGGCTAAGGTCAACCCCATCATTCTTGTTTATTCGGAACTGAGGCGGGCTCCGAGTCGGGCTCAGCGGCTCCGAGCGGCTCGGAGTCCGATCACCCGGGCCGGGGACTCCCAGTGAAGCCGGGACGACGTTGAGTGCAGTATGGTTGACGATTGAGGGAGGCAAGCCTTAGAATCGATAGCATACTTCATTAGACACACGAACTTAAGCACAACTGAATGAGCGTCACGAGCTTTAAGGGATCCATGTGCAGGACTCATGGGCGCTCCCAACCCCGCTGGGCCGAGACACTCTGCATGCAGGAGAATCCGAGGCTCTCGTGACCTGGCCGCCGCACAAGGAGGGGCAGGGAGGGGATGGGCATCTGTCCTCTTCCTCCTGCTGCAGTGAGGGGAGGGGGTTAGGAATGATCCAGGGGGGGAGGGAGAAGGAGATGATAAGAGTAGGAGGAGGGAAAGGTAGACGGACTGAGGTTCAGAGGGGAGGAGGTGGGAGGGGAGAGGATGGATGGGGTCAGAGAAGGAAGGAGGGAAGGGGGAGAGAGAGGGAGGAAGGGAGAGGGAGAAGGAGAAAGGGAATTGAAGGGGGTGGACGGGTTACCGAGGTCTGGAGCACTTGGATCATCAGCTGATCGTTGATGACTTTGCCGGACAACTCAGAATCATTAAGACGCTGAACGGGATGATGGATGGGGGAAGGAGCGACGAAGTTGGGCTGGTCGTTGGTCCTCGGGGACAGGAAGATTGCAGGTGACTTCCTCTCGCGCGTCTTGATCGTCTTGATCCTTGAGTGCTCTTGCCTTGAGGCGTCGCGACCCTTGGAGGCCCGAGGGTGCGGGGAGCTGCGATCAGGCTGCTGCATGAAGCTGGTCAATGACAGGCAAGAGAGCGTCAAGCAACCTCTAAGTCGAGCGTCTGAGCATACAAGTCTGGTTCGATAGAGTCGTCATGTTCGTCAAGGGCTGCACGAGCTTTGGAGGGAGTTGCCCAGTGCTTGTTTTCAGCTCCTCCCTGTTTATCGCGCATCTGAGTGGGCGTTGGCTTCATGTAGGACTCATGCAGCTCGTTGGAGCTAGCGCTGCGAGGAGAGAAAAGATCGTCCTGACTCGACTCAGAAGCTTCTCGGGGGGTCAACATCACAGGGCTTTCAATGGCCGCAGTCGCTATGCACTGAGCGCCGGCCTGGGAGGACGGAGAGATAAGGGGAAAGACATAGTGGAAGGAGGATGAGACCTCGGCCGCGTCCTTCCAGAACTTGAGCTGACCTTGGTACCTCCTCTCCACCTCAAGGGACTGTAGGGAAGGAATCTTGAAAGTCAGCTCAAAGGTACAGTCGTGATCATCATTACCTCCTCGCTCTTCATGACAGCCACACTCTGAAGCCGCTGAAACGGGTGGTCAGTAGCTCACGCGGGGAGCATGAGTCCGTACCTTGTTGCGATCGTGTAGCCTCTGATTCTCCTCTTCCAGCAACGTCACGCGCTCCTGCGGACAGCTGTAAACTTTCACCCCTCTTTGACTATCTCACCGTAAGCTCCTCATTTTGTTTCTGCAAACTCTTGGCGTCCTTGTCTTGCTCGGCCGTCAACGCCGCGTGCCTTTCAATGACGCTTTCCAGCTAAACGATCTCAGCTCAGACTCATCGGAAGGAGAAACTTACCAGCTGAGGGAGAGAGAGTGTGCTTTCTTTGGGATCCTGGTCCAAGGTCCGGCCCTCGTCCTCTACATCAATTATGTGTTGTCAGACAGAGGGCATGAAGGCATTTCAGTCTTACCGTTCAATAGGGTTATGAAATAGTACAACTGGGACCTAGCCATTCTCAGATGCGCCTTTTGCTGCTTCATGTTAGTCCTGGTTGGCAGAAATGTGAAAAGAATTCTACAATCTCGTATTCGGTGTTGACGTGCTTCAAATCCTTCTTCAACTGTTCTACCTCCTGATTTCGGTGTTTGAGGTCTGAGAAAGACAAAGGACGCTTTACCTTCTGCGCAGCCGTAGTCTGTCGGGCGCGCAACTTAAGCTCGCTCGTAGCAACAGAGTTCAGACTCTGTGCTTCTGTCAACCTGTCGTCAACAGATCAGTCGCAGGATTAACTCCTCCATGCAGGGAAACACTTCTTGGACAGAGATTGAACTTCAAGATTGAGCTCAAAGATCTTAGCTTGCAGTTCAGAGGCAGCCCTGCAAAGGTTTGTTTTACAAGATCGTTCACGGAAGTAATTTGACGCACTTGCGGTCATCACAAAGTTCATTGTAAGCCTGCTGTAGCTCGTCGAAACTCTGAAATGGGGCTCAGAACTTGTACGTCATGATATCAGACTTTGCTAACCTGCTGCAGATATTCGATTTGATCTTTCTGATCTTCTGTCACTTCCAACAAATTTGTAATCTAAGAATGATTGTCAGTGCATAATAGAAGCGAGTGCTATTCAACCTTCTCTGATTGCATCTTGCAGATTGTTGGCCAATCTGTGTCCTTCACACCCTGCTTTGTGTCAAGTTGAGCACAAGTACTTGATCAACTCAAGGCCTTGATACCTCCTGATCCTGAAATTCAGCTTGAATCTCTTCGGCAAACAATGTCGCTTCCAACTGATTCTGGACCTGTTGATTTCTTTCAAACTGTCTATGTCATGTTTACATGTGCATTCTAACCTCATTGAAAGAATGTAGCAATTGTTGCTTGTCTGCATCTAGATCGCTGCATTTCCTTCTCAGGGTAAGAACCTCGTTCTGCAGAGCATCTTTGTCCTAACATAAAAATAAATGCTGCCCTCAACTGCTTTTGCATCGATACCTCATCGAAGTTTTGTTTCTGCGAACTGGTCCCCTCCCCCGACGAGCATGAGATTGGATTCGAGTTACACTCTGCATTGTCTTCTGAACGATATTTCCTGATTTGATTCCCGATGTTCTCCTTCGACCCTTCGGATGTAACCGAGCCATGTCTGTCATCGTCCACATCGCCACCCTCCTGTTGCGGGCCCTGCCCGTCTTCAACAGCAGAGAGGCTTTGTCGACCGCCCTTCCTCAGGTTCGACTTGGATGTTCGCTGTTCAGAGCATGTGAGAGAGGTTGTGGTTCTAGAACCTTTCAGCAACCTGGTTGGGGAATGGGCCTGGACCAGCCGCCGTAGGCATCCGGCTTGTTTGGCTTCACCACGCTGTCAGTGCATGTATACGAATATGAGACAAGAATCATGACAAAATCACAACATTGAAACCACACAAACATCGCAAGACTTCCTACAATCGCATTTTCCGCACGACAGTGAGAAGTTTCATTTCGAATTTCCCATATTGCTCACTGCGTTGCAAACAGCGCCACGGGTGCACAAATGATCATCAAGGAATGTGTTGGTTCAGAAAGCAAGAGCAGGAAACATAGAACATGCTTCTTCTCTGTCATCAGTGACAGGAGACTCGTTGCCTCCTGGTTGCGGCATTCTGAGCCATTTCCCCGCCTCATTCTAACATGTACCCTCGGTTTGGGACACCCCCTACATCTCTGAATTTCTCCTTCTCTACCCAGGTATTTTTAATGAAAATATGGGGTACTCGTCAACACCCTACCCTCCATTTCCCATTGGGTTTGAATGGGTCCGATTCTACACGCCTGCCGGCCCCATGGTTGTGTGCAATCAGTTGCTGTTGTCAACACTCACAGACAGAGTTTGCCTCCTCCCAACGTCCTAGATTCTTCATCTCTTACCAGATCCTTTCCTCTTTCCTTGCATTCTTCATCTCTCCTTGGATTCTTCTTCCCTTCCCCGACCTCTCTCATCACCTTTCCTTCTTTCACTATGCTGCAGTTCCATGTAGTTTTGGATTTGCGTGGCTGTGTCAATGTCCATTCTTCTGCCAGGGAAGCGACCTCCTGTTGGAGCAGATTCTGCTCTGCCAACGAAACTTGAGAGCAAGTTTTGGCAGTGAATTCTCTTTGCAGTATTGTGTTTTTGACATCCTTGTTGCATTGCCAGAGCTGAATTCATCGTCCTGCTGCAAGGGCGTTTTCTTTATCACCTGGTCTAATCCTACATCACACTGACTCTGATAGCGGACGCACTCCCCTGGAGGCAGTGTATTCACAACTTGCTAATGAAAGCATCTATTCACTTGGTTGAGTCTGATCCCCCATACGTTCGGCATCCTGTCCACAAGACGTCAGATCGAAGCAAACAAGGGAGCATGCCTGACCTTCTCCATCTTCTGTACATGTTTTGACACCATTCGACCGCATGAAATCGCCTTGATCAAATCAAGTCACTCCCACGCCCGCTGGCATCACAGACAGAGCAAACCTCGGATACTGTAATTGAACAATTCTCAGCAATCCGCTCCCACTCCTCCCAGGTGATGTTCAGCTCGCTTTCCTTGGTCTGATTCCCAGCGTCACTTTCCAAACTTGCATCCATTTGCTCTTTTTTTGCAGCTTCTAGAGCTTCCAAGTTCTCAGGCGGCTCCGGGCCCTCGATCTCCTCCTCACTCATTATGGCCAATCGTTCAGCCAACGCTTTCTTCTCCATCTCCAGTATCCATTGGGTCTCGGTATTGTTGGCACTCGCGGGGCCGGGTTGCGTCTCCTCAGTCACTTGGGGGAACCAGATTTCTTCTTCTTCGGCATTCCGATCGTTGCTTACGTCAGCACCTATCATCAGAGAGAGCGAATCCATCCGGACCTTGGAGATCTCTGGATCAGTGAAAGAACTCTTCTTCATCAAGTCGATGACCATCTTGATGTCGATCGGGAGCGCTTCTCCGATCTGTTCAAGCTTCAACGCCGCCATGAGCATCGTTTCGAGGATCGGCTTCGAGTCTGCAAACCCCCAGTGGTTGATGACCTGCCAAGCAGCAATGACGTGCGGCATGGAGCAATGACGTCCGCCAAGGATGGCGTGTAAGACACATTTCATGACGTAGTGATGGGCGCACTCGTTCTGAGACAAAGTCGACATGTTTTGCCACTTCTCGTCTGGACTTGTTCCCTGCAAGACCCAAAGAAGAACATCGGATATGACAGGGTCTAGAACCTGGTTCGATCTTGCTTCTTCCAGGCAATCGAGTGCCTTGAAAACCATGTAAGCTAGTAGAAACACAAACATCATGTAGCATGTAGATCACTCACCCTCGACCTGACGTTCAATCCTTGCTTCGTGCAAATGATGACCACCAGACTCTCTAAGATGGCATAAACTTGAAACTCTGGGCTCATACCCTTTGCACGGATGTCTGATACCAGACGTAGTGCATCCTGCATGAAATCGACATTCGATCCTGTCGAATTTGTTGTCCTCGCCATGTTTGCGATGGACGACAGCAAGGCACAGTAGGAGAGCTGTGCATTCTTGCTGTTGTCAGTGTGCAATCTCCGCAGATCATTCATGCTTTCTGCCAAACTCACTGTTTCCGAGAACGTAACTTTGCCCATGTGGGCAAGTGCGATGAGCACGTTGAAAAGGTGTTGGAAAAGCTCATCTTTTGCATTTGCGCTGATTTGATCCTCATACATCCAATTTGCAGCCTTATCCACAAGCTCTTCCAGATCTTGTTTGTGCACTCGGCCGTCCCAAGCATCCGACTCTACCTGCTCTGCTTCCTTCACCAGGCACGAAGAGGTTTCTTGGTCACACACACCATTCCCCCTTAGCCGCAATGACAGAGAAATCCGGAATGATTGCTTGAGATGGAGGACAAGAGAAAAGTGTCCCATCATTCCTGTTCCTTGCATGCTTCTAGATTTATCGAAATGCACATCGGTTTGAATACGACATACCAGGCAAAGCAAGAATACGAAACAAGCTCTCGTCATCGTATGTCCCATCAAGAAGGAGTGGAGAGAAACATATCAACCAAAGAAAACTTCTTCCTGCATGAAACAGAGCTGGTCTCTTCCACCGCCTGCCTCCCCTTTTCACCGTGCCATCAACAGTGTACAGCAGTGTTAAGCCGGACTGTATGGTTATGAGGGGGATGAGGTACTCGATGAGCAACTACTGGCATGGCATCGGGCAACGAAAGGTCGCGCAAGAGAAGGAGGAAGGAGAGCGAGGGGGAGGAGAGAGAAGGAGATGAAAGAACGAGGCAGCGACGAAAGACGAGCGGCATATGCGATCACGGGCGGCAGCGATCGCGATGCAAGGACTGCAGGGGAGGGAGCATATGCGAGCACGGGCGGCAGCGATCGGGATGCAAGGACTGCAGGGGAGGGGGCATATGCGAGCACGGGCGGCAGCGATCGCAATGCAAGGACTGCGGGGGAGGGAGCATATGCGAGCACGGGCGGCAGCGATCGCAATGCAAGGACTGCAGGGGAAGCGGCATATGCGAGCACGGGCGGATCCGATCGCGATGCAAGGGCTGCGGGGGAGGGAGCATATGCGAGCACGGGCGGGAGCGATCGCAATGCAAGGACTGCGGGGGAGGGAGCATATGCGGGCACGGGCGACGGCGATCGCAATGCAAGGACTGCGGGGGAGGGAGCATATGCGAGCACGGGCGGATCCGATCGCGATGCAGGGGCTGCGGGGGAGGGAGCATATGCGGGCACGGACGGATCCGATCGCGATGCAAGGACTGCGGGGGAGGGAGCATATGCAAGCATGCAAAAGTTTGATCGTGGAACGTACAGAAATGAGCTTTTGTTCCGGGTATCAAGGAGTAACAGGGATGGTACTGCCGTGCTGTGCTCTACAAGCAGGAATCTGACCAGAGGTTCGAATCACATCGTACCAGAAGGTCCTGATCGGCTCAAGTCTGCTGGATTGCTGCTAGCTGGCCGCTGGACACTTGGGCTGATGGAACTTCGCATACGACAATAGGTTTATTATCTTCAAGATGGCTCAGTCTATCCCGAAATTGGATAGACTGGCACAGAGCTGTATCAAGTTGTCATTGGACTCGTAGTGGGTAGGCTCAGTGCGAATGACCTTCATCTGTTCAAAACTGAGGCATGGTGCGTTCAAGTACATAGTTGGTTGATGGTAATTCAATGCAACGGACCGGGAGTCCGGGCCCGTCCGATCAGTGAACCCGAGTCTCGAATCCCGGAGTCCTGCCGGCGCCGGGCCATGATTTTTCGGTCACGCAAAAAAAAGGAGTTTCCTTTTCAGGCAGGTATTAGTACCACCCTACCCCTGTATTTTAGACTCACCGGAAGAAGAGAATACGGGTGATGCAGGGGTACTGCATCCTGTCGCTGTCCTAAAGGAGAAATGCTCACGAGGCGAAAGACGCGGCAGCCGCAGCCTTTCAAGGCCGGGAGAGATCAGAACAGAGTGAGGGCAGACGGAAGCGAAGCTAGAGACGTGGATGACGTATCAAGTGAACGCTCGACTCCAAGGAAGCGAAAGAGCCCGACACCTCCTCTTGAAGTGAAGATAGGGCAGGCAAAGTTCCATGTTCACGACGTCGTGTGGGCGAAGATAAAGGGTAGCGGCCCATGGCCCGCAAAGATCGTGAAGTTGGAAGACGAGCAGGTAAGCTGAGGTAGGGTCTCTGTTCTTGAGACTTATCTGGTTTTGATAGGCGGAGGTTCAACTCTTCAAAGGCTCGACAGAAATTTTTGCAGTGAACGACCTGACTGCCTTCGGAGAGAAAGAAACTCTCAAGTTTCCGAGCAAGAAGACACAGAAATTTGTTAGCGCAGTCAAGGAAGCAGAGGAAGCGATGACTGCGGTCGAGGGCATCAAAGAAAATCTGGAGGAGGCAGGAGATTCTCATGAAGGGGAGGAGGATGAGTCGCATATGAGCGAGTACGAGAGGATGAGGCGGGCCAACATGGACCGCAACAAGAGCATCCTGCAGACTCTGCAGATCCCAGACGTGAGCATCTTCAAGCCTGTCGAGTCGAGCTCGACCGGTCGGTTGGCGCGTGTTCGAGGGCTGAAGAGCAACAGAGCAACCGAGGTTGTTCCTCCTCGTGAAAGGTCTCTGAGGCTGCAAGGAAAGAATCCTGACGGTGAGAGCATGGGACTGCCGGCTGATTGGAGGGAACCGACGAGGTTAAGACCTGTGATGTTTGATCCGCAAGAGCAGCAGGAGAGACAGGAAGGCGACATCGCCGTGAGCAAGTGTAAGATCAAACCTAGAAATTCTACGGAGGAGGAGGCAGAGGAGGATCTGCAGAAGACACTTGCTGTGCTCGAGAGGATGAAGACGCTGTCTATGCCGGCCGAAGAGTCGAGGGAGGGAGGAGAGGAGAAGCTGTCGCAGGACCAGTACCTTGCTGGCCTCCTTTCACTCTCAGTGGCCGAGAAGGATATGGCCAAGGTTGTTCCTGAGAAGATTTCCTCCATGGCAATCCATCCTGACGAGGCGAATGTGATCGTGGCGTGTGGAGACAAGAGGGGCAATATCGGGATCTTCACCCCCGATTGGTCGACAGGAGACGACTGCGTGTCGTCGTTCCGGGTGCATTCATCCGCTGTTAAGTGGTTACAGTTCAATAGTGCTGACTCGTGCTTGTACTCCGCTTCCTACGAGAACATCATCAGGCGGTTCGACCTTGCGCACATGTCCTTCATGGAAGTTCTCCGGTTGGAGGAGGACGACGACGCTTTCATAGCCTGTGCTGCCTTCCGGCATGACCGCCACAGCATCGTGTGCGGGATGGGTGGAGGGAGTGTGATGCTATTCGACAGTAGGAAGCCGTCAGAGAAGAAATTTCAACTTCACAACAAGACCGTCCGTTCTGTCGCCATCCACCCTGGCAACGATTTCCTGCTCATGACGTCGTCCGTAGACTGCTCAATGAAGTTGTGGGATGTAAGGAAGCTGACTGGAAAGCAGCACTTGATGAACTTGACTCATGGAGCTGGAGTCGTCTCTGCCACGTTCAGCAGGAGCGGCAAGTTTGCTGCTTCCCTGTCTTGGGACAACACGATCCGCATCATCGACCCGCAGACCTTCAACGAGCTGCACTCAATGCAACATAACAACCAGACTGGTGAGGTGACGACGAAGTTGATGGTGAAGTTGATGGTGATGGTGAAGTTGATGGTGATGGTGATGGTGATGGTGAAGTTGATGGTGATGGTGATGGTGATGGTGATGGTGATGGTGATGGTGATGGTGATGGTGATGACGGTAGATGAAGTTAGTGATGATGTGATGAAGGCTTAGTTGCATTGGTAGTGAGAACTGGAGGAGGAGGAGGAGGAAAGGGAGGGGAGTAGATCAGACTAAGAGAGAGGTAGGAGATGGGGCGATGAATGATCTAGTTCGGCACAACAGGACGATGGCTGTCGACGTTTGGCTGCTCCTTCGACCCCCTCCACGAGAATTTCTTCATCACCGGCTCCATGGCAAACCCTCGCGTGCTCGACGTGTTCGACGCCTCACGAGGGAAGAAGATTCGACAGCTGAAGCATGAGGTGAGCTGTTAGTCTTGTAAGGTTTGGAGAGTGAGAGCTGAGCAGAACTATGTGAGCATCACGTCTATCAACGTCTTCCATCCTGCTCGGAGAGTCATTGCAGCAGGAAATTCGAGTGGGAAGGTCTTTGTGTGGAGAGAGGAGCAGACGGAGTGAGAGGAGGGAGCGGGTGAGGGCAACGGAAATCAGCTGCAGGGATGTCATGAGAAATGTGATGTTCTGATTTTGCGGATGACAAGAAGTTGCTTTTCCAGCACGTTTGTTCATAGGAGGTCAAACAGTGCCTTCCTGCGCCGATTTGTGACTCCCAGGAACACGAACAGGGCTGAGGAAAGATGATCAGAGCAGATAGAGTGAGAACAGCACTTCTCGTTTACCTTGTGGTATCAAAACTCTTCAGGAATGTTTCATACTTGTAAGATGATGTCAGTAGATTATAAGAACCTTGACGTAATAAACCTGATTCAAGAGAGATTCCCGGACGCTGGCAGCCGGCTTCATCAACTTTATCTTCAAAAGTGTCAAAGCTCCATCAAAAGCTGTTGAAGAGCTTCACTTGTTGCGCCTTGTACACGCTCTTCCCTTCGGCAGTCTCGATCATGATGGGAGATAGTCTGCATTTCCATCATCATGACAGCCATCGGGCCTTCACCTCCTCACCCGTAATCTCTCGCATCGTAAGGTGAAGCCGCGACATCCAGCTGACCAAAGAAGATCAGAAGTTTGCACGGCACTCATTAGAAACGCTCACTGTGCGAGACATTATGCTGACTTCAAGTGCATCAGCGAGAGTTTCTGTGCGGACATGTTCAGCTTGGAAACTCCTTCACCGACACAGCGTGCAACCTGCTTCTCCGAAGGGAGAGAGCTTGATCGCAATCTTCAGCAGATCCATGGAGCTGTGCAAGCACGCTGGGTTCTCGAGCAGAAGTTGATTCTCTCTCGACAGAAATGAGGGATCTTTGCGTTCACGATAGCTCTCAGCTCAAGTCATCTTATTTCAACTCATGGCTCCTACCATGCTTGTTCAGCTTCTTTGCCGCCGGTGCGAAGAAGCGTAGGGCATCGAAATGTGTGCAACAAACAACGCTGAGAAATTCGGTAGTCAGCACCAAAAGACAAGAAGACAACCACCGAGCTTACTTTTGTTCAACAGCATCGTTGATAACTTGTTGCGATACTCTCAGCTTGAGCTTCTGATAAGATCTTCGGATTCAACCAATCAGACTTCCAGTAACCCTCATCCAGAACTGTCTCTGTCTCTATCTTGCTTTCTCTCGCTCTCTCCTTTCTCTCTCCTTCCTTTCCCTCCCCCCTCCCCCCTCCATCCAGCCTGCCTCTGCCTCCGTCTCACTGACCGACTGGGAGGGTCAGGTTCGCCCTCTGGCTGGTATTGCATCGCCCACTCATGCAGTCCATAGCAATTCAGCACTGTAGGATCAAAGACTTGAGCTCAATTTTTCTCTCCTCCCTCAAACTTTCACCGGGGGCGTTCGCAGCTGTCGACGCCAAGATCGACTTGTACCAGTTGTACGTGGCAAGCTCATCGGCACTCCTCAGCTCTTGCAAGCTGTACACTAGCCCTCGCTTCCCCATCTCCTCATGAGTGACGAACGTGCCCTTGCTGCAGAGCAAGGCTTCCTCAACATCCTCCTCTGACGCGTTCTCAAGGAACACCTGAAACTCGCGGGCGTCAGCAGCTGTCCCTCCTCCCAGCAACAGCTGAAGACGTTCTCTCACATTGAAGCCTGGACTCCACCTGGCAAGTCTCTTGGTGCCTTTCCTTCCTCTGACGTTGTAGTATTCCAGCAGGAAGTTGTAGATGGGGTTGTGGGGGTCAAGGGCGGCAAACTCTACAGCACTGTCTCCTCTATCTGAACTCTCCTTCCTCTCCTCTCCTCTGAGGAACCCCGGTGAGAGCAGCTCGTAGACTCTCTTCCTGTGCGCCCAGACTTTTTCCCTCCATGTTTCCTCGTTGAGATATGCCGCTTGGCTTCTTAGAGAGTAGAAGAGTCGGTTCTTAGGTTTCAGGTGGTTGAATCCTTGCAGGGGAGAATGGAAGCAGAAGACAGCGTAAGCATTCTTCAACAGCATGAGGATAAGGAAGACAATATTTCTCTCTACACCCATCAAACTTCAATTTATGTCTATATCTTCGGATTTCTGTGTTGCTGCTTCCCAATTTGGCCAAATACGATCATCGTTTGCCCTTAACCAATCGTCCCCATGGTTGCCTGCACCTTCTCCTGCTGCTGATCCTGCTGCTCCTGCTGCTGTACCTGCTCCTTCTCCTGCCCCTGTTCCCTTGCTGCAGCTCGTGCTCTGCTTGCTATCGGTTCCTTCCAGTGCTTTGCACCCCATCATCAATATCCATGAAATAAAAATAATATTTCTAATGAGTCAAATTTCAAATCTTTGAAATAGTCTTATTAATTTTCAAAGTTTATGATAAATATTGTTAAGATTTGGTCAACTTGAAATGTGGTATATGATAGAGTTACAGTAAACATTATATATTGCAATCCCAAACAATAAAATTGGGGGAGTGAATGATGGCTGACCTGTGCGGCCCCCGACTGAGCGCAAAATGCAGCGCAAGATGGTGGGGGTGCAGTGTCAGCGATGTGGTGTAAAGAGGAGGGAGAGGGGAGGGAGAGAGGAAGGGGGAAGGAGAGAAGGGACGAGAAGGAGAGGAAGGGTAGGGGATGTGAGGGGAAAGAGGAAGCGGGGGGGTGAATGCAGAGTGAATTCAGGGGAAGAGGTTGGTCGGCAAGCAGGCAGGTCCGGCAGTTAGAGAAAGCTCAAGGAGACACAGGGAGGGAGACTGTAATAACTGCAGCAAATACAAGAAATGATTTCGAGTGCTTGATGATTTTTCTTGAAGGACGCAATGAACCGAAAGATTTCTTTGAAAGCAAGTTGGGGAGCAGGTAAACAACATGAAGAAACCATTGATCCCTTTCACATTCTTGACATCTTTACAGCTTTCTTGGCCTCGCTAAGTTCATTCGTCTTGTACGCTGATGCTTTCTCCTTGGTGAATCCGGGAATCTCTCTCACTGCTAGAAGAGACTTCACTAAGAAGTCCTGTCGTCCCTTTCATCGCTACCGGAATCTAAACTGTCTGCGGCGTCCATGCAGCATAGCACTTTCGTCATGTGCAGTCAGCGGTGACAGCATGACTTCTCCTGATCTTCTCCATCATTCTGTTAATGCAGATGAGGTGGATTCGAAAGAAGTGTACTTCCCAAAGACAGCGAACACGATCTATGCTCTTTCAACGCCAGTCGGAGTAGGAGGTTGAGAGAGAACAAGGAATGTTGTAGGAGGCTAACATGACGTTCAGGCATCGCCGTCATCAGAATCTCGGGTGAAGACGCTCTCCCTGCATTACAGGAGATGAGCAAACCTGGTAATAAGAGTAAGGGAGCAGAAGGAGCAGGAGCAGGAGCAGGAGCAGGAGCAGGAGGAGAAGGAGGAGGAGGAGGAGGAGGGATCAAACGTATCTTAGGCTCTAAAACTCCAACTCCGAGATATGCAACTTTGCGATCCTTGTATGATCCAGGTGCGCTACCAAGAAGCGATCTTCTCTCCTTGCTCATGGTTTGCAGAGAGCCGGGAGCTGTTGGACAAGTCACTGATCTTGTTCTTTCCGGTGATGACTTGCGTTCTGCTGCAAGGTGTTTGTAACAGGTTTGACAGGGTCCAAACAGCTTCACTGGAGAAGTGAGACAATATGATGATGATGATGATGATGATGATGATGATGATGATGATGATGATGATGATGATGATGATGATGATGATGATGATATTACAGGATGTGGTGGAGCTGCACGTGCATGGAGGAGTCGCGATCGTCAACTCAGTCTTGGACGCGTTGAGCAAGATTGAAGGACTTCGATTAGCTCAGAGAGGAGAATACACAAGAGTGAGTTGAGGGCTGAAAACGGAGCAGGGGTGGAGGGGGGAGGAGGGAGGAGAGAGGAGGGAAAATAGAAGTTGATGGGGAGAGAGTGGAGGGAAGGTGAAGACGAAAGCAGGAGGGAGAGAGGAGGCAACGAAGGAAAATTTGAGTTTGACTGCGATGTTGGTATCAGCGTGCTTTAATGAACGGGCGGATGGATCTCTTGGAGGCTGAAGCATTGAGTGACTTGATCAACGCAGAGACGAAAGGTAAGGGGGAGGGGAGGGGGAGGGGAGGGGAGGGGAGGGGAGGGGAGGGGAGGATGTGATGATAATGCAGGGCAGCAGAAGCAAGCCTTGGAACAGGTGAGTGATGATGATAATGACAAGGAGGAGGAGGAGCAAGTGGAGGAGGAGTTGGTGGTGGTGGTGGTGGTGGGGGAGGAGGAGGAGGAGGAGGAGGAGGAGGAGGAGGAGTAGTAAAATCTTCAGATGTCTGGAGGAGCGAAGAAGCTTTATGAGGCATGGCGCACAGATCTGCTCAAGTTTGAAATTTCATTCCCGTCTGCTTTGTGATCAATCACAGGGCTGTCGCTCACATCGATGCCTATATTGACTATGGCGAGAGTGACGGTCAGAAGATTTTCTCCTCCTGCGCATGCACCTTCTTCCCTTCCTTCCCCTCGTTCTCCTCCTCCTCCTCCTCCTCCTCCTCCTCCTCCTCCTCCTCCTCCTCCTCCTCCTGCACCTTCATATTCTAGTTCATCTTTCCCCCTCCCGACACACACAGACTCTTGCTACTTCTGCCCTTCAGTGATGTTTGACTTTGCAACTTTCAGGCATAGAGGAGGACGAAGTTATGATTCCCGTTCGGGCGGTTAGAACTTTTCCTTCTCAATTCTTTGTCATCAGCCCCGGCAGGACGTCGGGAGGATTTACGACGAGGTAAACACGCACCTTGCGGATGGACGACGGTGAGATATCAACCCCTCAACCTTGCCTTTACCTACCCTTCCCTGCCCTTTCTTTCCCTTCCGCCTTCTTCTTCTCCATCCTCGCTCTCCCCCTCGTACTCTCTTACTCTCAAAACTGCCATCTCTTCATCTTTCTCACCTTTCACTTCCCTTCATTCCGTCTTGCCTTGCCTCCTCTCTCTGACGGGCGAGCAGAGGAGAGGCAATCCGCACGGGCTTGAGGTGACTTCACTGCTTCTCTCCGCTCTCTCACACCAAGAGGAAGGTGTACTCTTGTGGGCCCTCCCAACGCCGGCAAGAGCTCGCTGGTACTCTCTGACTTGCCTCCTCTTCCTCTATCCATCTGCTCGCTTTTTCATCCCTCGTATCGCTACATGACCCTGACAAACTCTCTCCCCCTCCATTGTTTCCTCCTCCCTTTCCTCACCCTCGTTCTATCCCTTAGCTCAACGTCCTCGCTGCTCGCCCTGCTGCCATCGTTTCCTCCATCCCGGGAACCACAAGGGATATTGTCCAGGTAAGCTTTCCTCCCCTGCCCTCCCCTCCCTTCCTCCCATCTTCTCCTCTGCCTTCCTCTGTTCTCCCCTCCTCTCCTCTTTCCACCGCTCCTACCTTCAGTCCTCTCCTTGTACCTCAGACCTGAGCAGGTTCGACTGGAGCTCGGAGGTCTACCAGTCATGGTCGATGACACAGCAGGTGAGAGGAGGATGGAGATTTCTCTCGTCACCCTCGTGAAGGCCTTCGAGTCGATTCCAGCGACGAGATCGAGCGGGAGGTGATTTGCATGACGTGTCCTCCTGCTGCTCCTGCTCCTGCTCCTGCTCCTGCTCCTGCTCCTGCTCCTGCTCCTGCTCCTGCTCCTGCTCTACCATCTCCTCTAAAACTTCCTGTTCGTCCAGCGCCACCACTCTTTTGTTTTCCTTCCCTGCTGCTTTCTCCACCTTTTGTCTCTGCCGGCTGACTTGTCAGTCAGGGCATGAGAAGGTCTGCGATGAGCTTCAAGCAAGCTGACATCCGCATCCTCGTTCTCGATGGTGATTGAACCGCATGCTGAGCCGAAGTTCGTTCGGGAGTCGCAGAACGAGGAGATGGGAGGAAGGGGGAGAAGGAAGGAATGTAGGACGAAGAGGGGGAGGTCAAGGATGAGGACGAGTGCGAAAGAAGGAGAAACGGGGAGGAGGAAGAAGATGGAAGAAGAAGGAGAGAAGGGGGAGGAGGATGAGAGGTAGTTCAGGGGGAGAATCCACAACTTTGATCCACAAGAGTGCAGGAAACCAGATGATGGCAGAGGACAGCGTGTCGCTGCTTCAGCTCTTGAACGAGATGTACAAGGAGGTCTACCATCCCACTCCTTCCTTTCTTCTCTCTTCTTTCCGGCTTCTTTTTCCTTTCCCTCTCCTCTTCTTCCCCTCCAGTACCCCGACCAACAGCTTCTCTGTTACTCGTTTCCTTCCTGATGATCGCAAGACTCTTTGTAATTGTTGCCTATTGACAGTTCAAGACGGAGCTGGAGGGAGACTCGAAATTTGATGTGGGCAAGGTGAGGAGAACTTAGGGAGAGTGGGGGAGCAGGGAGCAGGGAGCAGGGAGCAGGGAGCAGGGAGCAGGGAGCAGGGAGCAGGGAGGGAAGAAGGGAAGGAAGACAGGGAAGAGATTTGAAGAGTGTTCAACTGAAACGCGCACGCAGACAACAGTTGGGAACTGGGGATGGTCGAGGAAGGCGAAAGAATTGATTGAGGAGGAGGAGGAGGAGGAAGGAGTCGGGTGAGCGGAGTGGAGGTCCGCGGCAGCTTCACTGAAGGAGGGGAGAGACAGGGAGGGGAAGCTGCTGGTTGTCCTGAACAAGGTGGACCTGATCAAGAAGGCAGAGAGGAAGGATGGATGGAGGTCAGAACGAAGAGCTCTCCTCTCCTCCTCGCCCTGATGTCCATGGGCTACAGGCAGGAGCTCACTGAGGAGATCATGTCTCGCCTCCACAAGGTACCGTGACCAACTGGGCCCCAGCTGAGTCATGACACCATCTTTCCCCTCTTTCTCCAGCTGACAGGCAGCGAGATCGAAGTTCACTGGATCTCCTGCACGACGCGCGAAGGGATCGACGAATTTATCGATGCTCTCAACTCCAAGGTGAGTCCGGAAGGTCTCGAGTGCCGAGTGACTGGAGGTTGGCAGGTAGAGGAGACGACCATGTCGGAGGACGAGGCTCCGCTGATCACCCGAGGTGCGTCCTCCCTCTCCCCACTTGCACTTCTCTTCTCCTCATCTCCCCTGCCCCCCTTGCTCTTCACCTTCTACCTCTCCCTCACCTAGTCGGCAGCGAGACATCGTGAACTGCTCTCCTCCTGCGCTGAGACTCTAGAGCGATTCCTCGAGACCCAGGTTCCTGTCGGATTCGCAGTGGAAGACTTGACGGAGGCGCTGGTAGCTGAACTTCCATGCACAAAATTGAGCTGATACCTGAGCAGGATCTAATCGGGCAAATTACCGGAGAGGTGAATGTTGAAGAGGTGCTTGATGTCGTCTTTAGAGACTTTTGCATCGGGAAATGAGAATGAGAGAATGAAATTGACCGTAATCGCTCTGCTGACTTGTCGGAGGGGGTTTCATTGTTTTCATTCTTTAGGCTGTCACTGCGCTTGATTCTTTCAAGAGACAAAGTTTACCGAGGAGACCAGAGACCTGGTCAAGAGAAATCAAATCTTTGAATCTCGTATTCGACGAGTTTACCTGGACAAGAGAATCTACTCCTTCAAGAACCCTCATATGATAGATGCCGATCTCCTGAAGGGAAGTAAGTAATCACTATCGGAATCAATAGGAACAAAATTTAGAACCTTGAGGAAGTCAAGTTTACTCTTCTCTGGCATGTCCATGTTCCTGGTGACCTTGAAGATTGTCTGCACGGAATTGAGTCGAAGTTTCATTCTCTCAGCACTATTGTAACCTGCACGATGTCTTGTGCTGAATATCCCCGCTGCCAAAGATCTTCTAGTTTCGAGTGTGCGTTCTTGATGTCTCCAGTCAGGCATGATTTCACGATTTGAATCGCTGTTTTCGGATGAGGTTGATCACAAACCTAGCAATGCAGAATGACTACCAAATGAGAAGACAGATCGCGAATCTCCTACCTTGAACACTGACTCTTGATTTACAATTCCAAACCCATTGGCAGTACTCTGCAACGAATTGACTGCTTGTCGCATATCGCCATCCGCAGTGAAGATGAGAGCTTCGAGGCCATCCGTGGAGGCCAAGACCTGCAGCAAACAACGTCAGCATGTCTGCCTGCCCAAACTTGCATCTGCACGCACCTCTTCCTTCTCACAGATATCTTGGAGCCTGCTGAGAAGTTCTTTGTCTGACAACTTGGCAAATCGCAGGATGGCACATCGACTCTGAATGGGCTCGATGATTTCAGAAGAATTGTTACACGCCAGCGCGAATCTGGTCGTGTTAGAGTACAACTCCATTGTGCGTCTCATGGCCTGCTGGGATGCCGAAGTCATGCTGTCCGCCTCGTCCAAGATGATAATCTTGTGTCTCCCCGGAGGTAGCGTGACCTTCTGCTGAGCAAACATCTTGATCTTGTTCCTGACGACATCAATTCCTCTGGGAGGAGCAAGAGTGAGCGAGATCCTAGCATGCTGCTGTCAATCAGTGAGCGAACCTTTCATCCGAGGCGTTCAGTTCCAGCACTCCTTCCTTGAAGGAGTCCCCAAGAAGCTCTCGAGCTAGCGCAAGCACGCAAGTCGTCTTTCCTATTCCGGGCGAACCCTATACTACAAGTGAGTGGCAAAGACAGATAATATAAGAACGCACAGTTAACAGCAGGTGAGGCATATTCCCGTCTTTAGCAATCGCCTGGAGGCGTGCGACGGCATCTTCGTTGCCAACAACTTCTTTCAAGGTTTGTGGCCTATACTTTTCCACCCTGGAAGATACAGTGAGCAACAGAAAGAGGAGACACTTCGAGGAAGACGAAGAGGTGAGGCAGAAGATATTTTGTAGTGTGAATCCATCTAGCATGATTCCTGCAGCCTCAGCCTCTGGGGTCGTGCGATCCCGACACATTTTCCTTCGCACCCTCTCAACTTCTGACGATGAACTTCATCTACCTCCCCTCCCTCATCACATGGTCTTGCCCAGCTCTTGTCTTCGTCCCTTCGTCTTCTTCCTCCCTTGTCCCTCTCTCACCATGGAAGCGACGCAGCCGCGTTCGCAGACGGTAGCGGCATAGTTGGCGGGAAAAAGACGGGCTACCACCCCGGGTTCGGTTCATCAATTACACTACCCCACCGTCTATTAAAGCAGAAAGTACCCCCTATATCACCCCGCCGGGTGAGCTGAAATGGGACCCTAGAATCTTGACCTCCTCCCCTAATATGCCCAAGGAGAATGAGGGTGATGAGCTGACCGCGTAGCATGGACTGAAGGGGGTTGTAGTTTGGCCATGTCGACGAAGGAGGAAGAGGAGGAGAGGGAGGAGAAGGGGAAGCAGCAAAGCTCAGAGCTAGATGACTTGCCGTCCTCCTTGATCGTAATCTTAGACCTCAACCAGGCATCATGGACAGAGAGCACGGCCAAGGGAGGTCCGACAGTGATTGAAGCGCTCGAAAGTTTGTTGACCTTTCTGCGGGCATTTTTCATGCTCCATGGAGGAAACACAGTCACTATAATCGCAGCTCATCCATATGGCAGTGAGTTCCTCTACCAATCGCCTGCCCTGCAGAGAAGCAAGGCGCATGGACACCAGCAGTCAGGGGCCCTGGAGATGGACGAGATAGACCACAGACTGCACGAGAAGATTGTATCTCTTTCAAAGTCGTTGAAGTCGAAATCCTCCCAAGAAAACTCTGACTCAAGTATGAAGTGCTCGCTGCTGTCGTCTGCTTTCGCTCTCGCGGCCTGTACTGTCAACAGAATCTCGTCGCACAAACTGTTGAGAATGCTTCCGCGTGTGTTGGTGTTGACAGCGAGCACGGAACTTCCCTCGCAGTACATCCCCATCATGAACTGCATCTTTTCTATGCAGAAAGCGAATGTCCTCATCGATGCCTTGGTGGTTTCAGACGGAGACTGCTCATTTCTCCAGCAAGCAGCTGACATCACCAATGGCGTCTACCTGCGGCCTGAGCTGTCCAAAGTCGGAAGCTCACCAGGAGCGCTGCTCTCTTGGATGATCTCGGTGTTCCTAGGAGACAAGCACACCAGGTTTCTTAATGCAGATTCGCAGTCGCGGTCAACCTTGCTCCGACTGCCCCAGGCGCAGGATGTTGACTATCGTTCGTCGTGCTTCAAGACAGGTCAGCTGGTGGATGTTGGATTTGTTTGCAGCGTTTGCCTATCAATATTTGCCAAGTGCGATTTCTTCATCTGTCCCACCTGTGATTCAAAGATAGCGCTGGATAGACCGGCAGGAGCTGCTGTAAACAAGAAGCGAAAAGTAGCGGCCGGTGCTCAGAAAGGAGACGATACAAAGTGAGGTGAGGTAGAGCAGATCAGCGGTCAAAGTTTGTTTTTCAGTATAAGCATTCATCATATTAACATATCATTCCAATGGTCTTGAACTCTTCAAGTTCCTCACTTCTTCGGTCAGGCTCACCAGAGCTGCCGACATCGTCTTGGTCTGCGTTTGCACTTCTTCAATCATTCTCTGCTGCTGTTGTAGTGATTGTTGTTGGCATTCTATCAGCCCCTGCAGCAAGGAGAGAACCTTCTCTGACTTGTCAACTTCCTCATGCAGCCTCGAGTCCTCCTGCCCTCTCGAGCTCGTGGAGGGATTTAATTTCCTCCTCTCCTGGGCTGAGTGGGGTTCCATGACAACGTGCTCGTTGACAGCATCCGGACAGGGTTTCGTCTCAGCCTGCTGGTCCTCGCACACATTGGGATCCAACTTCTCCCCAATCTCTGCTTTCTTGTCGAAGATCTCCTTGGCCAACCTGAGGTGCTCAAAGTTGCTCTGGGCTCTCACAAGCGATGGGACAAACAAGTTGAAGAACTTGAGGATAAGGTACTTCGGTGCCCACTTGGTTCTGATCTCACTCTGGAAAGGTCGGACGTAGTTGATGATGCGCAAGCCAGGGATACCGACCAGAAGGATCAAGATGGTTGAGAGCACGTAGAACCCTTTCGACTCGAACTCTCCGACATGCACCCACGCCGCGCTTGCGGCTGCCACCCCAAGGGGCAGGATTCCTCCTATGAAGGTGAGCACGAGGATCCAGATCGCAACATCGCCGAATTGACAGATTGTCCAGAAGGCGTCAGACTCTCGGACGATGAGAGCGCTTGTTCCTGTGATGAACAAGGAGAAGACAATCGTAGCGAAGTGCATTATGACCGACAGAGCTATGCACCAGTAGTACCTTTGCGCGTACTCTGGAACTTCATCTTCGAACCCACCAGTCTTGAGATCCATGAGTGCAGCAAAAACAAGGTCTGTCAACGAGGTGTTTGAGTTCTGTACAACATCTGCAGGTCCATTCATGGTGGCATTGCCCCCTGGGATTTTGGTTCTGTTAACGATGCTGACCAAGCGAGTCACCAGGTCGTCTGTTTTGATGACTCCTTTCGCGTCATCTACAAAGTCATCAACCTCTGATAGCAGGATGGATACAGTGAAGCTTAGAAACAATGCTGCATACGTCGCGAGGGTCTCCGCTACGCAGGTAAGATTTTTCAAAGCAAGCTCGCTCCCATGAATCAATGCAAAGACGCCATGCCTTGTGGCAGCGCCGCTCCCCTCCATGATGTCATCAACCAGTCTCCGCGCAGTATGCATCCCAGAACATTGAGACCAGCATCGCAGGTACTCCTCGTCCTTGAGCACAGCGTTGTTGCAGGACTTGAGACAACCGTCCGAGAGGTCGGAGGAGGAGTCATCAGCCACATGCTCTGCGGCCTCGCTCAAGAGATGCTGAGACAATGCTGGCGAGATCTCACTGAGACCTCCTCTCGATCCCGGGAAGATGTGGCACCTCCTCGTTATCTGCGACATGCTCCCTCCTCGCTCTCCTCCGCAATGAAAATGCACTTCTCTTTCAACGTTCTGCCTTCCCATCACACTCTGAGGCGGACTGTTCCGTAGGGAGAGGGGCGGGAGCGCATGATGGCTGGGCAGGCGCCGATACGACAGCCGAAACATGCCGCGCTTCCTTCGATGATTCGTTGAGATGTTTACAGGCTACAAATAGTATATGAGATGAAATGAGATGAGATGAGAGTAGATGAGATGAGATGAACGAGTTTTGTAAATGAGAATGATCTCAAACGTATCCAGCTAGTAGATTTAAGCTCCAATCCAAGCTTCGACCGCCATGTTCAGCTCGTCGTCGCCTTCAGGCTCAAACAACAGCACCAAGTCAGATGTCGAGTGGGTCTTCAAACACGACAAACTGGCCATGATTTGCCTCACATCCCCATGGCTACCTGAATCCTATCTGTCGAACGGAATGGAATTTCTCAGCAGGGAAGCGAAGGATAAGCCGTCCATGCGCGTCCTCGTGGTCTTTCCGTGCGAGGGAAGCCATGAAAGGGAGCCAAAAGCCCTTCAGAACCTCAGGAGACTGCAAAATATAAGGAGAATGATTAATTCCTCCATCGAAGCTGTGTGCAAGGAGATTGGTGAAGACTCGTCCAAGCTCGCGTTGCCGACCATGCTGCTGGTGAAGAACTCGAGAGTCGTTGCTAGGATAGCTGGGCTGACGAAGGGAGATATATCCAAAGCTGTTGATATGATGGCAAGTGATCACCCGAAGAATCCTGGAGCAACTTCACCAGGGATGAAGCAACCTGTTTCAAAACCTGCCAATGTTGTAGGAGGAAGTTTGACGTCCGACTCTGGACAGAAATCTCTGGAGATTCCAGCAGAAGTCTCACTGTGCCCACAAGCAACATCTAATCTGTTCGAAGTTGTTCTCAAGAACGCACAGGAGGCCGAACAAGAAATGACTACCATCCACACGGCTCTGATGAATCAGAAATGGGAGAGTGCTTGCAAAACTGAAGACATAGAGAGCCTGGACCACTTGAGGAAACGGACTTCCGCATTCTTCAAGAGAGGGAAAAAATCTTTCCCAGATGGTGCAAGAATCCATAACAAAGTTGAAGAAAATCTGGCAAAAGCAGAGTCGATGCTCGAAGATTGCAAGAAACAAGCTTTCCTCCATGAAGAGAATGCTTCCTCTAACAATCTTGCTGGTGGTAAGGTAGGAGCTGATGCAGAATGGCTAGCGAATGAGTTAGAGCCCCTGAAGAAACTGATCGAGAACGACGGTACAAGCAACAACAACCTCCGATCGTCCCCGCTTGCAAGGCAGGTCATGCTGCGGTCTTCTCAATCTCCTTCACCAACTTTGAGGGCAATCAACATGAAGAGCATGATCACAGCAATGGATGAGCTCGACATAGCAAAACCCGTACCGCGCAGTTTGGTTCTACAACCGTTTTTGGAGGCGGCAGACAAAGACTCCGTCATGCGACTGACTACTTCTGCTACTTTGCGTCGGGATTCCGAAGACAAGACGAGGTAACCTTTGCACATTGCTGAGGTAGGGGGAATTGACGTGGATATGCAGAAGGCCGAAGGAGGAGAGAACGGCAAAGCAGAAGCTAATGACGACTTTGAAATCAAAGCTGTTCACATGAACAAAAAAGTGCGTCAACAAACCAACTACGGCATTCCACACACAGGTCATAGTCTGCAGCGTGCACAACGGGGCAAACAATTCAAATCGATGTCAGCCATATTTATTCGTGCTCCTGCTTCATTGTTGAAAATAATCGTTTATTCCTTGTTTGCGAAGATCTCGCAGGCGATACGATCCAAATCCTGTGAAGTATGTGAGATACTGCAGCCTTATCACACAATGAAGCCAACCTGCTGTCCCTTCTTGGTGATCCTCCTGCCCCCAGCCTTCTCTGGCATCTTCTCCAACACTCCAATCTGGCATTCCAGCACGTCAAAAAAGCTAACAGTGCTGGAATACTCTCACATTCTCGAGCTCCTGGAGGGCCTTGCGGAGGATTCCTCGTGACGCTCTGGTGAAGTGGCCTGGGAGAGTTCCCCTACGCTTCTTTCCTCCAAAGACCTTAGAAAATCCACCAACTCCGGTTCCCTGGCGAACGTAGAGGCGGCGAGCGAGGGCAGCTGAACGAGAAACGTCACAAAGAGAAGTTCCCATCAATCAAGTGTTGTTATACCGCATCGAACGTAGAACCAGTTGTCATTGTAGGGAGCAAGTTCCTTCATGGGTCCAGTCTTGATGAGGTCAAGCATTTCAGGAAGCTTGATCTTGTCCTGCTTCTTGAGGTACGCGGCATAAGCCTTCACGAACTCATGAGGGCTAACATCCTTCACGGTCACTCCAGGCATCCTGAAACCAGTACATGAGACGTTCATGGAAATATGGAAGCGAAGAGTGAAACACAATGTTGCATCGCATTAGAAAGTAAACTCCTGAGCTGATGGGAAATTATGACAAGAAAAGTCGACAAACATATACGGCAACGTTTCGTTCATGCGCTGAGGTCCCAATATCACGAATTCAAGGCTGATCTAATGCCACACAAATCATTGACATCATTCAAATATACGTCTTGAAACAAAATCATCCTAATCACTGAGTTGAATGCTCAAATAAGAACATTCAAGGTTCAAGTATTGATCAATTCTGTGTTTCCTTTCCAACATTGCTGCTTACTTTCGGCACAACGATATCTACTTTCCCCTCACTGTCTCAACCACTGAATATCTTTCGTTCATGATACTGTGCTGAAGACTAGAACAACTCAAGTGCTTCCTCTGACCTCTGTCCTACTCCTCCACACCCTTGCCTCGCTCTCCCTTTTCTGCATCATCTCCAGTTCAGGCACGCACACGAGCGAGGAGGAAAAAAAAAAGGACCCCCACCCCACCTCCTGTTTGCAAATTTATCTAATAGCCCACCCACCCACTCTATACATAGAGTGCATCAAATAGGCATGTCAGAAGGGTCATCTCATTTAATTAAGAGTCCATATAATTGATTGACAGGGCAGCAAGAATGTCTGGCGGGGGCCCACTCTTGGTTTTTGGGTTTAGTTTGGGTTTTAGGAAGCATCAGATCTTCAGGATGTGGGCCGGCAAAAATCAAATAAATAAACAGTGGAGTTATCCACGAACCATTCACTTTTCCATGAATTGACAAAAATTCTATATGTATTGAAATCACACTATGAAACTTCATGATACACTATGCACATTTCCCAAATTATGTGTCAGATATCCTACACCGATACCCCTCCCCGATACTATAAAACTCAGACAGTGGAGCAGCACCAGGAAGTACCATGTCCTCGAAGTCAGGCAACATGAATGAGCGTGAAGAGAAGAGACGGAGAATGCAGGAGCCGAATCCTCCTCAGTCATTGCCTCCCGAGGAAGAAGAGGAAGCGGAAGAGGAAGAGGGAGGAGGAGAGACTGAGAGCGAGGAGGAGGACGACATGGATGTGTCTAGACTGTACATGGACAACATAACGCAGTTGCGACAGCTCCTAAAGTGCATCCATGGTGTGGTGCCACAAAAGTATGGTAATGAATTCGCACAAATTCGTGACCAAGGTGCACAAATGGAGCGATTCCTGGAAAAGAAGAAAGTGTGTTTGTTTGGGACGAACGGAGCTGGAAAGAGCTTCTTGATCAATCTGTGGCTGATGCTCACGTCCTACCAACCAAGTGAGTACTGGGATGCAAACATGACTACTCCTGGTCAGAAATCCGAGAAGAAGCGCGAAGACATGGAAATCGAGTCACCAAGTGACGAGCAGATGAAGGTCGTCGAGTTCAAGAATGACATGTCTAGGCGCCCCAACGACATAAACGACATAATCCAAGGGTTTACACGGCTTCTTGACCCCGTGAAGAGCGAGGGAGGGAAGAAGCCTCCTGTCTACCTGCTGCCCAGCCGAAACAAGGGGTATAGCTTGACCCCGTGCACGATCACCATGGTTTTCCGCGAGCGATTCGAGATGGTTGTGGAATATCTGAGCAAAGATGAGCTCCTCGAAGATGTCGAACCTTGGATTGCATGTCAGAGAGGAGGAGAAGCCGCCAGAAGAGGTCATAAACTTCATGAAATGAGGGCGCGGTACAACAAAGTTGTCAAGGACCAATACAAGACTTCAAAAGATGGCAAGATCCCTGATCACATTCAAGGCAAGGAAGACGTGGAGATCAGGGCAGAGCTGGAGGAGCGTGCCGGTCAACGCCACGTGTATTCGGGCGCAGGAAAAGATCTTCACAATGATAGGCAGTACATACGTGACACCCTCGCCGAATTGTTGGCTCAGCCCGACATCAGGGTTTGCGTGAAATCAGTACAGATAGGAGTCCCAAGTCGTATCCTCCAAGATGTAGTTCATATTGCAGACTGCCCAGGTGACTTGTAGCTTCACTTGTGATGACTGGACATGCATTGATAGCTTTGACAGGGACAGATGAGGCGGATCCGTACTTGAAGCAAGCCACCATGACAGCAGTTGAGCAGCACGACGTGCTTGTTCTGCTTGCGAACAGATCTCTGAGCGCATGCGAGAGCAATCTCAAATTCCTTGAGAGCACAGACTTCCTCAGAAATATGGTGAAGTTCCCAGAGAATTTCAAGCTTGTTGTCTTTCTGTGCACCGAGAAGGACGGTGACTCTGGGGAAAGACACGAAAGCATCATCAACAATGACGTCGAGGTGTTGAGGGCCGATGAAGAGAATGCGATAGATCAAACCAAAGAATGTCTTACTGAGGCCTTGGAAAGGTGCTGTGAAAAAGAAGGATTCAGTGACGAGGATGCGTGTAAACGGGCCCAGGAAATGGTTGACTCAATCTTCATCTCTTACATTTACCCTTCCTTGTACACTGCAATAGAGTACAATAAGAAATGGAGGGACCAGAATGCAGAGAAAGTACCGAGAATCTTCACGCACGTGGACATCAATTCAATGATAGGCAGCATCTGGAAGTTGCAGGCGCAGAATCTTGTAAAACTTGCTCCTACCATGATCAGATCCATCGAAGAGTTCATAAACAAGGTGCAGCATGAAGGAAACGTTTCGACTGACCGGATCAAACCTCTTCGAGTAGATGAGCATTTGCTGAAGTCTGTTGAGGTGTTCAAAATGGTGAATAAGATCCACCGCAGGACCCGGGAGCGAGTAAGAAAGAACACTCAGCCTCTGGTAGACCAGCTGAATGCTCACATTAAGGTGAAGCAGGATGACCTGAAGAAAATCCTGCAGGACTTTGTTCGTTCCGGCAGCAACAGCAAATTGAAAATTGAGTTTCTCACAAGATTTCAGCATCTTTTGGACAACTTACCTATCACGGAGAAGAACAAGGCATGGCTCTCAAGCAAGTGGCTCGGAAGGGGAGACGAATGCTCGTTGTATCCAACAATGTCTGATTTCTTGAGAAAAAATTTGAAATTCGTCGAGCTAAAGGAGAGCATCGAAAAGCTTTTGAAAAACACAATACGTGAGGCAATGCCTTTGGCTTTGAACTTTATGCTGGAATCTGATTTCTATCCTGACTACAAGAAATCTCCCAACTTCAAGGACCTCTTGCACAAGTACTTCAAGTCAGACCTCACTGATGGAATCACCAAAGAGCTCGTCACTGGCTTCTTTGAATCTGGAAAAACTAGTCAGTATCTCTCCGAATGCAACTTCGAAACAAAGATTGTGAACGAAGCGCTCTTGCAAGCGCTCAGGAAGTTTTTGCAGATGTTTCAGAGAGACTTGAACAAGTTGTCCATCGCAGAATACAAAGCAAAGCTACGACAGGAAGCAACACTTCTTTTCGAGCTCTTCACTGCTGCCTACAACGATCAGATCTGGAGAAAGGCCAAGTACGCATACGCAAAATTCTCCAATCACCTCACTACAGTGAACAATGAGATCGTGGAAGTTTCGTTGCCAATCGCTTGCTATCAGTTCGCAGACTTCGTCATCGAATACGCAGAGAAGGGTCCATTCCACAAGATGGCAGCCGACATGCACACTATCATTGAGGTTTGCGGGAAGATCAAAACAGTCATCCCTGAGATGAGTGCGGATGTCTTGGTAGAAAAGATTGGCAACGAGGTGGCTGAATCGATCGTGAGGAGCAGGCTGGACAGAGAGCTCGAACAAGAGCAGAGAGCACACGGCAGTCTCCTGCTCGGACCCTCCCTCAAACCGCAGAATATCAACCTCCGCAGATCTGATCCCTGGAAGCCCCGCAAGTTCGAGCACCACCACGACTTCAGGCCCGAGGACGTGCAGGGGCTGCTGCAACATCTCGACCAGATGCGGCTCAAGGTCAGCCCAGGCACAGACAAAGTCAAACCAGGAATGAACGACCGGTCATGTCTTTTCATGGCCTATGCGCAAGCCAAATGGAATGACAAGCTGCTCATCAAGGAGCGGGTGGCGCAACTCAGGATCAGATTCTCAAAGCAGGTGCAGGAATCGAACTTGACAGCTAAGGGTCGGGCCAAGTTTGCCGACAAGTACAAGCATGTGCTTCCTGAGAACTTGGACTGGAGCACGGGCTGGAGCCAGTACTTGAACGATATCAACAAGGAAGACTGGCCAGGAGATTTCCTGTGCCTCAGCGTTATCATACAAGATGTGTCCATCAAGCCCTGTAATGCTGTAATCTGGTGCCCAGGGAAGTTGACCCCAATGCAGCTGAACGACAACAACCAGTACTACAGCTTTGCCGTGTTGTCGAACAAGAATGGTTTCCTTGACATCCGACGAGTCGTCCCCAAGAACACTGTGGAGAGGAGGGAGAATAACAACTCCCTCTACTCGCTGCGGTCCAAGGAGGATGGTGCTCACTCTGTCAGGATGCTGTTCACCAGCAACGCGTTGGAGCAGCTTGTCGGGCAGTTCGAGGAGTTTTGCTCGCGAGTCATGAACCGCAAGATCAGGATTCACATCCCGAAATCGCAGTACGATGAGATAGAAAGGAAACGACTCAACTCCAAGAGGATCGAGCCCTTGTACCGCTCCCTCATCAAGTACGCCGCCTTGCGGGCCTCGGAGAAGCTTCCTCTGTTTGAGATAGGGTCGAAGTCAGCCGCCTTCCATAACAAGAGAGAGATCGAGGCGAACGGCTGCGACGACATCATCGTGGAGGTAAATGCGCTGCAAGCCAATGACGACATGGTCATCCTGGTGGCTCTAGAGCACGAGCCTGTCTTTGAGCGCTGCAGTCACCTCGGCAGCATCCCTGTGTTCCACCTTGAGACGCAGGGGACATCGAAGAAACGAGAGCATCCGAGCTCGCAGATCACAAGCATCCAGCACCTCCTCGATGGCCTCGAAAGCAAGCCGCTGGGTGATACAGTCTCGTACATCCAGCAAGTGTGGAACACGATGAAGGCAATCAAGTAGCACGACAGAACACTGATATATACACTCCCTCATCATGACTTGGCAACTTCTCTAGTAAAGTTTCCCAATACAGGGGCCCGGTGCCTCAAGCCTTCACGCCGCCATAGTGTCGGACCGTCTCTCAGCCTTTACCTGAGGCTCAAAGTTAAGTTACTACTAGGCTCAGTAAAATTCAGTAAGCCTGAGAAAAGAGCAGTCAGTCGGCGGACTCGAGAGTCGCCCCGTTCCGAGTCCGGGAGTTCCGAGTGACTGGGCCTGGTGTTGCCCGCAGAGCGCGCGGCGGCCAGACCCGGACTGGGACATCTTTTTAGTACATATACGAACATTCCAAGCTCCCCTCAAGATGAATATAGCAAAGAAGTGATGGCAGCAACTGATCATATTCCCCATCTTTAATTTCTCCAAGGAATTCGGAAGAATTCCTAGGCTGCATGGTTTGCCAAACCATGCTGACTTGCCTGCTCCTGCTCCTCGCGTCAGTCTTACCCTCCTCCTCTTCGTCTCCTCTGTGCTTCCAGCCCAGCTCCTACCAACGACTGCGAGCACAACAGAAGCTTGCGTGTGCGGGGAGGAGCCGGTGACAGGACGTGAGGAGTTTGCTCTCATTCACACCTTTGCAGGACATCCGGTCGGCCTGTAATGCCAACAAGTGTGAGAAGAGAGACAGGGAGGCTTGTGCTCAAGGTAGATGAGAGTCTTCAAGCTTAGAGTTAAGTTTCATTTGCGGACAGGCCAGCAGCGAAGAGTTCAATCCAGAAGCCGAAATCCAAAGGTTGGCGAACTTCATGGCAGACGTGCAGGGCGGCATGAGGAGCCTGACGACAGCAATGGGTATCAGCGGAGGAGAAGAGCAGGCGAAGCAGCAGGACGTCGTGAAGCTGGGTGAAGAAGCGCTCAAGTCCGTGCAGAACCTGATGAACACCGAGGACATGTCGGATCAGTTCGTGAAGGCGAGGGATTCAGTGTTGAAGAACATAGGCATCGGGGAAGATCTAGTGGAGGAGGTCAAGGGCCCCAACTTTGACCTCGAGAAGGCTGTCTGGCTCGCTGGTGCAGCTTTCGACAGCTACAACGACCCGGTGGGAGGGGTGGTGAAGAAGTACGAGGACGGGGTTAAGGTTTCATACACCTCCTCAAAGATGCTTGCCGAGACCCACTCAGGCGTGCTGATGCTGAAGCTGAAGTTTGCAAACCTCACGGCAGGCGCTGAGAGTGCCAAGTGCGATGCGTACTTGAGAGTGAAGGTGAACGGAGCTGTCTCCAAGTCCAAAATCGTTAAAGATTCGCTTCACCCCGAATGGGACCAGCTCATGGTCCGTAGATACGCATTTCTTTCCCTTTTGAGCTGTGCTGTGCTGTGCTGTCATGATTTCTTTGCGTCACCTTACTTCCCTCTGTTTCCTGATCTCACCTCTTTCCTTCGACACCTTCCAAAGTTTCCCTCCTATCCTCGTATCCTGTCCTTTCCCCCTTATATTCTCACTGACCTGCTCTCTACTTTCGATGTAACGTTGCCCTCCTATCAGGTCATGTACACGGGACCCATCTCGACCGACGAGCTTCAAATTCAACTGTTCGATGCTGATCTGTTGATGGGCAAGGAGGAGCTGGATCACCTAACGCCGGATCCCCTTATCGGCTCTGCCTCCATCCCCCTGAAGGAAATCTCATCCTCGAAAGAATGGCAGACGCTGACTCTTGATCTCGTTCCACCTGCCACTCCGACGACAGCAGCAGACGAAGACAACAAGTTCAACCCCTACTGGACGAGGTTGCCCAGGGAGGTGAACGTTCAGTCTTGGCCTTCGATCATCCGAGGAGGAGCGAGTGGGGGGAGAGTAGTGATCGAAGCACAGTTCTTCCCTCTGAATGTGAACGAGGACGTCTCATCTCAGATGGAGAAGGCAAGGCGAACAATCTTGGGGGGGGAGGAGGAGGTTTCCCTCTTGAGCAGATGCAACGCTGACGTCGTGATTCCCCGTGAGATCTTCGAGCAGGAGAACCTGGAGAGACTTTGCTTCATCGACAACCAGGAGACCGACACGCAGGTCACCCTGTGGAGGGACCAGAAGGGCAAGAGGGTCGTGCTGGCGTTTCGAGGCACGGAGCAGACGAGGTGGAAGGATTTCCTGACTGACGCACTTATAACTCAGCAGAGGTTCGACCCAGGCTCAGACCCTGAGGAGGACATAGAATTACCTCCTCTGCTCGCCTCAGCTACGGCGTCAGTGGCCAAGAAGGCGGAGGGGACGATAGAGGAAGGAAGAGGAGAACTTATCGCTGTGGGGTCCCTGGGGATGCTGTCGCAGAACCTGTTGAGCCTGGAGAGCATCAGCAAGCAGGTCCAACAGCTGACAGGAAGCGACGACTACAAGTTCGGAGAGATGAGCAGGCGGGCTCTGCGAGAGGTCACGGGGAAGGAGTTTAAGGACATGTCGGAGATGGCAGAATCTACTCTGAACATGGCGCAGAAAGCGCTTCAAGATTTCACAGGAAAGAAAGAGTACGAGTTCGGCGATATTACGAAGACCCTGTGGAAGAAAGCGGAAGGCTACAAGTTTGGCGACATCACCAAAGGGATCATGGATGGCATCAGCTCCTCCTCCTCTTCCTCCTCTTCCTCCTCTTCCTCCTCTTCCTCCTCTTCCACGGGTCAGCAGAATCTCCCGTCCTCTGACACGGAGGAGGAACTCCCGGCTGTTCACGTAGGCTTCCTCCGCGGCTACTCGTCAGTGAGAAGGAGGATCCTTCAGGTCCTTCAGGTTCTGCTGGAGTCAGAAGGAGCAGGAGGAGGAGAGTGGAAGATCTTTGTGACAGGCCATTCGCTAGGGGGTGCTCTGTCTACCCTGTGTGCTGCAGACGTCGCGGCTCTGTTCCCGCAGAGCGCTGTCGTCATGTACAACTTCGGCTCTCCTCGCGTTGGCAACCTCAAGTTTGTCCAGATGTTCAACCAGCTCGTCCCCGAGGCCTTCAGGGTCGTCAACGACGCTGACGTCGTCGCTCGCGTCCCTCGCTCGCGACTCATGAACTACCACCATGTCGGGCGCACGGCGCTAGTCAGCTCGTCGAGCAGCGTGTGGGTTGAGGGAGAGTCGGCAGGGAGTGACCCGCTCAAGGAGCGATGGACAGAGCTGTCACAGCTCGTGGATGCTGAGATCTCCCTGCTGCAGGGCATCGTCAACGGGAACTCGTTGGAGGACCACATGGAGGACGCATACTTCCTGTCGTTGACTAGGGCGCTGGAGGCTAGGGCGCTGGAGGAGAGCTAGCACGTATATATACGGACGGAGGGGCGAGGGAGAGTGCAGAAGGTCGGGTGAGTTCTTACAAGGAAGGAAAGACGGGGTTGAGAGTGACGAGGAGCAGGAGGAGAAGCAGGAGTAGGCGGAGCATTATTAGTGTATACTCATGAAAAACGATTGAACCAACTTCTGTGATCCCTTTACTGATCCAATAAGCTCATTGGACCCCACTATTTCCCTCCTGTTTCGTACAGTACGGGTCATTTAATCTCTGAATACCCATTTAAATATCAGGGTAGTATATCACCCTACCCCCATGAAGTGATCCCCTTCCTGCCATGGATGCGGCTCAATCGAAAACAACATGGAGGAGTTGCAGGTTGAGGTTGAGGTGAGATGAAGAGAGACGAAGTAAGGAAGACGATGAAGAGAAGACGAATTAAAGTCGTTCATCTATAACGCTGGTCATGCTGATATGTAAGATTCCTGTTGGATCCGGCCAACAACATACTCTTGGAGCAGCGAGAAGATGAAAGACAGTCTGACATGCGGCAAGTGGATCATGGTTGCGGCCATCTTGCCTCTCCTCGTATCATCCTCTCTGGATCCAGACGGGATGTTCAGTCGCAAGAAGCTGAAATGGTGAAAAATTGACCGAGTGTCCAAACAGCTGAATTTTGTACCTCAGGAGGGAGCGGCAGGAAGGACGTATTCTTCTACTCATGTGTGAAGAGGAGAAAATCACATGGGATTCTGGCAGGACCCATCATTGATCCCAATAACATCTTCAATGCGGATATCCTCCTCGAGTACTTCTTGCTTCTTGCAAGTGATCCATTCCTGACTCAAGGGAAGGATCCGAAAGCATGAGAATTCCCTGACATTCAGTCGATTCGACGACAATGTTTTAAGATACACGCCGAATTTGCCCTGGGTAGGAGAGATGAAGAAATTGGCTCTAGCTGCAGAGATCAAGGCAAGGATTGATGGTGACATGTTGCTCCGCCATTTTCACGTTTCCTGAGCCAAAGTGATGCAGAAAAGGCAGAGCAATCCTACGACAGGAAATTTCAGAAAATCAGGCAAAAATACGACCCTCAAGGTCCTTTCAATCTCTATCTCTCTCTTCGTTAACTTGGGATGTTCAGGCAAGTGGCAGCTAAGTGACAGGTGACTGTTTGTCGGAACCTCTCTTGATTCGTGATGAGAGATTTTCTAGAATCTTCAAGAAGAATTGGACCTTCAGTGAAGCGATGCAAGACTTGAAAGAGCACTGGGTAGGCATTGGAATGATCCAGGATCAAATTTGACCTTGTACGAAGCAAGAAATGGATGATTCGTCTACAGAAAGAACTTTCCCAAACGTGTAAGTGCTGGATGGATGAAAGATGCGTGCTATTGTATCGAGTCGAATAAGTGGAGATGGGAGAGAGTAGAGTAGAAAGGAGGAGCAAGTTCCGAGGGAGATGAAGATAGATTGAATACACATGCGGGAGACAGAAACCTGAGGTTGTTCCACTGAGTTCCTGTCAGGACCGATGAAGAGTTCAGGAAGGATCCTAGAGCCGCCATGCAGAAGTACAGAGAGCAGGTCTGAGATTTGAGGCGCTGATAACGTCGACGTTCATGACGGTGACGCTCGTCAAAGGCTGCAGGTCCAGGAGGAATCCTGTCGTACAAGACGAAAATGTACAGGTCTTATCCGCAGGTTGGGATTAATCCTTCCGGCCTTGGGGTGCTAACTTTGGAAAGTACCTTCGTCTACGATCCATTGCGCAAGAAGAAGAGGATGAGACAGATAGCGTAGAAGAATTCCTGAATGTGGGGAATGTTTACTGATAGCTGTTCAACATCTGAAAGTGAAATGAGCAGAGTGGACTCAACTGTTCGAATGAGATGAGAGTTTTGTTTGGGAATATACAGATGATGATTGGCGAACGGATCTCAACGAAGAAGAGACAAGAGATTGTTGACCTTGTGAGATAAGATTGTCAGTCTGCCATTCCAAGTGTGATCCCGTTTTCCAGATTGAGGACCTACGTTTGAATCAAGAAAGTTGGAAGTGGTAGGGATGGGGGTTGGAGTTTCAAGCTCATTGTGTTTGAATCTTTAGGATGAACGAGGATCATGACCATGACGATGAAAGCATGAGAGAATCGCTGGACCATCGTGAAGATCGTTTTGAGCCCCAACAGATAACCGATTACGTGGAAGATGGTATGAAAGACGACGATGAAATGGATAAACTCGAAGCGGCCATACAAGATCTCTATACAGACATCCACAGCCGCAATAGGTTGTTTCCATTGTTGCCAATTATTTATGATTCGTCGTGATCAGAAAAAGGTTGAAGGACATGAGACAGCGAGAAATTTGGAAGGTGAGGTTGAGCTTTCTTTTCTTTCCTAGTTGTTGCTACCCTCTCGATTTTCCTTCCATGTCTATTTCGCGGGGAGGGAAGGGGGTGGTTTCCCTGACCTCGCAAGCTACTAATCTGACTTGTTGTCTTTCTTGTGATCTGCAGGACATCAAATTCTACTTCAAAACTTTGTCAACGCACATGCAGAAATGGGATTGGAGTTCTTTGAAGCCAAACAATGTTGACCAAGTTCTTCTGGATTTCAAGATCCCCAACGACTTTGAAGAGCTGAACATCGAAGGAAAGCAGGGCGAGGACACCATCGACTATTGCTTCGACAAAGTGAGAACATGTCAATTCTGTCTCGATTGTCCTGATAGCAGTCGATCGTGTAGTGGATGGAGGACATGTCGACCATGATTTTGAATCTTCCCAAGACAGCTTTGCCTGCTTTGAATCTTACGGATGACGAGCGAAATACGTGTGCTACCTATCAGCTGCTGGAGAAGTATACAAGCATGCAATCCCACCCTTCGTGCTTCCTTTGTGATGTTGTTGTCTGCATCAGACAACTCGAAGATGAGCCGCCAGAGATGCGAGACGCATGCCTATACGATGACGTGTACAACTTCGCATTTCCTTCGAACAACTTGACGCTGGTGAGCGATCTAAGATTGTGATGAGAATCTCGTGACTTCAGTCTCACCAGAAATTCAGTGAGAACTTTTGGGGTCAACTGGAAGAACAAAGTTCACTTGGAGAACCTTTGATGAGCCAACGAATCAATTTTTTGCAATGGTGAACACAACATGCAATGAATGAGGGAGATTGTTGTTTAGAAGTTATTGAGATTAGGAGGAGTCTATGTTGAGTTTTGAGTGTACTTTCAATTCATTTCCATGATCAAGATCCACAGTTGTGAAGCAGGTCAGGCTGAGTTACTCTGCAAACAGGAAGCCTTTTACAGGTATGCCTTTCATGAAGCGAGAAGCAAGATTTCGCAAATATGATAATATAATTCTGTCATAGGTTATGGAGGGCCACAGAGTATGATATCATCAAGTTATCATGCGCGATGAGAAACGATAAGGAAGTCTCTTGGTTCTTACACTTGTTGGTGATTGCAATAGAGAATGTTTGTGAGCAGAAGTTGATAAGCTGAGATATCAGGCGGCCATTGGGTGGAGATGGATAGTGATGCATGAGAATGTCGGTCACCTTGTTGTGATCTGCTGTAAACATGACATGGTGACAGGTGCAACAAGTTCAAAAGGCTCTTGAGCAAAACAGGCGACTGTTCCCTTTATCGTCTGCCGCTCTGCCTCCGGTGAGGCCCTGTAATCTCCCAATCTTCCTCTCCTACACTTGCTGTCTTCCATCAACTGATCCGCCATGACTGTCGCATCGCAGTTCCTTCACCTTCCATGGTACAACTTGACAGATTTGCAAAGTAAAAAATGTGTGACGCGTTTGACAACGCTCACGAGACGTGAGAACTTCGGACATGTCCAATGGTTAATGACTTGTCAACAGAACTCGGCCTTGCGTTGGAAGAAGAAGAGGAGAATCGTCAAGAGCACCCAGTGATGAAGAGAGCTAGAGGTGTGAAGAGTAAGTTTTGTGAAACATGACTGATCAGTCTCGAAGAATTCATCATGAATGTGTCTTTGAGAAGAGGAGTGTCGAAGATCGTAGTGGAGAGAGAGGGAAAGGAGAAGTTCTTCAAGCTCGATAAGAAAGTTGATCTGAGGAGCACGGGGAACGAAGGATCGGATTGCAGGAATACGATCGACTTTGTCAATGAGGACGAATTGTATAAAGACTTCAAATACACTGCAAGGAGAGACAAAGAGCAGATTTATTTCCGGCAACTTCAGAATTTCAAATGTCGTGGTGAGCAGCAGATTTATGCTGTTGTATATATCTGATATCTTCGTCAACAGATCAGGTTTCTCTTTTCATATTGACTCTTTGCACGTACGATAACATCGATCTCATCTTCTTCAGCTCGGAGACGAAAAGGTTTTGCAGCACTTCCTTTCTGAGCGATGACTGGATTCCAGCTACTGCAAGAGAATGGAACCGTTGAATCATTACCTGAGATATGCCGGTGAGATGATGAGAGGAAGAATTGATGGAGGATGAAGTGGCGGTCGAGGAAAAGGAAAAGGAATAGGAAAAGAAGGAGAGATGGAGGTAAAGGTGAAGATGAAGGTGGAGGGGTTTTATTTCATCTTTAGCTGTGATATTGTCTTGATCCCTGATATGGTCTTGATCCCTTATTGGCCTGCAGGCCTGTGGCATGAGTGGGTTGGTCCTCTCAATGGAGAAGTGGAGTTCTCCTCCTCCTCCTGCTCCTCACCTCTGTTCTCCTCCATCAAATGGACTGGGTCAAGCTTCTACCGAGCATTGGCTAGGCAACTATGGAGATGTGGAGTGATGTGGTGGCTGAGAAACGAGACTTCGGTCGATGAAATACGAACAGCACAAGACCTTGATCCTTATCAGCGTCACCTTCTCATTAGGAGAGAACGAATGTGGGGAAGCAATATCTGCTTTTTACCTCTCACTCTTTGCTTTCAAGGTATGCAAACAGCTCAGAAGAGGAGAGAAAATTCAATCAGACAGTCCAAGGAGGCTGGTGGAGCACAATCGAAGGAGGAGGAAACTTGCATGTGTGGATGTCAAGGTTGACAAGGAAGATCGAGAGGAGAGAGCTGGATCCGGTTGAGCAAGAGCTGAAACAAGCAAATTTCTCCGATTACCTTGTAATTGTCATCAACGTTCCAGCCAGGGTTTTGCTGAGGGCATGACAGGACGTGGGAGCGAAGTTGGGAGGGGGAGTTGAGCTTGAAGAGGTCGATTCTTATTGTTTGGTACCAACCCGACACTCTGACGGCAGGGCGCATGGGACGAGCTCAAGGCTGGAGTGATAGTTGCTTCGCTCGTTCAGATGCACCTCGATGTGGAAACAGAGTCAAAGCGCCAGGGGCTAGACACGTTTCAAGAGCTCACACGGGTCATTGAGAGGATCGAGGATGGAGTGACCATACGTCAAGTGCAGGTCATGTGAATCCTGCGAGGCGTTTGCTCAGCAGTGAAGTGCTTGCAGGCGGCTGCTGATCTCTTCGAGGTTAAGATCGAAATGTTTGAAGTCACACCGTCCGGTGTAAAAATCCACAGGTGAATCTGCATGTCTCGATGATCAGTCTTGACAGCCTCCGCAAGTTTCCTCCCTGCTGACGACGACGCGTCCACCTCAACCCCAATCGTTCGGCTCTGCTCCATTGCCCAGCACTTCTGGTGCATAACGCCGTTTGACTTCGCCGAGGCGGAAGAGAAAAGTGACGCGACAACATGAAGGCTTTCATTGTCTGACAACTCGACAGAGGCTGCCATCGAAGAGTTGAGGGCAGCTCCGCTCAACTTCACTGTGAGCAGCTTCTGATCCTGCTCTGACCTCTGAACAATCGCAGAATCCCCAAGAGGAGGAGGTGTACAACTATGACATGGAGGGCTTGCAAGAGTGCCAGGACGAGGTGCAAGAGGTCTGATGACGTCACTTGTGAGGACGGGGCGTGTGACATGGAACAGTTGTGCGATCTCTTGGAGCATGAAGGCATTCCTGTCAAGTTCTTTGGGGAAGAGCATGTACGAGTGTTGGGTCTGTTTCTAGTCGATGACAGTGACCGGTAGCGGCTGAACCCACTCCATATCGAATGGCTCGACACGTTCATGGGAGGGGTGGACAAGTGGGAGAAGAACAACTTCGATCCTCCTCCCGACCTCTGGGACCGTGAGACGGTGTTGGGTTGCTTGGACGCAACTGTGGCCGATATGAAAGGTCGCAGCAAGATTGTTGTTCTCTCCTGCTGATCCCTGTGCAGATGAGATTGCGGCATACAGGAAGCAGAAAATGGAAGAGGAGGGAATGGAAGACACAGCTGCACGCGACAAGTGAAGCATGTAAACGACAATTTTTCTATTCAAGTTAAGTTGATATAAAGCAAGATAAATGTAAATCTTCGTGAAGTTTGTAGGTTGACCAGTTTGTCGCACACCAGGCTCACCTCAGCCTGATATTAGTCAAAATATCAGGACAGCAAGTGAAGTCACAGGTGGCATAGGCGAGACAACCAGCAGGCCCTACTGCTCCGATCGGGCCATGAGTTGAGGAGGGATGGAGAGAAGGAAGAGGGCGGGGAATCAGTCTCGCAACCCTCTGACAGCTCAGAAGCACATTGAAGTATGTCTTTGACTCTTGTTGCCCTGCCTGACTCACTTGAATCGCAGCAAACTCTCTCGTCGAGTTCCGCGACTCACAATGTGAGCAGAGAATGTTTCTGAGTGTGTTACTTTCTGATGTGTCGAGATAGACAGGGAAACATGACAGCAGGAGTTTGCAACAGGCGAAGTCTGTGGGAAGAGAGAGTCCTGCGCTTGCTGCCAGAGTCTCTCGCTTGAACCCTCCCTTCGGTGTTGACAAGGTGTCATGGCGCAAACTATGTTTTGAACCTCACACGCATCAGGTGATAGAAGAGGATGAGACGCAGACAGTCGATCAAGGTAGCAGAGAGAAAGAACCCTCCATGACTGTGACGTTTGCCAGATGAAAAGATAGACAGCCTCCGATCAAACAGCGTTGTTGTCGAGGCAGTCGAAGACTTGGAGGAAATGCAGTTTGCGTGGTGGAGCAAATTCTGGTCAAAACAGCTGCGAGCGACTGACAAGGCAGCGACGAGTGAGGTTGGAGTTTGACTGAAGTCCTGAGCAGGTCAAACCCATAAAACCTGTCAAGAACTTTTGGAAGGGAAACTTTCAGAACCGCTCGGGTAGGCCATCGTTGTGCTTTGGCTTCTTTCATTCTCGATGGTCGCAGTGCCATGGAGGAAGGAGCAGCTCGGGGCGTTTCCCAGCTACAGAGACTTTCCATGGCCTCCCCCGAAGGACGAGGACGGTGAGGGTTGGCCGTGCTTGGGGATGGAGGGGTGAAGGAGCGCAGGGGTGGCAGAGAGAGTCACCCGTCACATGGAGCGATGTACACCTTTCAGCATCGACCGGTCGAGGTTTCGCGGAGCCTCTGAGCGCACCATCAACCAGACCATGAGAGACTCGAAGCTTCTCCCTGACTTCCTTCACCCCAGCCGTCGGATGCACAACAATCAAACCTATGATCCGCTTGTTGGCCAGGCGTTCTCAGACTTGAGAGACAGGTCTCATCACATCGTATGAAGTTGAGGAGATGATGACGAACGCAGACTGCTCTGCCTTATAGCTGACAAGCTTGATGAACATGGAGTCAGGAGTTACGCACAGGCTTTAGCCTCTTTCGATACTGACCAGTCAGGACGTATGAACATACAAGATTTTCAGAGATTTCTGTCTCTGTATGGAGTTGCGGCGGACGAGGAGCAAGTAGGTCAGTCGAAGAAGTTGAGATGAAATGACTTGCGTGGGCAGATTGATGAGCTTTTCTTCGGCTTCGAGTCAGCAAGCAGACCAGGATCGGTGCCCTACTCGTCTTTGGTGACAGCAATCGAATCTGTAGGCAGAGCTCGAGGCTTCACCCGATGAGTCTCACGGCTCTAGGAGAGGATGCGTTTCAATCGCATTTATCACTTCTCCGACAAGTTCACCCTTAAACTTAGCAAATTTATTGACGACTAGCCCTTATGCGTAGCACGCGTGAGACGCTTTGATTGTAATTACAGCAGTCAGCAACACAGACAGACAGACAGACCGATAGGCAGACAGACAGATAAGAAGACGGAAAGGGAGGCAGACTTGGCTTCAACACCATCTGATTTACCTCTACATGCCCTTCATCCCACTAGTTTACAAAGACCGTCACGTTCACTGCAAGTCCGCTGGGGTCATTCGCTGGCAGTTGCCCATCTCTCCACATGCAGAGATTCGATCCTCCGCACTCCCCACACGCGTCCACGGCCCTGCCGCTGTACAAACTTCCATCGCACCCCATGCAACTTTCGTTGGGCGGGCCCACCAGTTTGGTCAAGCACACCCCGCAAGCGTCCTTGTCATTGTTTCCGTTGCAGACGCCGCAGGAGTCCAGCACCTTGCCTGAGTTCGGGACTCCATCGCAGCCCATGCAGCTCGTTCCCGGCCCATCGCAAACTCCACAGATGTCTGGAACTTTTCCCGAGAAAGGAATGCCATCGCACCCCTGACAGTCTGTGCTGTTTCCTCCACACCGCCCGCACTTGTCCACATACGTGCCGAAGTAGCATTTGGTGACATTGGTCCACGTGTAGATCGAAAGGCAGGACCCTGTCTTTGTGTCGGTGCTGTTGCACAACAAGCACTCGCTGTCAGGGGCTCCACACTTCCCACATTTGTTGTAAGTCTTGCCGGAGTTCTCAACTCCATCGCAGCCCTGCTGGCAGACCGACCTGGGAAGGAAGGTCTTTGTGTCGCACCTTTGAATCGGGCTGGTGTCAAACTTGCAGGCTCCGAAGAAATTTCCACCACAGATCCGACAGTTGTCGAACTGGGTCGGATCTCGCGAGGCCTTCCCGTTGCAGCCCTTACAGAGGCTGTTGGTTCCTCCGCAGATCCCGCAGATATCATACACCTTGCCCGAGTTTGGAATGCCATCGCAACCCGCACAGGTAGAGCCGTTGCCCCCACAGACGCCACAGACGTCCAACTGCACTCCTCCACCCGTCTGGGGGTTCCAGGGCAAGTCAGGCCGCACGACCCCGTCACATCCCGTACATGCTGCATTCCACGCCGACCCTGCGGCAGTGATACCCTTGGGGTGGCAGACGTAGGGGGTAGGGATGGAGGGGTTGACGCCGCACTGGTCCATGGTGCTGTTCTTTCCTTCGGGCACCCCGCAATGGTCGCACACCCCCACGTCAGAGACTGCGCTCTTCGCCTGGCTGGGGGGCCCGCACAACCCGCAAACTGAAACCACCTCACCATCCGCACACACTCGTCCGAGGTAATCGCAAACACCCGATTCGTTGGTGAAGACAGAAGAGGTGAAGGATCGGTTGCGCCCATTGCAAACGTAACATTTGTCCAGTGTTCCAAAGCACACCCTCCCTATCCAATCGCAGATTCCTTGCCTTGGGATCTGCAGGGTACTGCAGGATAAGCATGGGTTCAACGGCTTCGGAGTCACGGAAGCAACCAAGTCACAACCTACAGTCCCAGCGATCAGCGAGTAAAACCTATGCAGTGAGTTGTTCCCCAGACATGAGATCGTTCCTGGATACACTTGATAATTCACTCCGTATTGTATCCACCGTTGAAAGCTCTCATTGTAGTAACCGCACACGATGCCCGAAGACACCCCATTGCTTGGATCCCGATTGCAACCTTGACTATTCGTGCACAGCGTGTACATGTTCGATAGCTTCATTGAGACAGTGCCCGTGAAGTTATCAAGAGTGACATTCGCCACTTGGCCAGGTAGAGTAGTGTCTGTGCTCGCTAGGGTATCCAAGGCTATGAACTCCAGCAATCGAGTGTATAGATTAGCGTCACCATATGGAATGGTTGTGCCAAGGAGTACCGTTTGCAAGTCAAATGAGCTGGTTTTGAAAACAGCACTATCTTTCAATGGAGGCAGAGTGAAGGAAAGCAGCTGTTGAGTTCCAGAGGTAAGGTTCACAACCTGACTTTCAATCATGGTCGTACTGTAACGTCCGTACATGACGCTCAGTCGATAAGTGTCGGTCTTATTGTTGATATCGAACGCCTGTGAATCTCCTGCCACTGTACCTTTCATTACCAAGATACCAACGTATTTCAGTACTGAGAGCATGTCATCAAAGAACGTTCCAGACTTCAGATATTCTTGACAGTTCGCAACCATCGGAAGAAGTCTTTGTGCCCGAGATCTCTTTGCTTCGTAAGTGTCGCCAATAGTCAGTTGATTCTCTAGCATTGTCTTCAGAATTGATATCGAAGTTTCGCAGATGCTGGCATTCAGATTCGATGGGCCTGCTACTGACAGGAATGACAAGGAGTTTAGAGCTGTGTCTAGACTGTTGAGAGCTTGAGTCTCCTGAATGCTCAGCAGCCTACGAGCGCTGGTGGTCGACGAGTAACCCATCAATGAGAAGGCCGATTGCGCCAACGCTCCGATCAGAGTCTCGCACATCGAGTTCGAGCTAGAGCACAAGGGATCCACAAGCATGCCGTAGTTGGCAAGCTGCAGCGAGGCCCCGTATACATCCTTGAACAAGAGCCTGTCTGTCATGTTCCTCTGAAAGTTGATGACAAGATTCTCGAGTGAAGAAGGCTTTTGCACAATGGCAATGGAAGAAGTTTGTGCGATTGCTCCCATTGAATCTCGTATCTGCAACAATATCATCATGCTGTAATCAGACTGCAAGCTCGTCGTCGGCAGGTCAGTCGAATAGCTGTTCAAATCTTGAAATCCCGAGAGGTCGACAGTGAGTGAAAGCCCTGCACTGTAACATGAATAAGAAAACGAGTATTGAAGTGGCAGGTATTCAGCATTCCACTGGCTAGCCTTGAGTGAGAAAGAGGTTGCAAAAGCAACCCCTTTCGATGGAAGGACGGCGAATTTTCCTCCGTAAGGTCCCACGTTAGTGGTAATTTGTATAGTCGAAGTGATGGGTTGAAACTCGTACACTGTGCTGATGCTAATGGTGTATGTTGCAGAAGAGACTGTTGAGAAGGTATCGGGAGTGAAGGTCAACGACACAATACCATAACCCCTCGTGAGAGTGAAGGTCATGGGCACAAATGGCGTCACGCTCCATGAGTATTGCAGAATGCAACTGGACGGGGAACTCATCTGGCAACTTTGCTGCTGAAGAAGAGCAGAGATTCTGTTGTATTGCTTCACGTTCAAGACGTAACTTGAGAGCGGTTGGATTTGCACAAGGGGGACGTTTGACAATCCTATGACTGAAACGCTGGCTGATGCTGAGGACGACACGTATCCTCTAGACGCTGCTTCTGAACAGTTGAAGGGCTCGGGCTGCGGTCGATAGACTGTCAGTGTGAAGGTGTAAGTTGTGGAGGCTTGCAGCGCTTCCACCATCCAGACACTGATGTTGTTTTCAGGGATGACAAGACCTCCTCCAGCAGGTGAAGAGCTCCAGCAGTAGACCAAGTGTGTGTTGTTCCCTGCAAGATCTGGATCGTAGGAAGTTGAACCATTCAAAACGAGGGTCTCTCCATTACCTATCGACTTGTTGCCTCCAAGGAGAATCGCAAGTGGGGGAGACTTTTTGAATTCAACTTGAACCGAAAATTGCAATGTAATGATCTTTTGCACATGTACATTGATAGAAACAGTTATGGTGTACGTGAGACTGTTCTGATCCTTACTTGGATCAGCAGAGAACGGAGGGATCACCAACTCAGAATCAGTCTTGGGTATGGAGTCCAAGCCAATAAGATCGGTGGGGGAGATGCTCCAGGCATAGTTCACATTGCTGAGAGAAACAGGCACTCCGCACGATCCAAAGGACCCGGTGATGGAAATCGAAAAGCCCTCCGAGATTAAGCGAGAGTTCGATGAAGGCCTGTTGATACTAAATGTTGGTATTGATTGATTGATGAACTGAACAGCTTTACAAGTTGCGGTCCCCCCCTTTCCTCCAATCCAATTTTCTAGATACAAAGAGAAACAGAATTGCGCAGAAGCTATATTTTGATATGGAAGAAGGTCTTGAGTTATGTAAACTGTCAGATTCCCATTCAAAGACTTTAAGTTCATGCTTACATCTGACTTCATGGTTGAATCCGAAAGATTTACATGACTGCTAATTAGACTCCATTGTATTACAGGGAAATTTCGTTTGATTGCTCCGGTCGACGCTGTTCCATCTAGCTTCGCTAGGATTGCTTTGCACTCTGCGTCAAGACAGTCTGACGACGTGGAACATTGAATGCCATCATTCACCCCGCCGATACAGTACTTGGAGCAGCCGTTGATCATGTTCGGCCCATTGATTACAGGAGTCGGGTTGAGAGGGTTGGAAGGTCTCCCGATAACAGCGCCAGAGGAGCTGTCGGAGAGGTTGAGAAGGTCAGAGACTTGAACAAACGGTATTGGAGTCATGGACAGCGTCAAGATCGTGATGAGCGGCAGGCAACTTCCACACCAAGGCCTTGCATTCGCTTGAAGGCTGACGCTTTCTCTTGTCCTACAAGCTGTTGACACGGTGAAATATTGACAAGTTGCTGTAGGAAAAGGATTGATCATTAGATTCTGCAAGGTCGACAAAAACACGAGATTATCATTCAATTGAAAGTTTGAGTTAGATCCAATCAGAACAGTGATCGTCTGATTGAGAGCATCCCAAGTACACGAGCTTGAAGTTCCGAATGAGTTTGCAGTGATTGCTTCAAAGATCCGAGAGCATGGGAATTCCTTCTGATACAACGAAGGGTCTGCAAACAAATTAGTTGATTCACTGAAGCGCACTATGATCTGAGAGCCATCATTAGTCAAAGATGACTGCACGACTTGTGGTTGCTGACTGACGTACTGAAAGTAGGTGTTTGGTTTCAATTGGGAGTATTCGATGTCATTCATCGTCACCGTGAGTGGTACAATGGTTCCGGTGGGATGGGGCGGAGCAGCACATAAGATTGTACTGGTGTCCAAGACAGTTGCTCTTGTTGAGCTCTCACCAAATCTGCACTTCAAATCTGTGACCTTCTGACCTGCTACATTGTACCACGAGGAATTGGTGAATCTACATTGGTATTCTTTCCCATCAGTCGCAACACAATACGGTTGAGGAACCCCATTAGATGTTTTCACGGAATTCTTTGTTGTACAATTGTAAGAATATTCTACTATGGTAGATCTCGGTATTTTGAAAGGAAAGTCACATCGAAGCTGAGGATCGGTTGGATCGAACAAGTCTGGTCTACTCAAGCTTGTGAAATTCACTCCGACCACGGTAATTATTGTTCCTCCATTCACACTCCCTTGGGGTAGACTGTTGCTAACCCCAATCATCGTCTTCAGCGGCGAATACATGGTTGCAGGCAGAGTCAAATAGTAGCTCCTTGTGAGTGGACTTAAACTTGAGATCTCTGGAGTAGCAATCCAAGAGAAATTGATCCCAGCGCTCTTGTCGTATAAATTACTCGACAGGTACAGAGGGTATCCCTTGTCGAGGAAGTAGGGACATGGCGAGCAGTCTCGCGGGTTAGGAGGCAGAGCTGGAGACAAACAACGTACGCGGGTAGAACTGTCAATCACAGCAGGGACGTGCACTACTGCAAAAATACAATATATCGGCTGACTGTAATTGGTGAAACCGATTCCAGTAAGATTGACCACTGTGTTTCCCGAAAAGTCTCCTGCAACAGGGAATATAGAGGAGATCTTGTAATCGTCATGATAATAGAACTTGACAGATTTTGAAAGAGAGGTTGTGAAAT